AAAGTTAGCGTACCGAATAGTATTAATCAGTAGAATACTCACGCTAAGGAAAAGAAAGAAGCTTTCAAAATAGTCGTTAACTTAATCTCTAAGCTTCTCTTTCCTAAGTATAGAGATATTATTAAACTAAACAACGCTAAGCTTCTCTAGGAAGCTATTCACGCAAACGAAAGTAAAGTAATTCAAGGGAGTCTTACCTTTACTAATATAAGAGACAATTTCTTCAAGATAAAGTTTATCCCGGGGGAGGAAATACTTCAGAACTACATTATAAGGCTCTTACTCTTTAAAGTAAAGCTTAGCGGCAATAGTAAACCTCTTACTAATAAGGATATACGTCTTAAGCTATTATAGTTATTACTAGCGTCCGGAGCTTGGATTACTATAGCGCTTACCCTAGAATCGCAAAACCTGGATCTTAGAGATACTATATAAAAGCTTAATAAATATTAAATTCAATAGAGGAAACAGCTTTAACCTATAGCTACTAGTAATACCGCGAATTACACGAATAGAGGCTATAATAGAGGGAGAGGTAGCAGAGATAGTAGAGGCTAGAGGGGTAGAGGCTACTTATATAGAAGAGGTAATATACGTAAGAACAGGAGAGGATAAGAAAGACAGAATAATAATAGCAGGGGTAGTAGCTAATAGAGACATAGAGAGCGCGTGGAAAAGAGAGGAAATCGCCCTAAATTAGGCCGAAATTAGTATACCTAGTGTAAAGGCTATAGCTACTAATATATAGACTACACGAAAGCTAAGAATACCTACGCGAGAGATAGCGCTAACAAAGTAGAGGAAATTAAAGACGATAATACTTATCCCGTATTCCCTTCGGAAGAGATTTACTACGCTAAAGATATAGAATATACTTTATTAACAATCTCTATTACAGAATCTATCTAGAAAATTAACTCTAGCGCCACTCGCTACTTCAGTAGAGTTCTAGCTAAGTTCAAGTAACTCAAGCGCTAGCGTAACGCTAAATACGTTAAAACAGCGACTAATTCGTACTCAACAGCTAAAGGTTATAGAGATATTACCATTAATAGGTTAACCCTTAAAGACGTGTAGTACGTACCTAACTTCGGAGCTATAAAGCTAGTATCGATATATCAACTCTTAGACAAAGGAATTAATACAGAACTAACTAAGATATTAGTAAATAGATACCGGAATAGTGAACTAGCCTTTACAAGCACAAGAAACAGAGGTTTATATATTCTAGATACGAATCCTCAATATTAAGTTACATACAACGCAATTCTGTTAGACTTAAAGCTACTAAAGGAACAAATAGAAAGTCAGCTTAGCACAGAGGAAACAAAGGCAGATCTACTCTATAGGCGTTTAGGCTATATAAATTACACCTATTTAAAGAAACTAGTTACTCACAGTAGTTATAAAATAAGACCGATTTCTGTTCCGGAGCTAAAGAGAGAGAGGTATTATAAGGCTTGCCTTACAGGCTATATAAAAGAGCACTTCAATAAGAAGTCAAATAGTAGAACTAATGTACTTATTCGTTAACTATACGCTAATATCTCTAGTATCTTACCACGCTTAATTCGCAGCTATAAATACTTCCTTTTAGTAGTAGATAATACTACGAGGATATATTAGGTAGATCTCTTAGTTAATAAGTCTGTGTTAACTATTCAACTAGTTATTCGGAAATTAAAGCTATAGCTTAAAACTTAAGAGTAAAGCAAATTCCGTATAATTATCTACTAGAGGACTAATAATAGTAAGGGAGAGTTCGGTCCTGAGTTTATTAACTAGCTACAAGAGAGTAGAATCATTCCTAAACTCTCTTCTCTATATAAATACTCTCTAAATAGAGTCGTAGAGCGATAGATATATAAACTAGCTAAGATTACACGCTTAATCCTCTATAACACGAAGATACCCGAGAATATATAGTATTACACTATTAAGTAAGTAGTAAAGCTAAAGAACAGACACCTAACTACTACTTTACTATATAAAACAGCCACTAGACTCACTCTAATCGAAGCGTATAAAGGACGGCCTATAAACCTCTCTAAAATAAGAGTATTTAGCTCTATAACGTACCCTTTGTATCTACCAGGGCTATATCAAGGCAAAATAAAGCAAAGGACGATTCCGGGGTATTTCGTATTAGTAGGTATAGCTAATACCTTAACCTATAGGCTCCTAAACGTAGAAACCTTCAAGGAACTGGAAATAGCCGACTACAGCTTCAACGAGTATATAATATACTTTATACATACTAGTAGTAAGGAAACTACACTAAAAGGTAGTAATAAAGCAGTGGAAAGACCTCTGCTACCAGCTACCAGTCCAGCACTTGCTGAGAGGCCAGCTAGGGGTGCTAAAGGCTTGGAAAGACCTCTAAGAGAGAGGCTAGCTATAGAAGCTAAAAGACCTCCAGGAGAGAGGCTAGCTATAGAAGCTGAAAATCCTTCAAGGGGAAGGTCAGCTATAGAAAATACAGTAAGAGATACTAAGGAAGCGTCTAATTAACGCCTCCCTAAATGAACTCAACTAGTAAACGCGTCTAACAACACTTCACTATTAAGATATAGTAAGAAACAGCGTAGAAAATAACACTTCGAGCAAGCTACTCAAGTGATAACTACAAAGCTATACTCTCAGTAAATCCTTAATAAGATACTAACCTATTAAATAGCGCTAATTACACTAAAGGGTGAACCTATATAACCTCTTGAAGTTATAACTATCGCAGAGGCTCTAAGGGAGAATCTAGTGGAATAGAAGGCCGCTATTCTCAAGGAATTACAAGCTATATAAAGCACTAGAACCTATAGAGTATACTTTAGTAAGCCTCCCTCCGGCTCGAAACTAATATCTTTAAGACTAGTTCTACGTAATAAAATCAACTCTAATAACTCTATAGTACAGCAAAAGGCTAGGCTTATAATAAGAGGCTTTAAATAAAAACACGGCCTTAACTACTTCGACACTTTCGCAAGTGTTATACGCTATTCTACCTTACGAGTACTACTCGCTATTACAGCTAAAAGAGACCTGGAGATCGAGTATATTAATATTAACACTACCTTCCTAAACACGTACTTAAAAGAAGATATATATATAATAATTCCGAATAACAAGACGCCGGAGATATAGAATAAGCTTTACCTAGAGCTAAATAGAAGGAAAGACATATATCTGAAGCTCCTACGCTCTCTCTACAGCTTAAAACAAGCACCTAGGGAATAGTAGCTCCTTATTAAAGATAAGATAGAAAAGCTAGGTCTGAAAGCGTTAGAAGCTGACCCTAATCTCTTTATCTTTAAGAATAAAGTATATATATTAATCTTCGTTAATGATATACTAATTATAGGTAACCCTGCTAACTACGAATATCTTAAGAAACAGCTCTTAAAGACCTAGAAAGACAAAGACCTCGGAGCTATTAATATATTTATAGGCCTATAAGTTAAAAGGGACAGGAAGAATAAGACTCTACGGATTCATCAAATAGCCTACACACAAAAGCTACTAGAAAGGTTTGGAATAGCCGCAGCTAGAGGTAATACCTTACCTATAGCCGCTGGAACAGTACTAAGGGAGTTAGCTAAAGATAAAAGTGTTATACTAGCTTCCCCTGAAGAGATCTCACTGTTTCAGCAGATTATCAGCTCTCTAATATACCTCTCGAACCTCATATAACCTAATATTACCTATATAACAGGTCAGCTAGCGCGGTATATATTAAATCCCCTTAAATCTTACCTCTAAGACACGAAACCTCTCCTCTGATATCTATAACGTATAGAAGGTAACGGAATAATATTTAGAATCGGAATAAATACAGGGGAAAGCTAGACGATAATATATTCGATATTTTTCCACTAACGCTATGTGAGGGACAGAATATAACAGGAAATCGTTCTAAGGATAGATAGCAAGGTTCTACGGGGGTCTAATCTCTTAGGCTACTAATAGGTAAAGGTCTACAGCTCTCTCCAGCTTAGATTCTGAGATAATAGCTACTAGTAATAGCTCTAGAGAAGCAGCCTAGTTACTTAAGCTATAGAAAGACCTCGATATAAAGCTATCCTGAATTCCTACGCTATATCTTAATAACACTAGAGCTAAATCTCTCTTAAAAAAACGGAAATTCTATCTAAAGGTAAAGTATATTAATATCCGCTAGTTCTATATTCGAGATAATATAGTTTTATATAATAAGTTAGTAGTAAAACACGTTCCAGGTAATAATAATATAGCAGACACTCTTACAAAGGCTTTACCTTCAGAATCGTTTAAACGATACAAGATATATATAGAGTTACCTAGTAACAACTGATTCTCTGATAATAACTCTAAGATTAACAACAGTTAGCTAATTAATAGTAGATCTGTATAAATCAAGGCTGTTTCTAGTAGTGGAACCTATAAAAAATAGAATATTCTTCACGGAAAATCAGTCCTTTAATAAACATTTTCCTTAATAATAATATACAACTGCGAATTAAGTAAAATATAATATATAACTACTATACCTAATAGTTAAGACGAATCTTATTCCGCGGTTGAAGGAAGAAGGAAAGGAAACAGAACTAGAAGAGGACAACTTTTATATACCCTAGAGGTTAGAGAGAAAGCTAGTAAGGAATATCTTAGTAGCTATAAAAGGAAGGTGCGAGGTAGCTACAAAGAAGAATAAATAAGAGCGGCAGGAGCAGGAGATCATTAATAAGAGAGCGATTTAGGTGCACTCTTATACCGTTTTATATACCTTAATACTACAAAGTTGCTAAACTCCTAGGAAAACAGGAGACGTAGGCACTATATACATACTAGTATATTACAGGAGTTAATAAGGCACAATCAAGGCTCCTTATATAATATAAGTTATCAGTAATACTTCAGCGATACTCTAGCGTCGCTTCGGGAATATTCAGCGCTATACTACTTTAGAAGGCTCTATTTACTACAGATATAGAGAATAGGGGGGCTGTTAGAAATATGGGGATTATAGGCGTAGACTTAGTACTATAAGCTGTACTACTGAGTACGCTACCCCTTTATATAGGAGATTCTCTCTCTCTGTAGTAGCTCCTTATGCAACTGCAATTATGACATCGCTGTACCTCGCCTAGTTTGCGAAAACTAGGCGAAAGGGCGGAAGCCTCGCAATTAGTAGGTCATTTACCTGCCTAAGGTAGATACTGTAAGCTTTACGCTGCGGGAGATCGCTCGTTTGATCTGCCAACTCTTCCTGTCCACCAGTGACACCACCACCAGGATTTCCAATCGTCATACCGAATTTACTACAAAAGGATGGCACGTCCCTGCACTCCCAGGGGCGTATCTAGGTATCTCCCCATTCTCATTCTCATTCTCATTCTCACGCCCGCCCCCCGCGAGCTGGTTTGTTACTGGGCCAAAAGTAAACAATGCCTTTCTCCAGCCTGGCCGTCACGTACTTGGCCGTGACTCTGGCGTCGGCACAGACAGTGTACCTCATCCGCCATGGGGAAAAGCCCGCGGACGGGAGCAATGGCCTCACAGCGCAAGGATTGCAAAGAGCTCAGTGCCTGAGGACTGTATTCGGGGCGTCTTCCGAGTATAGCATTGCTTACATTGTTGCTGAGCAGCCCAAGTCAAGTAAGAAGCCCATTGCTCTCCCAACAAGTAATTCGGTCGAACAATAGACAACGACTGCCTCTTTTGATGTCCAATTACAATGCCCATTTTGCTAAGTCTCGTACAGGTGGCAAAAGAACCCGCCCTCTGTTGACAGTTCAGCCACTAGCAACCGACTTGGGTCTGACGGTTGATACCTCATGTGATCGAGATGACGCGGATTGCGTTGCTGATCTGGTTGATGATTATAACGGCCCAGGAAACATTTTGATTTGCTGGGAACATGATAATTTATCGGATATTGTGAAGGCTATGGGAGACAAAAACCCGCCGAGCTACCCAGATGATGCGTTCGTCTTTCCCTGAAGATCCCTGAGCAATTAAGCAGCGCGACTTGCTGACGGCCTCTCTAGCTTCAACTTGATATGGACAGATCCGTCTCCTTACAAGGGTATCACAACGACCACCTCGGAGAATTGTGCAGGCTTGGACAGCTAAGAGGGGAATCTCGTGAACTGGGAAGGAGTGAGGCATTACTGTAAAACAAAGAAAGGGTTCCAACAAATAATGTACCACCACAAAGAGTGGCTGAACCTTAGAGAGGTAATCAATTTTCATGAAGTCTTCTTTCGTTCCTATCATGGCCTCATATTGCAGAACTTCGCTACTCATGACGACCAAGAACATATCCCCTCAAATGTTTGTTCCTCAACGTCTGCCGGCTAACTTCGCGTACTGAGACACTCTGGATCAACTTCCGCTAGCCAAGTTCCCATTTGTTAGACGCTTTTTGCTGATTCTTCCTCTGGTGTTTCCAATATTGCACCTCCAGTCCTTTGCCAGGGTGAAGTTGTCCCATAAACACGTTTGAAACTATTCAAAAGACCACGTCATATTTACTCATTGGTTTACTGAAGTGATACGTTCTAACGTACGCACATTTCTTCTTGCCGACTCAAAACATGACCTCAGTATCGGAGCATGAAACAATACTTCTATCGATTTTGACTCCTCGCGAGAATAAAGATGTGAAGAGATGTGGTAAAAGCAGTTATCGTATTGCAGCCTCGATGAAATGATCAAAGTCCCAGGCCTGCTGCCTACCAAAACTATACCAACAGTGACACCAACTCATGCGCCAAAAGCTACCAGCTGGCATTGTGCTACCAGAAGTACTTAGATATCCGCCAAACTTACTCCAAACATTTCACTTCCAGGCCAATGTCGGCACAGTGTTGCATGAAGTAGTAAGTCATTACCAGTCAAGGCAGAGGTGCGATTCAATACCAGCATATTAATACCACCAATCGCCGGCATTCAATTTGAAGGCAGACTTTCCAGCTTCACATCTTATACTCGACATGGTAAATAATGGGCTCGCTTAAGATTATGTCAGAAACATCTTGCATGCTCTTCAGCAATTGAGCTCCACGTAAGTTTTTGCAACAACACGTATTTCATGAGCCGTGCTACCTGTCTAAACCTTGGCTCGATATCCTCTGACCGGTCCACTTCCATTCCCGAATTCGCCTCCCGTAGGCTTTTCCTTTATTCCCAGAGCCACAACCCTTGCCTCCTCGTCATGGTTTTCATCCGCATTGTCCTCAGTCTGCTCCGTCGTCTTGCCCATCCTCTTCCTCAAGATCTACAGCAGTCCGCTTCCTTCCCCTACCCTTCTTCTCCCTCCTCTTCTCGCCTTTCCCCCAAAGCTTGGCCTGTTCCCTTTCCGTCCACCCTAAATCATTCTTCTTCGCCCACTCCTGACCAACCTCCGCGAAGGTCTTTCCCAACGGATTATCTTTCTCCTTGTGCAAATTCTTCTTCTTAGCCCTCAACTTCCCTACGGCATCTTTCATACGTTTACTCGTCACTCTATCCCCTCCACCACCACCAGTATTGACACCAGTCCCGACAGCTCCATCGAAGTAGCGCGTGATGTTCGCTTGCGTACCTTCCTGCTCGCGACGATTCATATCTCTGATAACGGGGACGAGGACTTCGTCTGTGCGTTCTTGTGTCCATCCTATAGTGGCCATGAGGAATTCACGAAGTCGATCAAGATCGGGAACTCCCCATTCGAAGGCATCAGGGTTGCTGTCGACGTCTGGTTTGAGGTAGGCTTCAGTAACTGCTGGTGAGGGGAAAGTTGGAGGAAGGAATAATTTCGTGCCTTGTGCACGTCGGAACTTCTTGCGGAATGTGGTGGGTTCGTTGTTGATCGGTGGGCCATTGATTTGAACCGTTGACCACCACTCCTTGAATTCTTGGAGGCCAGTCGAGGCGGGAAATTCGGAGAGAATTTCTACGGCTGTGACAGGGCCGACACCTGGGAGGCCTTCTGTGTAATCTGAGCCGAGGAGATGGGCAATGGCAATAAGTTGATCGCGAGACAGAGATAGCTCTTTCTCGATGTCGGTTGAAAGGTAGCACTCGACGAACTTGTTACTATTGAACATGTTTTTGTAAACACGAGTGCCTCCAAAGAGAAAAATATCGCAATCATCTGTTACCACGCCATCAACAAGGCCCAAACGAACGAGTTCTGCACATTGAGCTTCAGCTTCCATCGGAGCTGTGATGTATGGAATACCAAAGAGTCGAAGAAGAGCTTGGCATTCAGTAATCATGACTTGGGTGACCTCGTCTGCATCGCGGCGGTCTTTCTTCTGTTGGTTTCGTAAAGCTTTGAGTTCTTGTTCGAAGGTTGCTTGGGTTTCTTGTTCTGTTCGATTATTCAGACTGTTTGCGAACTGAGCATGTGTTTCGGCTTCCACGGCGAGTTGAGCGAGTAGTTCCTCGTCCTCAGGATCACTGAAATCGTCAAACTCAGCGTCAATTTCAGTACGTTCTCGTATAGCAAAACTGTCGTCTTGAGAAAGTTGTGCGGGAAGTGTACCCAGCACTTCAGTATCGTTAAATGGACTTTGGCTTCTCGCAAGTGGGGGGCTATTCCGATCCGCTACCTCTGGCACTAGCATTTCAACATCTTCAAATTCAGGAGATGCCGACATCGACGGGGAGATATCAGTCCTCTCGGGCGGCTGCTCTGCATCGAGTACATCCCTCAACGTCGAAGTTTCTCCATAATGGCTCTCAGACCACTCTAGCTCTTCGGCTTCCATATCCTGGGATATTGCTTCCACTGATGGCTGTCTGTTATCAGGGAGAACTGGCATAGGGGGTTCAGCTCTAATAGCTTCAGCAACCTCTCCAAAGGTCTCCGGGGCAGCATGGTCCGGTATTGTTGCTACCCAAATTTCTCCCGCATTCTTGGGGGAAGAAGCTTGCCTAGACTCCGCAACATCTACACGCAATTCCAGATTCTCATAAGACTTTTTCGGCTCTGGCGCTTCCACGACCTCAATATCACTGTCCTCGTCTGAAGAGTCAATCTGAATAGGCCCATAAGCTTTTCTATACATCCTCTCTTCCTCATCAGCCTGTTCTCTATCCTCGGCATTAAGTTCACGATCTCTCTCCTTCTGTAACTCAACCTGATTCCTTATATCACCACCAGCTAGCCACGGTGGCAGCTCTCTCGGCGCATTTTCCTCTGACTCGCAATCGAACCCACCTGCCATATCCTCGCCATCTCGACTTGCGTTTCCGCTCTCATGGTTTTCAGCTGGCTTGGATTTCTTGAAGAATATCGAACCGAGACTCTCAAAGGGTAAAGGGCCATCAAAGGGATTTTTCTTGTTCAGAGTAACAGGTGCAGGCTGGTTTCTCCGCTCAGGAGCCTTCTGCCTCCTGGCTTTGGCTAGCGCGGCTTTCATATCCATATCGCTATCACTGTCGGTATCAACATCAGCAGGAACAGCTTTTCGCTTGGGCATCGCTGCATTAGCTCTGTTGTTGACGATATGTGCAATTATGCCTCCACTCGACCCCGAGATTGGCTTTGCGCTTTCGGCCGCTGGCTTTTGCTCATATTCTGGCAGTGGCACATCTTCAAAATCCATCTCCTCATCGGGTTCAGATTCTGGTCCGTGATTCTTCTGAAGTGACATGGCAATAGCTCGGTTAAGATGATCATCCTCATCGGACTCGGCTTCCTTTCCATCTTTCTGCAAAGACAAGGCGATGGCTCTATTGAGATCCTCTTCCTCCTCATCGAAAGCTGGACCTTTCTCGCATGATAGTTCTGCTGCTGGATTTTGGTCTATGAACAATGAATCTGGATCGTGCGATGGAGCAAGGGTCCGGCTGTGTTGGGACAACGGTATTTCTTCAGACGATTCCCTCGAATGTGCAGCAACCTTTCTACGTTTGTGGGCGTAGAACCTTTTCCTTCGCTCAGCAAGTTCTTGCGCTCGAAACTCGGTATACGTCAGGTTCAGCATGTTTCTTGTACTTGGCTGGGGTAACCGGTTCAAGCCCTCGACGGGAACATCCTCAAATTCGTCCTCGCTTTCTGAGTCATCCTTGAACTTCTGGGGTATGGCATCGATATCGATGGGTTTGTCCTTTCCTCCAACTCCCTTATCCGTACTCACAACACCGAGGGCATAACCACCTTCGGCACCCTCATTCTTGACCAGTACGTACTCCCTGCCCCTTTCACCAGCAATCCGTCCACCACCAACACCAGGTAAGTCGTTCATGCCATTTAGATTCATCAATCGTTGCGTCAGCTCATTCCTCTCCCTAACCCTATCAATCTGAAATCTTGAGAATGCCATTCGATCTGGAAACATGCCGTCCAGCTGCTCCTTACTATGGCCCATCCTCAGCCGACTCCTTAACCTAGCCGCATTCAGAATATTATATCGGTCTCCCGCAGGAAGACTCAGGAAGAACTCCCCATTAAAGTCAATCTTGCTGAAATCATACAGATTGACATCCTCGCCATTATGGAACTGCCTCGCATACTCCTCAAGATCTTCCGCACTCATGATTCTGGGATCGTTAGGCTGGCCCATCCCCTCGATTCCATTCGTCAGGTCGGGGAGATGATATGCGTCTGTCTTGCGGAATGTACGATTCTTGTTGCGCTCGGCGGTAGACATTCCCATCTCGCCGACATACACCAAGTCGGCGCCTTCAGGAATGGCTTCCTCTTCATCCTGAATCGCCGGCCTCCCACCCCTCTCCTTCTCCCTTCTCACCTCCCTCTTCCTCTTCTCCTCTTCCTCCTCACCCCTCCTCTTCATCTGTACCGCCAATAGTTTCCCCGCTGTCCTCACTGCATCTTCCCTCCTCCCTTCCCTTCTCCTCTTGCGACCCTGTATAGTCTGACGTTTGAGGATTGGTGCGCCGCCATCGAAGACAAAAACGGGCCTGATGCCAAAGAAGAGTAGTTTACAGATCCGGCGGAAGAATCCCACAACATGCGAGTTACGGAGAGCATTGCCCTCTTTATCGCGAACTGCTTTGAGGAATTGGTAGATCCAGATTGAGGCGTCGACGGCGAGACGTTTTTCGTTGAGGGTTGGGAGAGGCGTTGGGCGGGCAGAGGGAGCGAGGATGGGCCAGAGACCGGTGACTCCCATGGCTGGGATGGATGAGCGGTGATTGATGTTCTTCCTGTCGTAACTTGTAGAGTATTTGTGGTTCTGGGTCTGGAGGGCATCTATCTACCTTAAGGCGGGCTTGAAGGAGGTTGATGCAGATGGAAGGTAACGAACGCGCACATTATGCGCCCTCCTCATGCTCTCACGCAATTCTACTTTCGTTCCTCACCTTCCGTGGCTGTATCTGTTGCTTACTTCCACAGAAGTGAAGGGTTGTTGTCGCCCGCCTGGATGACAAATGACGTTGATGACTCGAACACGGTCTCGCGGTCTCACATGACCGAATCCAAATCCGCTTCCAATTCAGCGCTGAAAGTACCACCCCGCTATCATCCAATATATACCAGCAACATACTCTACTTTGGTATATACTTTGTTCAATACACTCAATCCCAGCATAACAATGGACAAATCTCAATCAGAAACTTACCTCACCTCCCTCCTCAATAAAACTCTCCGCATAACAACAACAGACACGCGCATGTTTCTAGGCCAATTCAAGTGCACCGATTCGGTATGTATCCCCAGTCCAAGCTGCAAAAATTCAGGCCGCTCTCAGCTACCGCGGACATTAATCAAGGGTACCACCATCCTAACCACCCTCACAGGACCTCAACATCATCCTCGCCCAAACTTACGAATACCGCCTCCCAGCTCCGCCAAAACCCAAGCCCTCCCCTTCAACAACCAACTCATCAATCCCAATCGTCCAAGACATGACCTCCCGCTACGTTGGCCTCGTCGTCGTTCCGGGGGATTACATCACACGGATAGAAGTCGAAGAGTTTGAGAGCCAGATGAAGGGCCTGGGCAAGGGTGCAGGGAGTGGGAAGATGGTTGGTGAGGGGTTGAGAGATTCACCGAGAGAGGGCTCGCGAGAGAAGGAAGGTAGAGAGGCGTTTTGTGTGGGTAGAGTATGTGAGCCGGATACGGGAAGTGTTTGGAAGGAGGAGAATGACGTGGTTTGAGTGTGGCCATGACCTGGGAATGTGATCCCGACTGCGAATAAGCCTCTTCTTAAGGGGCATAGACAAGCATCGTCAGGCTTTGTGGTCGACGCAGAGCTTTGCCGCCTTCTGAGGTCTAAAGACATGGCCGCATCGATGCTTGGACGTGGAAGGGAGATCAGTAGCTAGGCTGATTAGATGATTGATACATTTCGTGTGCTAACGGAACGATGCATGGACACGGAGAAGAGTCGATAAAGCCATGTATCGAGATGTGGGAGCTTGTTGGACAAGATACCTGGACTTGGGAGATTTATACATGCGGAACGACGTATGCATTGGCCGGATGTAAGACTTGACCTGCTAGGCCGGATTGCATAGGAGCAGTGGCAACAGCTGAGAAATGTTTTGAAACGTTGGTTCGAAGCAACTCTTCTCGGAGACTATTCAGGTCACATTTTTTAAGAATAAATGGACGCGCCAGAGATCAACGTGCTTATTACGAGTAACAGCATACCCCTACAAATATAAGACACATCCTTCAAGTCCAATTCCTATTCTCATTGCCTCCAAATTACGTATTACCACCACATATCAAGCCTCTTCCTCGTCCTTGCAAGCATCAAGCATAGCACATCGAAAAAGCGCATTTCTTTTCTTTCATGAAAAGGAAATCCTGGGAATAAACCGCCACCAGTCCAAGTCCGACTCCCACCCCTGGAAAACACCAGCGCAATCCAATGCAATGCTCTGCACATTGCATCATTGCTAAAGAAAGTGGAAACAGATTTATGCGACGACAGTCTCCTGACGACCGCGAGCGTTCTCGCCGTTGACAGTGCTGTCTTGGATAGATGGTGCACCAACCTCCTCCTCCTCCTCTTCATCCTCATCGTCATACTCCTCGCCTTTGTGAGCGCTCGCTGGGAGCCAGGAGTCTCGATCGTTCAGAGGTGCGTCCTGGCCAGTAAGATCATGACCCTCGGCATTGCGCTGGATATTGTTGCGGCGACGTTGGGAAAGGGTACGGGCGCGAGTAGAGAGGGTGGAAGAAACCTTGGCGTTGGCGGTAACCCAATTGGTGAGAGCATCCTCACAGTCTTGGATGATTGCTTTGGACGCTTCATATCCATCATATGCGGCACGAGTCTCACCTGGGGTAACAGGAGTATCATCGACGAGCTCCAACAGGTGCTTTCCGTACCCAGCAATGATGGCAAGCTTCTCGCAGTGCTCACGGAGAGCATCGAACTGGTAGGTATAGGCAGCCTTTAGCTTCTCGCGGGTGATGTTTGAGAGTTGCGCCTCCGCGACCAGCGACTCAGCTTCAGCACGGACAAGTTCCTGCTCGAGAACGACAATCTTGGGGGAGTTTGGCTCCTTGTACTTGAGTTGGGCGATCTGATCAGTGATCTTTTGCTTGCCTATCCACGTCATTAGTAGAGAAGATGATTGCTGTCGTGTAACCTACGGTCTCTGCTGGGTTGAACGGATGCCTCAATGTTACGGATCGACTTGATAGTAACACGGTATTGATCATAACGGTCAATGTACTGGTCCTCAAGCTCGCCGATCTCGTAGATCAAAACACCAAGCTTATCCGTGACATCCGACACATCGTCATCACAAGCTTCACCCCAGATGGAGAGTTGTTGCTGGAAAACAGTTAGAATGAGGTCAAGATGCGGCTATATTTCGCAACTTACAGCAACTTCCATGCGCTCGCGGCCGACTTGCTCCATGCTGCGCATAACATTCTTCTCCATCTTCACCAGCTGAGAGAGCTTCTTTGCAAGATCTGGGCCGAATTGGCCGGCGGTTTGACGTCGGAGAGCATGACCTATAATAATAAACGTCAGCAAAGTGCTGTCGTAAATAGTGTACAGAGACGTGGCACATCATTGTGGCGACTAGAATCGAGGAGGAGCGACTCTTGCTAGAAGCTTGAAGTCGAGGTCGAGGAAAATACAAGAACATTTGATTGCAATCATGCCACTTTTTTCCTGGAATGGAGCTCAATAGCCACAACTGTCGCGTCTCATCCCCAGTCTACCCAATTATGCCAGCATGTAAGACGGAAGGAATTAAAAGTTCGTCCACGTCATAGGAAATGTACTGACCGAGTCCACCTTTTCCGAAGAGTCTGCCTGCCTTTGTGCTGGAGGCTGGTGGGGGAGGGTTCTGGAGTTGCGAGGCCTACGGCGGATCAATTAGCAACAGCTCCGAAAGTCCTCTGCACGCCTAGCCACTGCAGATGGTGAGGATATACATACAGTAGGAGCCCGCGATTGTCTCATAGAATAAGTGCGGTGCATGTTGACGGAAGCTGCGGAATGCGCAAAGCTGACGACCGGTGTGGATAGCTGTTGGAAGACTCTAGGTTATCACAGCAGAGCAGAGCAGAGCAGAGCAGAGCAGAGCGGAGCAGAGCGGAGTGATCGTGGGTATCAAAGATGATATGATGTGATATGATGGCTGAGCAGTGATCAGGAGGAGTTGTTTTGTTTTGTTATGAAGAGGAGAAGAGAAGAGAAGAGGAAGAGGAAGGGGAGTAGAAGAGGCGGCTGTTGCGACCTCTCTGTTATTTAGGAGGGAGAGGGAGCTCTTAGCTGCGTGTGCCTGTGCCCGTCCCCGTCGAGCGTCACCAGTCGCAGGCTCGCAGCCGAGCAACCAGGATACTGTAGCGATGACGTAGGAGGTGGCCTCTCATCCCAGCACTAACTACTTACAGCACGAGTACTGGTACTCGTAGCCTAATTGGAAGGTTACCCAGCACCCAGAAGAAGCCAGTGCAGCAACTAAGCAACCCGCTAGACTCCGTGCAGCGCAGCGCAGTGCAGTGCAGTGCAGTGCAGTGCCGAACCAGAACCAGAACCAGAACCAGAACCAGAACCAGAACCAGCCGGATGTGGAACAAAACAATCGTTGACGCACGAGAGCAGCGCCGGGCAAATCAAGTACAGTACAGTATAGTACAGTACAGTACAGTATAACAGTAGCAGCCAATAATGGAGGAGGATGGAGCAAGAGCTCAACGCCATGCCGTGCCAATTGCCATGCTCTTCCAGTTCCAGTTCCAGTTCCAGTTCCAGTTCCGACTTCGATTATTATTGATTCCGTCTTGCTCCCTTCTTTCAAGTCCCGTTCCTTGCGTCTCGGGACTTGAACAGTAGCTGCCCGAGCTGCCATTATTGTAAATTACCATGCACAAACACAGCACGAACACCATGAAACGTCCACCCGATCTAGACATCCCCAGCATCCTCTGGCTCTGGCCGCATCCATCATGATCTCCGCCAGGATATATGCCCTGCCCTGCCCTCCCGAGTCTTCTGCTCCATCCGGCTCCACAGTTTTCTACTTATCAGGCCGCCTTAGGGTATCTGCCTCCGCAGGTTGGTACAGTACAGTAGCATCTAGACCTTCCCCCACCTGTTACTGTACTGTAAGAACTTACTGCTCTGCTCTGTTCTGTTCTGTTCTGTTCGGCTCGGTACACATCGAAACAACATCCGAGACCAGACAACAAACGCCACTACTGTACTACAGTACTACGGTACGTCGGTGACTGACGACGCTACGTCACCGTTTTCGAACCACACGACGTTTTGGCAAATAATGAAGCAATCTTAATCTTACCTTAATCTTGAATCCAGGCAAATGGTGACTTAGTGGTGTTACCTAGTCTTGGATGGGTTTGGGATGGCCAGATAGTCCGGCGATGTTACTCTAGTCCCCGTAGTGTAGTGGCTGTGCTGTACCTGACTACTTCAGGTAATGGCTGCACCTGCAGGCAGGCAGGTGTTCCAACTTCCATTGTTGATCAGCCGGGAAGCAGGGTCACGTGTCGGATGAACGACTGCCGTCGATCATCCAAGGTGGCTCGTTTGGGTGTTTTCTGGCTCCGAGTTTGGGTATGGGAATGGGGATGGGAAGCTCGAGGTATATTTATTGACTCATCTATGTTTACTTACTATTCATATCCGAAGAGGCAGTATTTATTGGCCAGGTGTGGCCAATCGAGAGAATTTGCTGCGCGTTAAGCTTCACTGAATAACGATCGGAAGTCCAAAGACAATCATTCGATATCTCGGTATGCAATTGCTGATTAGCTATTTTCAGAGCATATGAAACAAAGTATCATGGGGAAAACGTCGGACTTTCGTGTTTTGGAAGCGTCTTAATCGGACATTGTATCTTTGCCCATGGCGTCGTCAGAATGGGTTCTACCCATGAATTTTCCATTGTCGGACCAACTGATGTCCTTGCAAGCGAGTTTCCTACTGGAAAGGTCAAGAGACATAGAACAGCATTTAGCAAAATCGTACCTCTACGCTCAGAAGAATCGGTTACGCTTATGTATAGTAAGCTGGATCACTGGTAATCTTGCTCCTAAGACTAGCGGTTCACCACCACAGCCCATGGATCAATCACCGAGTGTATCTCGTCGGTCTGAACCTCTTCCTTCTCGGCCTCACAGATCCATCGTCGTCATCCTCCTCAGCATCCTCCTCAGTCTCAGCAGCATTGGTGTTCTCTTCCACAACCGGTCCCATCGGCGCAGCAGTCTTCCGCATCTTACACCCCCTTCCCTTCTTATCCCCCGCCTTGCCACCGCCACGAATAGCACTGATCTTCTCCCTCGACCCCTTCTTCCTCTGATCCATCCCATCCAGCGCATCCAGGGCCTCCTCTCCCTCCAGGACACCACGTTTACCTCCAGCCTGTGCCTTCGGCAAGGTCTTATTGAGTCCCTGCTTCTTCGCGAATTTCTCCCCATAATTAAAGAGGAGTTCCTCGCCGACGTCGATGTCGCGGAGAGCGAAGAATTTGATGCGGTGTTCGCCATTGACGAGGACGATCTTCGCCTCGCAATTGAGCCCGTCAGTGGCGCTACCGCTGTGATTGATGAAGCGAGTTTTGTTTCCAAGGCGCGCGGCGTCGATTACGCGCTCTTTGTTGAGGTCGAATAGAAAAGAAAGGAGTTTGCGGTCGTAGACTATGCCTCTTCGGTCGGCCTCTTCGGATGAGATGTTCTGGGGCGAGATGTTAGTGCAAGCTCAGGTGTCATTTCGCGAAGGATTTTTGATTTACTTCACCAGAATACTCGCTGAGATAATCGCCTTTCTTCACTGGTTCTGCTAGGTACAGTCCGAACCCTACAAGCTGACTCTCACCCATAACCATCGCTTTAGAAACGCCTCGTTGCAGATAGATATTCTGACAGCCTGTTGTGAAGAGTGCATCATCGTACTTGTTGGCTGGGTTGATACGGGCTAGTGCTCCGCAAGAGCCGCATTCTGGACCACATTCCCTATTCATTTTAATACAGATACAGCTGTCTGATGTACAGGACAGGCCAAACGCCAGACAAGAGCAGCCGGTAAACCTTCTTGGGCAGTCGTCTGAGCAGCCGCAGAAGCTCTCGCACAAAAGATTTGCGGTGGCGCATGGGCATGAAGTCTCGTCATCGCCTGGCCGAGCGATACAAGGTCCTGGGTGTCCACACTGTTTTCTGGGTCAGTAAAATACATCAAAGGGAGATATTATCACTCACAGCAACTACTTGTTTTCTCTCTGCATGCTTATGTGCATCTGTGTAATCATTCAAGTCTCCTCGGAGGGCCTTCCTCTTGTTGTCATACCATTCAAGTTTCTTGGGCCGTCCATGAGGAGGTTCCTCGATTTCCTCTGCGTGATGCTCGCTCTCGTACTGCTGAATTTCAGCCCAAACAGTCCAGCAGGGAATATTTAGAGCATAAGCTATATAGCAAGATCGGTAGTTGGGATGTCGGTAGGTGGCAATCATTTGGGAAAGGATTGCTAGGTGCTCCTCGTCGAACTCGTAGTCCAAATCCGAGAAATCAGTAGCCATGTAACAGTCATTCGAGCAGGACTTCTTTTTATTCTGAGGAAGAGGTTCAATATCGTCCTGAATTTGATGCTTAAATCGACGGAGCGTATCTTCATAGTTCAGATTGAGAGGCTTCGGATTGTATTTCATTTCAGGTGGTCCTTGAGGGGCCTCATCGTCAACATCGCTGAAGTTTATCGGCTCATGAAGAAAATCCCCATGTGTCGGACAATCGATCGCTGCACATATCAAACACGTAAGATCTGCGTATGTCCCAATCCGATTTGAGGTAGGGTTGGGCTTCTTGGTCGCACTTTCAATCATTTCCTTCAACAGACTAGCTGGGAGAACGACATCCTGTGTCTCGATATCGAATACTGTCTCGAAAGCATCACAAAAGTTGCTAGCAGCTTCTCCTATGCGATAATCTAGTGGCCCACCAAAAGATTCCAGGAGTAATCTCCGCTGGCGGCGGTCTATGCCAAGTTCACCGCTCTCCTCGTTTTGCAGTAGAAGGTAATGTTTGAGTGCTTGCAAGTCAAAGCCAAGTTGAAGTTCTTCCAGCCACATCGGCAGATACTGTCGAATACGAGAAATTTCCTCTGTTTCACGGCTGGTAACGGAACTCCGGGGACTGTAGACTTGTTCCAGCTCCTTGACAAGTCGGCTGAAGTTGGCTTCATTTCTCGTTCCAGAGTCGCCTAAGAACGGTATGAATTTCAACTTCTCATCATCTGCCTTAAGGATATTGCGCCGAACATTCATATGCGAACTGTACTTTGGTACTCGAGGAGCGTCACCAAACACCTGTTTAGCGAAAAGCGTGCTCTTACCTTTGCCCAGCTTGCCGCTCTTCTGGACAGGCTTCGAGATTCAGTAAAGCATAGGAATATTGGGGCGGATTACTTACGTAGTGATAGAGAACGTCCCTTGTCGTACCATCTGGTGCTTGGGCTCCCGGCTCTAATACCACAGAGGCCATAAAGGCAAAAGGCGAGATTTTGTCTACTGCCCGAGAATTCCTCTCCAGAGCAGCCATTCGTGCATCGGCCAAAACATATCTTGTGGACAACGCGTGGCCATCTCTCATGCCTTGCAAAAACCCACGCAATCGGTCATCCAAGTCAAACGCATCCTTTTGTGTGTCAAACTTGGCTAGTTGCGCCATGCGTTTCCTGGGAGACTGACTTCCACGTTCTGACAAAGACTCTCCAACGATTTGTTTCTGCTTTTTCTGTTGTAGACGAGTAATAAGTGGCGATGTTGAGCCAATTGAAGAATTGTCATTTCGTGATCTCCGTTCGCTGTTTGACTGTTTGGAAGGAGAGCCAGTTGGAGGCATCTGGCTCTGGGAAGAGAAGATGCCTTCCATCTTGTCATCTTCATTCTGGTCCTTGTCTTCATCGTGACTGCTATCTTCATCTTCTTCCTGATACTCATCTTCGCCCTGGTCCAGATCTTCATCCCTGTCATCCTTGGCTTCAGATCTGGATCGATACATCAGAGAATGTTCTCCAACAACATTTCGTGGGACAGCCTCTGTAGGCTTAGGGGCTTGGTTGAAAGCTGGATCTGGAGTACCCCTTGAACCAGAGGCGAGAGGCTCTCTTATTTTGGGCGCATGTGGAGGAGATACTCCAAGAGGTAGATCGTAAAATTTTAACTCCTTGTTGACTGGCTCTGTAGGATTTCCTGGTGAGCCCCGAGTTGGTGTGAACGTTGGTTGGAAATGTGTATGTGGTGAAGGCTTCGAGGAATATGCTTGGGTCGGTGAAGCGGGAGAGAACTTTACGGCTGGTGTTGCAGTGATCCTTCCAAATCTTTGGGGTGTAGCATGAGCAAAATTGGAGATCGTCGTGGATGGTTCCTCAGCCTGCGTACCAGCATTGGAGGCACCAGTGCGTTGTGGACGAGAGGGAGGAGACGGTGTTCGCAGGTCAATAGGATCTGTATGTCTGACAAGAGGTCGTCTACGTGGAGGTGGAAAGTCGTCATCATCATCACTACTAAGCAGATCAATGACAAGAGGAAGTGGGCGTTGAAAGGCCATATGGCCGGAGATGCTCTCTAGATTCAAGATGCCCGCTGCTGTCAGAGCAATATAACGTCCTTGTCTTAGCCTTTAATGGCCGGTCGCAGGACCTTTATCCTGGCGTAGAGCAGGAAATGGATAGAGTCTTCCAAGTTGTTGAACGTCAATTCGCTATCACGTGATAGGCTCTCTGTGAGGCCGTCGTGAGTCCTGTTTCAGAGCAGACCGGTGGAAAAGGCGGCTGGAGACACCATAAGGTAAGGCTGGTTCTACACTTCTATGAAGGGGTGACCTGAAGTGTTTAGAGTCATAAGTGCTGGGCTTGGTGAGGTGAACATGAGTGTTCCTACCTATGGACGCGCGCAATAAGGTACGCGACAGCAGCGTCTCCCGCCTCCACCAGCAAATAGCCCTCCACCCTCACAACCAGCGCAGTTGCTGCTATGCCTCCCCAAGAATGATTATAAGAAGAAGAAGATCATATCGGAAGCGAGAGTCGATGATTTGCGGAAGGCTCTCAGCACTCTGGAGGTGCAGTGCAGCGCAGCATGGCTGGGCAGTTGGAATAGGAGCAGGTCGTCCTGGATTGGGTCCGCTTGCTGGAAAAGGTGGGCAGGGAGCAGAGAAATTCTTGTGCACAAGTCGCACAGCAAGCATAATTCCACGCGGTCTGCATAACCTGATTACATAACGACGATCATATTATCCACTCCTCATCGCAGTCTTTCTTCGATAGACAAACACTACGATATAGGTCGATGCTAGTAGGTACCTTTCGCGACATCTCTTTAGTTAAGTCTGATATATTTGCCACTCAAATCTACACTTTGTTACCCATTTGCGCTTTGTCTCTCATGTCTGCTGCCACCCACGCCCGCAGAGAGTGCTACCGTAGTTCTGTGCTATGCTGCTGCCGCTGCTGAAGATTCTGTGATTCGTGGCTTAAGGCAGCTGAAAGCCTGCATGGGCATGCAAGCCACAGGTGGAGTTACGGCCGGCATCTTCAGCATGATTGCGGGTATCCTGCAAGCCTGACAAATTGAAGTGCAGCGCTGCAGTCTCGCAGACACTCATGCATTCTCACCACTGCATCCAGGGGCTTGCAGCGTTCTGTCTCAAGTCACTTTGCTATGCTGCTTCATCTTGCTGGAAGAAAATGTTCCGCTTGAGTTAGCATTATGATACGGATATCGATGCAAGGCAAAGCGGATCTCCACACCGCAGAATCTTTCCCCTGCAGTCATCCCATGTATCTATGTTACTTTTGCGGAGTTTCATACCCTATCTTGGTATCACTACAGGCTCGAACTCTTGGCACCAGTCAAAGTCTGTGGACCTGGGGGTGAACCATGGGCTCGGAGACCTTTTCTAGGCCTAGAAAGTTTTTTGAAGTTTGATATCGTGCCTAGTTGCCACAGGGTAGCAGCCATCAAAGGTTACTCCCGAACAAAGGATTCCGAGGTCCCCAGTGTTCGCAATTACATGTAGGATATTTCATATCCCCTCATGTAGTGATATGAGACTATCCGAAAGAATACAAAGTGATATAGGACAGTCCTCGCAAATGCGAAGTATTGTCGTTACAATATGTCGTATCCGAATATCACTTAAGTGCGCTAGCACGCGGGTGACTTTGAAGATGGAACTTCGTCGGATTCTGGCCCGAGCAGGAGCTGAATGGAAGATTAACAGAAATAGGTCATATGCCGAAATCTCAAAATGTATGTAGACCACTGTTGCTCCAGCCAGCAGATGGTGCGTCAGGTATGAAGAAATCCCATCATTACGAGGCTATCTGTACACACGCCGCAGCCCAACTACCAGGTACGATATCAATTATGACTTCAATGCTGGCTGTTCCCTCTCCACAAGTTCTGTTGTTATTTTCTGTCAAATGGTGGTGGGCCATGTCGCTTCTTGATCAGATCCGCAGCCTAAAGACTGTCAGTTGCATTCCACGACTTCCTCGCTCCAACTCACTTTTTCACCAGCAGCATAGATCGTAGCCGATGGCGCACTCGCAGGAGTAATAGGCATAAAACTCGCATCAGCCACACTCAATCCTTTCACGCCATAGACTACCAACTCATCATCAACAACACCGCCAAGCTCCAACTTCATCATTGGCAAAGTGCAGCATTCATGTGCATTGGAAGGGTTGATCAACGTTCTGAACTTGGCTTTCAGGTCTTCGTCACTGGTGATGTTTGCTCCAGGGCTGATCTCTGTGGGACCGAGAACTTGCATTGAGGGTTGGGCCATGATTTGTCTGTTCTTTGAGAAGAGTGATAGGACAAGTTCGATATCGGTTGGATCTGTCAAAGCACCATAGTCGATGAGTGGATTGTCGAGGATGTTTGTGGAATTTATAGCAATCGATCCTCGACTCAGTGGTTTGATCATATAAATTGTTGTCTGGGTTCCAGTGTTCTAGCTCAGGCTACCAATTGCTGTCTTTGAAGATGAATAATGTTTGAATAACAACTTTCTCTGAGCGGCGTAGCCTTTGACGACGGAAGGGTGAGTATTTGGTGGGAGGATAGACGCGGGGTCTTGGGACTTAGCGAGGCTGATTATTGGCTCCCAGTTCAAAGTAGCATTCTTGAGTGGGAGAAGAGCGATATTATTTCCTGTTCCTCGGGTGAGGGTATACGCTCCCTCGCGAGATGCATCGTATAGGGCTCTTTGTTCTGCATCATAGGTGGAATTGGTGTTCAAGCTGCCACCATTCGGCTCGATGTTGGAAGTGACTGGAAATCTCTGTCAACAAAATGTCAAGATCATGAAGGATATCAAAGAGAACTGACAAGTGTAATCTACTTTTAGGTCAAGATGATCCTGGAAGTTTTGTCCGACACCTGGAAGATCAACGACGACTTTGATACCGAAGCGCTGCAGTAACGCTTTAGGCCCAATGCCTGAAAGCTGAAGTATTTGTGGTGAGTGAACAGCTCCTGCAGCCATTATGACCTCTTTTGTGGCTTTGGCCAATTGTATTTCTCCGCTAGCAGGCGAAAGATACTCAACACCAACAGCTGTTTTTCCACGAAAAAGAACTTTGGTGACTGCATGCCCAGGCAATAAATGATAATTAGGTCGAGAACTCTTGATTCGATCGTAGTGGACAGTCTTTGAATAAGATCTGATTCTAGCGACTGGATCTAGAGCTTTGAGGAGCCAGAAGAGCCCAGTAGCGTCTCTGCATTGGGATCTCTTCGAGGGGCTATTCCAAGATCTGTTGCGGCATTCCAGAAGTTTGCTCACATGGCTGTCAGCACTTCAAAGAAACAAGAGAATCTGAAAGGTGTCTTACCACTGGATTGATAACCGTATGGAGCGTAACTTGCTTGTACAGGACCGTTGTTGCCGTGGTATGAGCTGTCCCAAGTAATGTTGTACTTCTTCGCGAATGCTGCTTCTGGAGGGGTGAAAGTTTCACTCTGAAGGCCGTTAGCAGTTGTAGTCTCGGTAAAACACTTCTACTTGCTTTCTTGAAATACGGGAGGAGATCTTCCCATCCCCAGCCACGATTTCCGAGTTCTTCCCAGGAGTTGTAATCCACTGCTGGGCAGCGAAGGAAGAACATCGCGTTGATCGTGGATCCACCTCCAACTACTCGGCCCATTGGAACGAAGTATGTGCCATTGTTGAGCCCTCGCTTCATTACATCAGTAAAAGCGAAACGTACTTGGTATGGTACAGAAAAACTGACCTGCGGGGTACTGAAAATATTTGGCCAGAAATATGGGACAGGGAAATATGATCCAGGAACCAGAACAGAATCTTCTCCTTGATCAAAGGGACCATACTCCACAACCAATACGGATGCTGCGTTTTGTTAGGAGTGAGTTGAAATCTCCACTTCATTCAAACTCACTGTTTGGCTTTTCGGTAAGTCGATCAGCAACGGTCAACCCTCCAATTCCTGCACCGACAATAATGAAGTCGTAAGTTGTATTGGCTGCTGTCTTAGAATCCACGACCCGAGCATACTTCCCTAAAGGACCGCCAAGCACACCATGCAAAAGCAATAGAAGGACGCAAGTGAGCGGGATTGTCATTTTGGAATTTTAGTCGATGCCCGAGGAAGCCAGAATAAGGGGATCGTCTCGGGAATTTATAGCCATTATTTGGATGTAACCTTTGATAAGCGCTATTCTTTGAGGGTATCTCGTCCGAAATAACCATGCGATCAATATGTAGGTGTATGCCGCACCAGTTGTGGGCAGAATACGAAAGCGAGCAGTCCATACGGATGCCTGCTTCACCACCTCGCACATGGGGAGTTCACAGGGGCCGGTTCACTTCCGGCATATCTTGCAGCTGCCCCTGTTTGCCAAAATAAAGGTGGATATAGCATCAAAATGGCTAGCGACCTACTTCAGATAATCGATCGTAATGAGGTCGTGAGAATTGGTATGTCAGTGTCTTATAAGTAGTGTTGGATACATTTCAGGCTTCCTCATGGTTCAATTTGAATTTTTCAAGATTGTGACTGTGATTGAGTATTGGCAACACGCAGAGCACTAGCAGGGAAAATAATCGTTACCATGGTACCGTTCAATGACCACCAATAGAGCTCACTAGATACTGGCGAAGATCCCGTCCAGAACCGAGTACAGCCCCCCATTCTGATGACCACGAAACAATAGACCTGAAGGAGAAGAGTGCCAACCAAAATATACACAGATATTCGTTCCCTAATGCTACGGCCTACGATTTTTGAGTCCATTGCGGACTATCGACCCCGGTCTAATTCTTTGACCTCGACAAAGACGAGATAGAAAGCCCCCTGGGTAAAGGAACAACCCTGCGATCAAAGTTCAGACATCACGCCAAATCGTTCCACTGAAGATATTGTCTTGTGCCGGTATCTATGTGAAACCTCAATCGTCCTACAACGGCGAATTGGAGATACCCCGAACTTTGATGGACCTGGACATATCAGCAGGAAAGATGAAAGTTTTAAAGTCAGAGTTTACTCTGAAATTATGCACCCGACCGGCCAACCGAACTCCACTTCTTAGATCGATCTAATGGTAGGCCATTGCTTTGTACGATGGGCTCGAAAGTAGCGCCAGGTGTCTCGGGAGCTAAGTACCGCCGGCAAATCATTTAGCTCTACACTATCTTTCGAATCAGTGGCATGTATTGGCCGAGGCTGGAACTAAGTGAGAAAGCCGGGAAGGCTAAATGAACATAGCGTTATTGACTGTCCAAGGGATTCGAGAGGCTTTGTTTCGAGAAGAAGCGAGAAGAATCGACGCTAACTCACGTCTTCGGGACATCATGTGTAAAATGTAAAAAGCAGAAGGTCATGATTGTCATATTCTTCTTCATTAAGCTGCACCCAGCATAACACTTCCAAGGGCAGCTAAAAGCTCATTACCTCATGTGATGTCCACTATCAAACTCCAGGACCTTTGACATGCTGGAGCGCACCGGCACCCAGTCCCCCCCCAAAATTTACTCATGATCATCATAAATAAATCAATCCCACCCCCAAAAACACAAAACGCCAGAACCAAACACAAGTCTTGCAACAAACAACAAGCAAGAAGATTAAGGCACTTCCCCTCCCGCACAACTCCTCCCCCTACTACCCATTACTCATTTCACACGACCCTTCACTACCCTCCTCCCCTCATCCTCCCCACTCCCCACTGACCACTCAAGTCCCAACCCCCTCCTAATCCTCTTCCCCTCCTCTTCCTGCTCTCGATCATACACAGCATAGAGAGCTTTTAACCAGTGCTCCAGAATCCTCTCTGCCTCGCTCACGTGACCGAACTGCTTGCCAGTCACACGAGCGTCATACAGCATCCTCCTCACCTGACTTTGCACCGTCTCGTACGCCTCGATCATAAGCAGAATTTGCAGGCCCGAGGCGCGGTCTTTTGCTTCTGTTTCTGTTTCGAGAGGCTGGTGGTGCCGGAGGAGAGCCGTGGTGAGCTCGTTGGTGAGAAGCTCGGTACAGATTTTGAGGCCGATGTCGTTTTCTGGGGCTGACTTGCTAAGAGCTGGGAGGGAGAGTTCATCGTCCTCGTCGCTGATGTCGTGGATTTGAGTTTGATGATGAGGATGTGGACTGGAACTAAAAAGAGATCGACGATCTGAGGAGACCTCCTTCTCGAAATCCGCATCAAGTGGTGAGCATGGTGGTGAGCCAACTAACGTCTCTGCATCCGAACCTGGCGTTGATGGTGATGGTGACGCTCCGCATTGCGAGTGTTGCTTGACCAGATCTCGCAAACTCAGTTGACATTTGATTTTGCGAAGCCGTTTGCGAGTTTGAATTCGGTATGAAGTCGAAATTGAAGTGGTACGATCGTGATCTTCCTCGTGATTTTGGATTGAGATTTGGGACTGGGCGAACGAAGTTTTCAAACGAAGAGGTAACACTGCTTGGTACTCTGATGCGAGCAATTGCGCCTTGTCCAGCTCGCATTCCACGGACTTCCGCTCCAATTGGCCGACGAAAAAGACGGGAGTCTTAGATCGCCTACGATACATCCCTATCTGCACCTCATCAGCCTCTGCGTCCATATCGTTGGGTGCCGGCGAAATGAAGCTATGGGTTGAGTAGATACTGATTGAATCGTCTGAAAGGAATGAAGAAGAAGAACGAGGCTGGAGGAACAGAACATGTTTTTGAGATTTTTGGTGAGGACGTGGGAGAGGGAGAGGGTGATGGAGAGAGTGAGCTCCAATAATACGAGGTCGGGCACTTGATGAGAGCTGCAGCTTCGTATCCTGGTTCTGGCACCCCCTTGTCCAGACATCGTCATCGGCTGGAGTTCGGTGTGCATCGACCTCCAAGCAGGATTCCACGCCGATAACAGACGAATCCCCAGTTATTCTCTGCCCAGGGGAAAATCTGGTGTCGAAGTAGCATCCAGGCGTTGCTTTTTGGAGCCGTCTTCTCTTGTGGTCTTCGGGGCCTGATGATGCCTTCATTGCTTTCGCTGGTCCTGAGTCGGAAGGATGGCGAGCAGCCAATTGCACGAGCGGCATGCTGGTGGTGTGTGGGAGCACGGCACCATCAACAAATAGTTGTCAGTTGGAAGCAGGTTGATGAGTTGGGTACGTGGATATATATATATATATATCGTAGTTTTGAGACAATCGTGATTGATGGACGACAGCAAACGGTATGTTCCCTGCTGATTTGTCTGGATCTTGTCATTTAATCATTGACAAGACAGCAGACAGGCAGGCATGAGCTTCTGCTCCACGCAGTCATATATCAAAGAATGGCTTTGTTGTGACATATGGTTTGGCGTAGCGAGAGTATCAGAAGCATCCACCCATCTAGGAGCAAGAGAAGCAGAGGGGAGCAGAGGAGAAGAGAGCAGACCTCCTTCATATTTCATTTCATCAATCAATGGTCTTGACAAGTTGTCTGCTGACACCGTTTCTCCATCCCTACCTCCTGTACCTACTTCCTCATTCTTTGAAGAAGATAGGGAGGGCATCAGAATGTACGAAGGGTAGGACTTGCAGCCACAATTTCGCATCTCATCCACCCACGGACACCCCCTCTCCCCTCCATTATGGTGAGGTGAGGTGAGAGCTGAACAAACGAGTGAGCCAAGGCCCAGCCCCAGCCCCAGCCCGACTGAGATTTCACGATGGGTGCTGGTGGTGGGCCCTACTTGGTTACCTGCCTTCCATTACATTACCTACCGTACCTCCAGTCAGTACGGAGAGGGCTTGGGGCAGTCCGGCAAGCAAGCCGTCGCTGTCGCCGTCTTAGGATGCCGTGGTTTGGTTTTATAGCTGTGTATATTACCTAAGTATAAGCATGTCACTGCTTCCACTGCAGGACTTCCAATTCCATTCCATTCCATTCCTGTTGTGCTCGTCGCCAATGATCGCATTGCAGAAGCTGCAGCACCCTACAGCACAGCACCCTACAGCACAGCACCCTACAGCACAGCACAGTCTGATCCCAGTGTCTGGGCGGGGCGGGGCGGGGCGGGGCGGGGCGGGGCGGGAAGTGGGTTGGGTTTGAGTATAGGTACCTTATACGCGGGCGGAGGTACGGTACCTATTGGCGCTGACTGGATTGACTGCAACTGGTCAGCCTTTCAGGGTTCCATTTCATTGTTCAACATCCAGCTCCAACTCCAACTCCAACTCCAACTCCAACCCATTTCTCGCTCGCTCGCCAACTGTCGCTTTCGCTTCCTTCTTGTCTCTTTCTTGTCTTCTCTTTTTTTCTTCTTTCTTCTTTCTTTTTTCTTCTATCATCTCCCTACCTCCATCAATACCTAATCTCATCTCATCTCATCTCATCTCATCTCAGTATACGAGAAGAGGCGACAGATAGGATGGGCCAAACGAGACAGTGGTGTCTTCAAAGCGAGTCCCTCCTTTGTGCTAAATTTAGCCTACCTTATCCTTCCCCCGCTCCGATAGATGGCACTACCTTACTGACCTGAATGCTACTGTACCTTGCTTAGTAAGCTGCTACGCTGAGCTTTGGCAGGCTGGCGGGGTCATGGCTGGCTAGAGCACAACACAACACAACATACCTTAACACAACAAACAGAGCAGCCAGCACAGTACGGTATATCCTCAGAGTGGCGCAGTCCCACCGAATTACCCGGCCAGCTTCTGACTTCCAGCCTCTCTCAGTCCTCCCCCGCCATGTTTGACACTCGGCTGAGAGCTGCGTTCAATCATATTCCAAAAGTGTGGTTGCACGAGAGCTGCAGCCCATCGGCTCATGAGGTAAACGCATCATAGGCTGTCACTCAGAGATCCTTAATTAACTATGGAAGGCTGCGAGGCTGAGGCATCACTTTACGCTCGTCGGCACTTGCCATTTCACTTGCTTTTCGTTCGCTGTCTGCTCCCAAGGGTGACTGGCTCCCAGTTTAGGTATCCACGAATATGGATCTCCCAACGGACAACCTCAAGTTCTTTTTGATATCAAAGCTTTGAGATTTGTTGTTTCTCGTGTCCGCGACCTTATGATGCGTGTTCTGTTTTCACATTTTCTATCACGTCCATTCCTGTTTACGCTAGTCTGGGGCTGCTACGATGAAAACCTCCGACGTGGAGACCCATAAGGAAATGTGTCCTGCGAAACTAAGCTTCAGCCATATGAAGACAAACTCATTACCTATGGTGAGTGAAGGGAGAGTGGTGCTGGCTGAGCAGAGAGGCAGCACTCCTGCTCATGCTCTGGTTCACGCCTGCATCCTTCACAGCCGTCGGAGCGGGCAATGGTTCGAGTTTTGATCAGGCGGTCTCGTCTAACGAGAAGAAAGCCTTGACGGCAAAGAATTTTGAGTTCTTCCCATCTGTACATTTTCAGCCTAGAACTGGTGAGTTGAAAGCTTGCTATATCAGAGGTGGTCCTGCTCCTGTCTGGGGAATAGAACTGCAAGTTCCCATCTCTGTTTCGAAGTGTCTCTTAATCTAAAGCACAACAACTACTTATCCTTCTTCATTTCCTCTTCCTCCTTTCTCTTGCTCTGAGTCATCCTGTTCAATCACCACTCCCCACTGATCTCATTCTTTCTATAACTTCAACCCCAAAATGAGATACTCAACCCTCTCAGTGCTCTTCTTAGAGGCAGTTTCTGTCCTCGCAATAGAATCTTACCCATCCCCATTCTACCCATCCGAAACTTATCCAACTGCGACATACAACACGGCTACTGCTTCGTACACTGAACCACCTACCTACCATCCAACTCCAAGCTATGCTCCGGCGCCCCCCTATCACAACGATTGTGGCGATTAATGTGGGGGACTTGCGGTGATGGGATTGTCCAGGCTCCGTACGAAAAGTATGCAGCTACGAATGCAAGTGGAATGAACGCTTATGCGGTAATGGAATTACTGAGTAGTAAGTTCGATTCAGGTGCTTGAGAGGACAGAACTGACTCGTTACCAGTCCCGAAGAGTGCGATGATGGCGACTTGAAAGGCTCGTGGAGTTCCCATTGCAATGTAAATTGTACCCTGAAGGAGCCATGTGGAAACCCTAATCCAGCCAAGTGTGGAAACGGTATTGTTGAGTAGCAAGTCTTTATTTATCCGTATCCAACGGACGCGGAGTCAACTTCTCCAAGAACTTCCCACTAACAGCTACCAACCCACAGGTCTGCGATGATGGCTATCTGAACAGTGGGGACAAATCAAATTGCACAACTGATTGCACATGGTGCAATACCGAGCCTTGGTGCGGCGATGGCCACATCGATTACGAACTGGGCAAGACCTGCGACGATGGTGCTGACAATGGTAAGCCCCATATTTTCTCCGAGACTATATCCCAGCTGATACCTCCAGGAACGCCCCAAGCAACCTGCACCACAACTGCCAAACCACCTCCTCCTGCCCCGATTCCTGCCCCAGCTCCACCTGCGCAAGCTGCAACCCCAATCCCTTCCTCAACAAATGCACCATCACAACCTCCTGTATCAACACACCCACCGGCAACAACTACTGTGCTTGCCGCGCGGGCTACCGAGCTAATGGATTGGAACCCATGGATGCGAGACAATTCAGATTGGCGTTCCCGGGCCAGAAATAGAGGGTCTTTGTCGCACCGGGTGTGGAGTGTGATACGCTTTGTACGAGTCCTTTCCCTGGACCAGATAGTTGTCAGGAGGCGGTCTCAGTGCAGGTCACTTGTTAGAATATGGGGAGTTAAGCGAATACTTTGGCTTGATCTGGAATGGAATCGGATGAATTATGATTTTGGTCTTGGACCATTTAGTGCTGGGTGGGTGGTAGCGTCACCTACGTTCTGCTTTATCTCTCATTTCTTCGTTTAATCCAGCAGTCATTTGCAGTCATGTTCCTGTATTAGCTTAGATAGAAGCTGCTCTTCATCATCAATGCGAGGCCGTATGCATCTTCGCTTGCTGGAACCAAGAGTAAACAAAAGTCTTGTGGGCATGAGCCCATGTTGTCAACATGATATCATCAGAAGAATCTTCGATTTATTTATCATAATCACCCAATTTACTAGACCCAAGTATCTACTATTACTCCAGAAATGCCTCAAGCTTGAATGATCTCGAACCCACTCGCCGTCATGGCATGCTTCTCATCTCCCGACGATATGCCCGCGGCGGCAAGGACATCTTCAACCATCAACTCTTCACTCCCTCTCTCAGGCCATGCCTTTCTTAATCCCTCCCAGCATCTCACTTCCAAGTTCTGCTCATCAAATCCCCCAAAATCCCACGAAACTCCTCTACTACTCTCCAAACTCGGGTACAGCCTCGATGTAGCCGCAAACCTCCCATTAACAAAGACCTCCACGATGGAGTTATCCACCATCACCCTAACGTCTAAGTCTTCGCTGGGTAACAAATGAAACTTCCCCTCATCTGGGTTAATCTCCCCGAGATTTTCCAGTGAAGATCGAGACCGGTGGATGCTTATTCGCTGATTGGCAAGATCGATTATAATTTTGGAGACTTCAGCGGATGAAGGTGATTCCCGAACGTTAAAGATAAACCGCTCGGAGCCAGAGAGGTTGCGGAATGTAGCCACAATCTCGTAGTTCAATGAACGGACGGACCGGAGACTGTCAAGTGAGGTAAACGGAGCTGACTGACGGAGATGAGAGACTTGTGGTGCGAGACGCATGCCCAGAGTTGTCATCTTTCCTGATTTTTCGTTGATATTCCAGCGGTCCATGTCGCCCTCTATACGTGAGATTGGTGCCGAAATCTCATACAATTCTTTCGGGTGTGTTAGAAAGCCTGCCCAGCCTTGCTTCTTAACAATCTGGCGATTTGCAGCTTCATTCGCCCAGCCCAGCTGGAGGATTCGCCCTTCTGCATCGCGGAAGATGTGTGCTGCATAAGCGATACCATGGTCAAGTTGGCCGTGACTTGTGACGCTGAACTTTGGCTTGCCATTATCGAGACTTAGAGTTCCAGACAGCCAGAGCAGGGCGTGGCCATCGTGTCTCTTGCTGGTCTTGTCCTCTTCTATTCCGATGATGATATAGTGTCTTTCACCAATGGTGAAGAAACTAGCGCACTCAAAATTCATGCCAAAATTCAGTTCGCTCGTAGGGGTAATTCTGGCATTTGCTTCCGCTTCTAGCAAGATACAAGTTGGCTGCCAGTCGAGAAGATCATTGGACTGATAGAGAAGGAGTTGAGGGCCACGACCTCTTTCGCCAGAGGCAATCAGCATGTAATCGGTTGACGAATCAACTCCAAGGAGTTGAGACATCGGTTCCCATTTCGAGACAAAGGGATCTCTCCATCCGGTCGTCTTTTCCAGTTTCGGTGGTATCGTCATCAAAGGATTGTGTTCATATCGTTGCCATGAATTCCCATAATCTGTTGAGAAGGCAACAGATTGCGACTCACATCCATCCAGGTACGGCAACGACCAATGTATCGGCACGGCCGAAACACTCGTATAGAATAGAAACAGGACTCTCCTCCCATCCACTATCCTCGACACAATGGATCCAGAGAACACACCCAGGCGGTCGTATGTAGTCCCATTCCTCAATGCAGGCGAGCAATCTTCCCACGTTACCATGTCTTTACTCCTTGCCATTCCCCAGGCGGAATTGCCGCCTTGTGTGGTTCCAGGATTCCATTGGTAGCATATTCTGTATTCTTTCGTTTCGGGGATGTAGACGGCGCCACAAGGGTCGTTGGACCATGAGTGTGGAGGGATAAAGTGCGAGGTGGGACGAAAGCGGTTGAAAGCCATGATATGATGGTACAGATAAAAGTCCACCTGGCTGGAATAGCGAGAATAAATCCAGGCGTACGAGGAAAACAAAGCGCTGAAAGTGGAAATCTAGGTGTCGTCCGCGAGGGGCAGAGCCAGCACTGAGCAAGACTCGTGTCAAATAACCAGTAATAAAATATCGAAACGAAAATTTCAATCGAAGAAAGCGAAATCAAAAAATAACAACCAGAAAACAAAAATATCGAAGAGAAGACAATATTTATTCTTCCCTAACCACGCAGCAAGCACACTGCCCAGGACTGGCTCAAGTCACGTCAAGTCAAGTCCAGAAGTCCGTCATCTCGGCTGAATTCCGACGATTAGCCGGCCAATCATAATTATGCCTTCAGTTAATAAGTTGTCCCTCCTGACTCAAAGGCGGAAAACTCTCCTCCTTTCTTAGGTTTCGTACCTCTACCCATCAACAAGGCTCGCCACGCTGGCAGGTCAAGGCAGGATTGCGGCTTTAAGCTGACGAGAATTTCAGCGTGGGAGAAAAACCCCGCCGCAGGCAGCTGTTGGAGGCATCGAGGCATCGAGGCTATGTGGGAATGGGGATGGTGCGGGACGATCGGGTGTCGTTAATTCACCCCATTGGCCGCCTTGGCCGTTTGGCTTGAGTTCAGCGCGGGTTCTAGATGTGGAGTAGGTCCTTAGCCGCTAGTTTTCCGCTTCATGCACAAAAGAATCGACTCAAGCGTGAATCGTGATAGACGATGAGAAGTACTGTAGCAGTGTTCTCCGTACGTATAGACCGAGTAAGTTGGTAGGATAAGTAGATTGCAGTTCCCGTTTTGGTCGCTCCTTGAAGGTTGGTGGTCTATTGCTTGGGTTTCCTAGAAGGTTGGAAAGTAAATAAATAGCATGCGCACCTCCTTATGTTGAGCAGCATTCCCACTAAACTCTGCTGCTGAATACTTCAGTTACCCTTGATTTCCCACATCGCATCATATGCATGCGGAATTCCAAAAACTCCAAATTCCAGCCCACTCTAACATAATCGAGATATTAATCAACATCCGGCGCGCTTGGTGGCCAAAAAGCGTCCCAACCAGGCGTTGGCATCGAGAACGGGAGACTTGAATCTCCCATCGTCATACTGACAGGCGGAGCTCCAAAGTTCCCCACTCCAAGCTGATCCACCTGATTGAAGTTCTCCTCAATCATCGGTCCCTCATAACCCGGGTATTGCACATCGCCTTGCTCGGGTAACACAACTTCTTCGTCATCGAAAACCTCCTCCACCCGGTCCGAAGCTTCACTGTCAGATAGACTTCCACGAAGACGCAATTGCATAACACCATCAGTCTTCAAGTTCAACATCCTCATGTATTTTTCACCGCCCGGCGTGGTCCCAAGTAACCTGACCATCTCCATCAAATAATCTCTTGGCCCAAATTCCATTGATGAACTGTTGATTACGTCCGGATTCAAGAGCAAGACGTCTGAAAGGCTGCAGCCGATATCGAAGACTTTCTCGAGCAGGCCGACACCATTCGCTTCGAAAGCTTTGACGGGTAGCGACCGTGCAACTTGGACAACGTCCCGAGCAATGGAGATGGGATATTGGAACGACATGCTTTCATCTGATGATTTGCTTGATAGAAAGCCCTTACTAACGCATAGTTGCCATACCAAAGTCCTCAACCATTGTCGACTGACGCGGAGATCGGCTTGTTGAATCTCAGTCCTATCAGAACCATCAGGGATAGCAGTCTTCAGAATCTCCTGTAGCTGAATCAAAGCTTGAGGCGACGAGTCACTGCCGGACATATTCCATAGCGTCATGAAAGACTCATCGAAATGCTGGAAGAGAGATACCAGGTCGAGGAATCCAGATAGAATGGTAGCTTCCGGCCCGGGGTCCACAGTTGGTAGGTCGATCGTTACTTGTAAAGTAAGGGGCCGATGCCGCTGTAAAGCATAACCTCGCTCCGTGATAAACAGTAACCAAAACGTCCTCCGGCAAAACTTGGCATACTCTGCGTCTAGTTCCTGATATGTTGCTTCCTCATGAAGACGCAGCAATTGCAACATAGTCATCGATTCCCGAATGTAAAACCATGCCGAATTATCCATCCCTAAACAAAATAACGCCGCATACATAAAGAATGATGTGTGAATAGTTCCCAGTGAGGGTTTCTCGATATGGTCACAGAACCATCTCGCTCGGACCGCTTCGTTGATAAGATCTTGCGAGCTTGGCCAAGGTGATCCTAGTTGTGGAGTATCGATGATTTCCGGCTGGAAAACGATGAGTGCACAGAGAGCTGCAACCATCCCATATTGCTCCGGTCTCTCATTCAGATGTGGGATCATGGAATAGGTTTTCTCTTTGTCCAAGACGGGCATAATGGGATATTTGTGAGTGAAAAAGGCATCGAGGCAAGTCTTGACCAGATCAGCTGACAACAAAGGGGAAGCTCGGAAAGCCGTTGCGTTGTCGTCCGCTGAACTTGAAGAAGCAACAGTCGGTCCGCTCTCCGGGGAGAGTACATTTGGAGTAGGATTTAGGATATTGAAAAGCGAAAAATCGTTAGTTTCTGTTCCCCGACTAGCCGGCTGCTGCTCTCTCGCCGCCGGAAATTGGCCATTCGAAGTGTACTCGAAAATCCTCGGCCTCTGAATCGGGACGGGTTTCACATCCTTCGCCATCCTTCGTCCCTTAGGGCCCTTCTTCTTTGGAATAGCCAAATACGTGCATTGCAGCTCTGTAATCTGGCAATTCTTGCACGGCTTCTCCCCATCACAGCGGATCTTCCGTGCATGGCAGCAGTCACATGCTTGCCTGATCTTCTGCGCTTTTTTCGACCCAGCGATTGGCTCCGATGGCATTGCGCTCCATTTGACGACTGATTTGTAGGGCTGAGAGCGTGATGGGGATGGAATAGAGATGTAGTTGGATGAGGATGATCGGATGAAGTCCCGCCTTCAAGGGTCGAGCTAACTTTTTAGTGGCGCCGCCGAGAGATGGGATTTGGCCGTGACTCGTGACAGGGGAAAGCCGAGGCTTTATTGGCATAACATTATTCTAGAAGCAGGACGAGTGACTACGAATAATGAGTGGCAGAGACATAAATCCTGACTGTCGACTTTGAAAGAGCTAAGCAGCTACAAGGAGAACTCCCGCCCTGCACATTAGTCACGTGAATTCGATCCTTCCTTCGACTCATGTTTCCTTGTTCCAAACCAAGATCAACCAAAGACGAAGCGGTAATTCAAATTCAATCAGTCAACGACAGCCTGAGGGAAAATACACCGCTCTTAAAGTCCTCAGGCATCATCCAGTGACATGCATCCCTGCTCCCTTCTCTCCTCTAAGCTCACCTTCGGGAGCACTCGGCAGCACTCCCAACGCAGACAGTTGCTGGAACGTCCTAACCACACTCTCTTTCGAATCAAGCACCTCAAAACCACACCATATTCCTACACCTCGTCTCAATCAAACATGGTCTTCCCACCACCGACTTGCCAAGCATCACTGGACTATCTAGTCGCTTGACTCGATATCAAAGTCCTAAGAAAACACTACAAGGAACAAAGGCACGTTTAATTCAAAGTATCGGAAGCTGAAATCTACAGTTACTAGTTTTACACGGCATATTTGATCTTGAAGACCCAACAATGCTGACCTGCAGAGCTCAGTGCAGATGGAACCGTAATCACGATACCTTCTTCGGACTGCTTCCAAGTAAGGCTCGTCCCATTTCCAGCTCCTATCATCGAGATATTGTCTCCGGGCAATATGGGCAGCGGTACGTCAACCACAAAAGTCTCAGTTGGCTCTGTCAATGATAATATGTAGAAAGCTGTTTCGGTCTGGGTGAAGCGAAGATCACCTGTCTCGGCCGCAACAAAGCCATTCAAAGGTTAGGTTACATCATTGAGAGCGCCGTAAGAACTTACAAGTAAGTTGTATTGAAGATAGCTTCGGCATTCGCCTTGATCCAGATACCAGCCTCAAGCAAGTGAGCGACTTCTGTTGCGTCAATCGTCCCGTCGGCCTTAGGTCCGAAATCGAGTAGCAGGTTGCCGTTCTTACTTACCATGTCCACAAGAGAGTGGATAAGCGTCGTGGCGTTCATGTACAGAGAAGCTGGGGTTGCTCGATTGTAGCCGTAACTGTAAGGATCCATTCCTTGGTTGCTCTCCCACTTGCGCTCAGAGACAGAAGAAAATGTGGTGTATTCTGGAGTATCAAAGTCTGCCCCAGCTGCAATACCACAGCGGTTGTTCATTGTGACTTGTCGTCCTTGGGATTCTGCGTAATTGAACCAAGCCGCGGCGAACTCGGCGGTTCCGTTGGATGCACCACAATCGCACCACATGATGTCTGTCTCATAATCATAGGCCAAGATCTCCATCTGCGGCACCATTAGATCTGATATGAAGTCATCTTTTGGAAGAGCCCCAGTGTATGGCTCCTCGGTACCGGTGTATGGATTTCTTGCCAGTATACCGGGCCAAGAAGTACTGGCAGGATCGGTAGTCTGTGAGAACCCATAAGGACCATAGAGAGGATTGAACTGAATCTGTTAGCCGAGATTAATTCGATTTGAAGCTACACCAACCCATTCTGGCAGACTGAAATACGTTCCACGCTTTAATTGAGGCTGATAAGTTTTTGCAGCATCAAACAATTCTCTGAGAATATCCCGCTTAGGGCCATAGTGAATCGAATCGCGATGAGTCGTCTCCTTGGCGTCAAACATTGCAAACCCATCATGATGCTTCGTGGTGAGGACGAAGTACTGAGCACCAGCGTCGGCTATCAGATCTACCCACGACTTGGCGTCCCAATTTTCCGCTGTAAAGTTGGAAAAGAAGTCATCATAGACAACGTCAGGACCGTAGGTTTTTAGATGGTATTCGTAGACATTTGCTTTGTCAGCATTGCGATGATGTCCATACCACCAATACCACTCTGCGTAGATCTCAACGGGTGTCGAATTGCCCTGGAATTGTCAGTACCTGCTAAATCTGAATACAGGACGAGGAAAAGGACCCATCCAGGAACACAATATGGTCCCCAGTCTGACCTTTTATCAGTAGAAGCGATGATCTCTGATTGTTGTAGTACTTACGAATGAATATTCCATACTTTGCATCGTTGAACCACTCTGGGCTCTCATGGGTCGACAGACTTGTCAGTCCTGATGTGTACTCCTCTAGTCCAAACTTCACACCCTCAATCACATGAGTTGCATTGAGCGCGGAGCCTGACAAATGGACAGTCGCGGTAACGTCCCCACATCCAATTACACCAACGTTGACCTTCTTCTGATCCCCTGGTCTCAGCCTCTTGATACATCCTGGCTCAGTGGTTTCAACTCCAGGTCCAGAAATAGTGATTTCAACCCCAGGCCCTGAGATCCAATCAGGGCCAGCATTGTTGATGACAACCTCAACGGTCTGCACTCTATCCGCATCATGCTTTTGAGTTGGTCGTAGGAACTGCACTTGGATTCCAGTCTGCTGCAGCAGCGACAAAGAAAAAAGATGAATTCTCGATGTGTCATTAGAAGTATCCGGCAAGGAGACAGAGGCTAGATTCTTTGAGGGGTCAAGAGCTCCAATGTACTCGAAGATGTGAGATGTGTTCCAATTGGTGCTGTTGGTCGTGAAGTAAGACGGCATTACAATCTCTCCCTTGAGAATGGACAAGAATGAAGAATATGGGCTGGTCCGGATCTCAGTAAGTGCTTCTGTCCCATCCGTATACTCCAAAGTGATATTCCCTGTGGCACCAGCAGATTCCGAAGCCACGAGCATATGTAAGCTGAAGAATGAAGCCACTGGCACTTCAATACGCTGACCTGCCATGACGACATTGTCGCTTTGGTTAGCAGCCTGATATCCCGGAAATGCGTACGAAATGTTTGTCTTGGTCGATGTGTAACGTCCATCTGGTAAGTCGTGGGCTGGGTAAGAGTTGTGCAGTCGGTCGAAGTTTGCTTCTCCTGGTAGGAGACCAAAACCTTTGTTATTGAAGTAGGCATCCAGGGGAATCTGCACTATTTGCTGGCCAACGTCAGTATTATTTATGAATTGGCCATTGACTAGCTTACTTCCGAAACAGTTCCATTCTCCCAGCGACGACTTGGTACAGCCGTCACGACTGCAGCCAGCCCGGCGGTCAGAATAAAGGCTTTCATCTTGGCGATACTTCTCCAACGACCTGAAAGTCCATTGTCCGTCTATCACATCATATATGGCCGTTCTAAAGCTCCCCCATTTTCAACTGCAGCTGGGGAACCCAAACAACAATTATTCGCTGTTCATCCGCTGACAGCTCCATGGTCCCCACTCCGGCTCATCCAGGTAGGTCGCCCGTGTCGCAAAGCGTAGCTTCTGCAAGTTGATAAGAAGCTGTAACGTTAAATTTGGCGTAGCATCGAACCGGGGTCCTTGTCAAGGGAGCACTGCTGTTCGACTGACAAAAGGGGAGCGCAATCTACGGAGGTACTCGTAGGTACGCGGGGTTGATCAGTTGCTAGATCTGCACGAGATGGCCGTTCCATACCGACCTACCTACTCCGAATGCGATTTAGATCACATTTTGCCTAGTCCTAGTCCTAGTCATGCTGCCATGGGCTGCAGGGGCTGCACGATAGTAATTGGAAGCTGTTGATGTTATCGTCGTCGTCGTCGTCGTTATCGTCGTCGTTGACCCGCGGATGTTGCCAAGTCCGCGATGGCGCCCATCCCGTCCACCGCAACGCAAACGCACCACACCTCACTGCCGACCGCATTCCCTGCGAGTCTTCAGCCCTCGGCTTCCGAAGCTTGTTCCTGCATCTCATCCCACTCCTGAAGAACAATTGGAACAGTCCTTACGGATAAATCGAGGACACCGATTACCCCTCATCTGCTCATTGCCTCGCAAGTATTCCACTGTGAGGCATGTTTCCCTCTATTCCATTCTCAATGACTGAAAGTGCCATAAAGCTGTCCCATGATTCTTTTTGGACGTACAGTATTGGTTCCTGACTCTCAAGGAGACTACCTATTATAGCCCCATCTTCTTCAACGGAGTTTATCTAATTCTCGTGGTCCAAGATGATGGCGTGATGTGTTCCTAACTCGGTAGGTTTGCAGATCTACCTCCCACTCTGATGTGCAATCAGTTTAGTCGGCAGCTTCCATGTTGTTGATCCCGACACCGACACCACTTGCTTGTCCACACATCATGCTACGTTACGAGGTCCGAAGCTTAACTTAGAGATCCTTTTCCTATCTCCATGCGACTCCAGTCACTCTACAACATTCGATAAGATGCCGCAGGTGACGTGTAGTCTTGTCTACATGGTGCACAAGTGATAAAAGCCACTGCTACAGTGAAGGCAGATTGCTATATGAGCTATTCAATTGCCCGTGCAAGGACCACTTACGTCCTTGTGGAGAAGTCGTTCAAGATACTCGCATCTTCATGTCAATCATGTTGCGACTTGCTTCAGTTGTCTCTCTCCTTGTGGGATATGGTCGTGCCATCAGTCCCGAATCTGCTGCGGAATTCGGCTACCCATCAGGCGTTGACGTTTGGTACGTGTGAAGCCTCTTCTACCATTATTCGAATCACAATACTGACATTTATAGGTGTGGAAAGGCATATAGAGCTACGTATGCAGTCTTTTCAACTTCAATTGATCTTTGACTAAATATTGGCCTCAGTAATGGATCGTTCGAACCTGGGGGATGGCTTGAAGAACCCGCTCTGTCATCCTCGCCCCTTTTGGATCTCTCAATACGCCCACGTCTAAATCTCTACCTCGCTAGCGAAAACTATGCTTCTGTCATCATCGATGCTCCAATTTCTTACATACATGGAGGAGCCTACGTCAATGCTTCATTCAACAAACAGGACAACATCACAAGTCCCTTCACCAAACTTTTCGTTGACGTCGAAGTCGTTGAAACAGGGCAAAACTTGCTATCAGGTCGCAATATTACCGTCAATACGACCAGTAATGAATTTGGCTTCAGTTTGTCAGGTCTAAAACCTCGACTTGAGCCCTATCAGATCGTTATCACAGGAGCATCAGGTGATGGGGCACAGTTCTATTCTTCCACTACTGATCTGTACTATGTACCTGAGCGTACAGATGGTGGTAGTGTAGCAAAGGTGGATAGCTTATATGGCGGTTTGCTCGTGCAAGATGTGTTTAGCGGCTCGACTCAGTGGACTCCACTATTTCCGTACACTTTCTACACCTCTTGGGATGGCTGGCTTGAGTTAAGTTTGGATAGTGAGCAATGGTAATCAATTTCTGAAGAATTGCAAAGCTAATTCATATTCCCAGATATCAGAGTGTTTAAAGACAAGGGTGAGCAGGTGTGGTAACAACGGTGTCAGTAAAGCTAACAAGAAACATAGGTTACAACATCATCCACATCGTTCCAAATGCTGGATTAGATAATAAAGCATTCGATTTTAATGAACTTGATACCTACCTTGACGTCATGGATGAGATTGGACTTTGGCTAATGTTTGACATGAGTAAGTGCATGTGATGTCGAAGATCTAAATAGGACGCTAACTTCTCTCAAAAGGATGGACCTATACCGTTAGCTCAAATCGTTCCAAAATTGACCATTTCTAATTGACTCAGAATCTCTCTTCCGTTGAAATGCAAGTCAACCGAGTAAAATCCCGCAAGAGCATGCTCCTCTACTACACCGGCGACGAACCTGATGGACAAGTTGGTATGCTTTTACCCCGTCTCCCCTGATCTCCATTCTAAATTGAGCACCCAGATGCCCTTGATGCCACAAAAATCACATACGACCTCATCAAATCTCTTGACCCTTGGCATCCCATCTCCATCTGCCTCAACTGCCTGAATTACTACTTCAGCGACTACACATCCGGCACTGACATAATCATGTCGGATCCTTACCCAATTGCCGTCAATACCACCTACTCGGTACAATACAATACTCTATGCAACACCACATATGGCTGCTGCGGCTGCGATAACTGTGAAGGCGATTTCAACGACATCACCACCCGCTTAGACCTCTACAAGGAATACCAAGAGATTCTCCACGTGCCGCAAAAACCGCAATGGGGAGTCCCACAGGCTTTTGGAAATGAGACTTTCTGGGCAAGATATCCGACCCCAATGGAAGAGGTGGTGATGAATATGCTGTTTGTCAATCATGGTGCGAAGGGCATTGCTATGTGGGCATATCCGACTGAACCTGGCTTGATAAACGTGACGAGTGCCTTGAGCAAGGCGATGACCTCGAGCACGGTTACCAAGTTCTTGTTGGGATCGAACCCGGTCAAGGTTGATGTGGGGGGTTTGGGGAGGATTGATGCTGCGGCCTGGAAGGTGGGAAATAGCACATTGGTGAGTGTGGTTAATACGAATTATGTACCTAGTTCGATGGTGAATGTAAGTATGGAGATTGAAGGGGCGGGAAGTATACAGCAAGTTGTCTGGGGAAGTGAGTGGGGTGTTGGGAGTCGAGGGATGTGGAAGTATGGTTTGGACGCTTTGGAGGTGGATATTTTCATTGTCTCCTGAGATTGTTTTATTGAAGGATTCTAGAAATCAATTCATCTTTTAGTTGACGAGAATGCAAAACACGGCCGGCCACACAAGTTCGGTTTTGTGCACCATCCGATCCCCCATCCTTCAAAGGAAGTTGTCCGTATTTTTCATCACACCGCCATAACAAGAACTTTCAAAGCTGCAGTTCAGTATTCACGTTGAAACATATATAAGACTTGGACAAAGTCTCACAGCCCAGATATTGTTATCAAAGACACAACAGTTTTCCTTATAGATCAAGAGTCTACGAAAGTTCTGGATACAATGAATGACCAGTAGCCGAAATCAACTTCCCTTCTAGGGTGCTCCTCCTAGACCTCAACAGATGCTGAGAAATGCCACAATGTTCCAAACGAACATTTCAGACGTGAGAATAGTTTTCCAACTCTTTCTCACCTTAACCAAGCTCTCAAACCCACGCTCCAAGCTCTTCTCGGGCTCGACTTGCATTATTGTACACCCAGAAATTCCTCCTGATATTGCCCAAACATTGTAATCATTCGCCCATGGCAATCTCTCTTTATCTCCCGAGCCTCAAATCCCTCTTTCTCAGTGGTTCAGCGGTCTCCATGATATCCTCTCGAACCGACGCTCTAAGTTGTGCTGTACGTTCCGCGATAGCTAGATGCTCACCGAATATTACAAAGTCCTAGGGCTGCAAATAATTTGTGTTATGTCGGTGCAGGAATGTTGTCGCTAGGACGTTGCGGTTGTTGAATGGCATCACGCATTATGCTATGATCTGGGAAAAGATTAGCAAGTGCTATCTGCCCACCACCTTTTTGATTATTGTGTTTCTTACCATCAATCTTTGCTTTGCTAGCATATTCCTCATCATTACGTAGTTGAAGGATTTCCTTAACTTCTTCAACATCATCGTCCCTTGCACTGAAAGTTACACAGAACTTTTCACGACTTTATGGCGGAAGACTGCAAATGTCGATGATTTGCAGCGTGCACTTGAATCTGGCTGGGGGTTTTAGCGCCAAGGTTTCGCTTACCCAAAGTAGACAAATCAAAATAAAGGACCAGCACAGCGATCAGCTTTCCTCAATGCTCTTATATTAGGACAAGACTGTGAGAACACATAACTAACGCTGACTGAGCTCAAGTTACATTCTGCAGACCAGACTAGCCAAGTCTTAATCCAACCCCAAGGAGGTCCCTCCTTGTCTCCTGTTACCTCGATCATTGAAATTTCCTTGGCACGCAACATGCACACCATTCTGCGAGCCTGAATCATCTTGCTTGGGCAAATTTTTTGCCCGACTTTGGGGGCTCTCTTGGGGCGCCAGAGCAGTTGAAAGCTATCAAAGATCTGTTAGTATGTTTGAAGTAGGAATTAGGAAGCTTATAAAGTACCAGTTGTTCTTCGATCAAGATGAGTTGAAGGAGGATCTTGCATCATTGTCGCTCTTCCCTGAGGTCAGAGATGTGATGGAGTCAGTAAAACTTCCCAGTGTAATTGACTAGGCCGCATATCTTATAGGATGTGTGTGGTACTGGCGTCGGTAGTGGAGGTATCTTGCTCAAGATCTTGGGCAAGAACCCGTTCAAGATTTCGAGGTCGATGATGACAAAAGGAAGGATTCGGCGCGAAGTAGGTTATTTCATGCCCATAATCAAATTTCGAGGCTGAACAATGTAGTGGGAGAGGACAAGAAGCTCATCAGTGAACATGAAGCTGCAATCCTTTATCAAATTGACAAAACCACCTTCAGTTAATAAGAGGCAAGTCACACGATCATATATTTTACATGAATGCAATGTAAATATTCCTTTTCCAGTAGATACAAAATGGCGCCAATAAGCATAGGGAGAATTCAACAGCGGTGGATAATAATGAACGTTGACCTCAGAAAGCCCCACCCACAACGCGAGCAACAGTCAACGTTTCATACTTTTTCGCCAACAGTTATATCAGCAGACCCAGTACTGTGATATCCTTCCGTCGCAATTATCATGTAGTCATGAGCGCCCAATTTCATGCCCAATTTGGCCCAAGCGTCGAAATGGTTCCCAACTGTGACTGTTCCTCCAACACGCTTGGATTGGCGTACACTCCAGTATTGCTGGAAGGTCGCAGTACCTATGATTGATGGCTGATTTGTTCGGGTCGTTTGGAGGATGTCATAGGTTGAGCCGTCTGAGGTAACGGAACCTTTCTTAGATGCTGCCGAAGAGGGGTTATATGTGCCGTATGTCTCAACGATGTACTAGGTGCAGTTTAAATAAACATTGCTTCTCAGAAACGAGGACCTCCATAAAAACAGTTTCTGCTTCGCTTCGAAGTAAGACCAGCTTTCAGAATTCTGCAAGAGGAAAAAGATAGCCTTGGGTGACTTACGTATTCTACTAATGGATTTTTTGTCCATCCGTAGAGAGAAAGATATCCGTTACCAGGACATGTCCATGTTCCATTGTAGACGACAGTTCTGTGCAAAGACTTGTCAGGCTTGAAGATTTGATGAGCAAGACATACTTAGGTCCACCAGGTTTCCAGCCTTTGCCAACAACCAAGTTGCCTGAGCCACTGCTCCATTTCACAGAGTACCTCCCACCTTCCAAGTTGTTGTAGCTGAACGATCCTCCATCACTCCAGCATGAGTAAAAGAAGCCATTGTTCGTGCCAGTTCCTTGAGGAGTGTCACGAGAAACAAGTCCCGAGAAGTTGGGAAGGTCTGGACTCGGTGCAGCATACACTACACCAAGGGCAGAGAAAGCTACAGCCAAATTAAACAAGAGAACCATCACGAAGAATCAAAGTTGGCTAGAAAGTATATGACAGTCCCGCCGCATATCCTAGAGGAGATCTTGTCGTTTTATACATTTCTCACCCATGAAAGTAAGCAAAACCCGGCGACCCTCACGTCCAATACTAGTATTGTTTGGTCATGGATCATCAGGCATTTCGATTTGGCAGAGGCTGACCAGAACATTTAGCCTCATTACATGGTAGAAAAATGTTCGAACCGTCAGATTGGGCGACGAGAGGAGGCTCATTATATAGAAGCTATATTGGCATATTCGTGGCGTCTGGGGTTAATTACCAGCATTTCAATCAGTGGCACTTGGAGGATCGACACAACTGCCGATTGGGAACCATGGGTAAATTGGTTGTCAGCGTCAAAAACTTGGGGGTTTTCTTATGCCCAAAAGGTAAAATTGGCCTTGCGAATCCAAATATTAAACAGCGGATGAGTTCGAATTATGCAGATTGCCTTTATCCGAAGTAATAGGGGGCTGTACCCCACATATCGTGCATGCTTCTAACGTCACATGGAGAAAGGGGGTCAGCAGAATGCGGGGTGCATATCTGAGAAAGTTGTGTGTTTCAGCCGAACGTCAGCTCTCTCATTTCGAACGTGGAGTGCAGAAGGGGAAGGATTTCTTGTGACAATAGCATTTGAATTGGTATATTTGAACGAGTAAACTTCAATGGCACCCAAGAATGGTTGCATTCTTTTAAAAGAAGTCTAGAAATGTTCATGCTTCACAAGTTGCTAGCTAGAGTTGGGCACGCTAGACAGCAATTTTTCTTTTCAAGCAAAGACCTAAATTATGACGAAATCAATCTTCCACCAGAAGCAACGGGAGCTTGTTCTAACGTTTAGCCTCTTCCATGTCTTAGTAGTGATTATATCTCCCCGGCCACAGATTGTCAGGCCGATGGACTGAGGTTACTATTCAACGTCCTGCCTCACTGTTGGTTGCCTTACACCAATCGCAAAACGATTGAATCGAGGATGTTGCGCATAAGACACTCAATGGAGAGAGTAGAAATAGATAGTCAAGATTGGGGGATATAGCATGTTGTGCGAAGGTCATTCGGAGCAATGTCTTCCATTGTGGTAGTGGAAAGGGGTTGACGGCCATTCTGATTTTAGTGAAAGCGAGCTTAGCAGAAGATGAATAGTGAAGTCTTCCAGCCAGTCCATGTGTAATATTCAAGATGCCCGCATTGCTGTGGACCTTAAGGCTTGACATACTGATGGTTAAAGAGCAACTTTCTCGAAGCTTTCTCTGGAATGTAGCACCTCTTTCCAGACATATACCCAACTTTCCAGCTACCATTTGGGACCATAATTCTGAAACTGAAGTTGGGAACGAGGGAAAGCAATTCAGCGCACCTGGATTATTTCCTTATTTTCCACAGAGTAGTTCGGATTGTAACAAAATAAAGGGAAACTGCCGCGCATCCATCGCATGTATCACAGTCACAAGGGATGTGCAGTGGGGCAAACAGAAATCTTTATTTCCATAAACAAAGGCAATTTAGGACCAAGATATCATGATCCACAAAGCAAGTCCGCCCATACACCATGCACCTCTCTATAAGCCCGTGCGGTATGACCCACTACTATATGAAGGACAGCTCCTGGTATGTTCCAGTGAAACTCCGGAAGGAGGAACCGAGAATTTGTGACCTGTAAACGCTTACCAGCCGCTATCATTCATCGAGTCGGCCCAGTTGTTGTTGCCTGCACCATCCGTGTTGAAGTTGTCTGCTGATATGTTAGTTTCTGTAGCATCTTAATTGTCTCAAGCTAAAGTTGAGGCATTGGGATTAGAAATATCAGGGGAGTGAAATTCGAGGCATGTACTGACCTTCTGGGAAGGATTCGCCCCCACCAGAGTCATTGCCTCCACCGGATCCCTCTTCAGGCTGAGCAAAACCCGCGGATGGTTGATCAAAGCCGCCGCCATTGCCACCAGCACGAGGAGGTCTAGGAGCAGTCACCTGTGCCATATCAGTGACGATTGTTTCAGGTTAATATGACGTAAACTTACCCATTCCTCCACAATGGCCTCAACCAGACCCATGGCCTTCTTGATGGCACCCTTGCGGCCAATAAAGGTAATACTGACGAGATCACGGGGACGTGGGCGTGGCTCAGTCTTCTCAGGCATCTTAATATCCTTAACCCCAGAAACGGACTTCAACTCGTTGATTTTGGCACCCTTGGCACCGATAATGGCACCCGTACAGCCGGCTGGGACCTGTAAGATGTCCTCATGTTCGGTTTGATCGTTTTCATCAACGTCATACTGACCGTCCTTAATTGGTTCGGGCTCAATGATCTCGATAGCCGTGCTACCGTCCTGAGTGTAGGCTATGAAATAAAGTTAGCTGTTGAAACCCGTGACGATATCTAAAGACATTGGAGGAAAATTTTTGAAAACAACAGGTGGGTGGAAACCGAAGTCCAGGGAGGAATCTAGATGATGCTGAAGAGCGTTCTTGAATCTTTTGAGGAATTTGATAGAGCCGTGTAGCAGAATTACTAATAGCAGTAGAATTATGACTTACCATACATGCGTTCACGAAGGTACTTGACAACAAAGTGCCAGCGAGGGGTCCAGTAGAACTTGGTGGTACCAGACACGGCCTTGAAACCTGCTCTATCCTTCTTTGCCTCGGAAGAATTGGCTGCATGATCGGACCAGATAGTCTAAGAGCAACGTTAGCAGTTGAAGTATTCAATAATTGTGAGCACTTACAATACCGTACTCGTCATCAGAGAGGTCGGAGTCGACGAATTTCACAAATGCACGAGCAGTCCAAACGTTGTTGACACCAAGGTAGTGATAAACACCAACATCAATCTGGCGACCGTTGTACTCATGCTGGTGGTAATACTCAGTCTCGGTGATTTCGTTATCAGCTGGAATTGGGACAAAGCGGGCGATCTTAGAGTAGATCAGCTCCTTGTTGATGAAATTCAGAAGATCAACACGCTCCTGAGCGATCTAGATACAGCTTGTTAGCTTTTATGGTCCCTCAATACTAAGACTCTTGATGTGATTTGTCCTTTTTGTTGAGTCGCGGACGAGAATAAGAAGTGAGGTGAAGAGTTGTAGACGCGTCGAGTTGTAGATGAAAGGGTGGTAGCGCACTACACACCTTTCTCTCCTCACCAGTCAACTCATGATCAACCTTGAAGAAGACCTCATCTTCTGTATGTGGGGTGTCGTTGAACTCCTTAGCAGTTTTTGGATTACCGTCATTATCAGCCAGGATCTCAAACATGCTACCGTTGTTAAAGCGTCGACCAGCCTGAGCATTACCAACATTCTTGCCCTTCTTCGTGCCGCCCAAAGGAACGTTCTCCTTGTTGCTCAGCTTGAGGTAAGTCATTTTGTGATGTTGCGACAAGGTGGTGGCTGAGTCGAACTTTTGTTGTGCTGTCTCAGAGGATGAGGACAGGAGTAAGAGGCCGAGATTCTTATACGCCTAGAGACGCGATTACGCGAAAAAGCTAGGTGGTATAAGCTAGCATTGACAGCCGCTAGCAGAAACACGTGAGGTCCATAGCCGCTTTATTTGACTATCTTTTGCTTTCTTTTATGTTCTAAAGATCTACATTGGCTAGCAGGAGATTACTCAGTGAATGAGTAGCAACGGCCTCCTGCGTACTGATCACATTACAAATGGAAGAGGTGATTTGAAGCAAGCTACAGCATATACCTGAAATAGATGGAAAGATTGATTTTGAGACCAGTGTGCCAGAGTTCATTGGGAACATACGTGTGGTAACTGCTCATGCGAGAGAGACTGAACTGGCAAGATGAGACAAAGAGCACCATGACAAAGCGTTTAGGGATAAAGCAGTCCAGAGTTGGATGGATGACGTGATAGAGTAGTTTTTCACATTAAGATCCAAGCAGGAATCAACGCCGCCTAGGTAGCGTGTGAAAGCCTTAACTCCAATGTTTGCTCTGCCGCTGTCCAAACCCATGCGACGCCGAGCCCCATGTTTACACCCCTACAGGCTGTGAGCCACTATAGCGCTAATGCTAAATTGTAGCTATAGATCCGTTGCCCTACATCAAGGTACTCGTCAATACTTTCATGCGCAGCACTGAGAGTTGTCCACGCTCTTCAATCTTGGAGATTTTACAGTTTCGTGGCTCTCTCAGCACCTTCAAGTTACATGCCTCACTTAATTAAAACTACCCTGTGGAGTTTCGCAATACTATGTGAATATGAGGCAAAAGTATCTTTACCTGCTGCTAAGCCCTAATGTATTCAATTCTCTTTCCTTTCTTAATCTCAAGTGACAAAATAACACAGTGCCAAGACCCTGCACGACTGAAGCAACATCAACCACCACCAGTATTGCCGCGCCACCTTCCATCTATTCAGATCATGCCCTATACCCCAATTCTCAGTACAGCACCTTCACCCACGAAAACTATACCCGCACCATGCACAATCTACCCTATGTCAACAAGAGTTTCGCTTACGCCTTGGCGTATTTGGGTGCTTTGTGGGGCAGGCCATTTATTAGTTCCACACTTCCCGTCTTCTAAACATTAGTACAGAATATAGACCACCGCCCTTTAAGCACCAGGTCCAAGAGAAAACCAGTCCTCCGAGCGCGTGTACTGTAGTAGTGGAATATACTGCCTGCCAGCAGACAACTGATCACAGGAAACCAAGCAGCCCTACGGGGGTTTTTTTACAGACAATGTCTGCACTTCTTACAGACACTGTCTGTAAACAGGCATTTTAGACGGATTTTCTGTCTGTATTTTAGTTAATTATCTGTATTTTTCTCAGCTAGATTCTCTAATTCTGATCGATTTTTAAGGATTTCGAGTGAAAATGCAGATATTATCTGTAATTTAAGGAAAATCCAGTTATTATCTGTATTTTAAGAGTTTTCTGACTAATAAAGTTAAATATCCCCTCTCTTATTCCCCCCCCCCTTTCCTTCCCTTCCCTTTTCCTACTCTCTCCTTTAAAGGTAGGTCTCCTTCCCTCCCAAGGTAAGTCTCCCTCCCTCCCAAGGTAAGTCTCCCTCCCTCCCAAGGTAGGTCTCCCTCCCCTCCTAAGGTAGGTCTCCCTCCCTCCCAAGGTAAGTCTCCCTCCCTTCCTCCCTCCCTCCCCCTCCTAAGGTAGGTCTCCCTCCCTTTGTCCCGAGTGTTCCGGAGGTAGGTAGTAAAAGGTCTGTGTTTAACTTTATATTGAAACATGAAAAGTCCGAGTAACCCTTGATACACGCTAAATTACCTGTGCTTTTTAATGCGTCTATTACAGACATTGTCTGCACTTTTTTGATACGTTTGTAGCAGATATTATCTGAATTTTGTCTGTATTTTACTACATTTTACTACTACTAGGAATACAGACAAAATGCAGACAAATTACAGACGTTGTCTGCATGAAAAACCCCGTAGGGCAGATAAGCTCTATTCGTCGCTCTGTCTTTGAGATTTAAAGATTGCAGACTGCCCATAATGCCCTAACAGACATGACAAGGGCATGTAAGTGGGGGTTCTTAGTAGTCTACTACGTTCTTCCCTCACTTCGGGCTGAAGCGAATTCTTGTTTGTCCGATTTGTCTCACCGCTACAAGTTACGGGATAGATGATACATATGGCAGAAGATCGAGCCTCCTTCCTCTCTGATCTCCCTCCGCTCTGGCTCGCCTGTCTTGCCTGGCTCTCCGACCTATCGCAGGATTAGATTCTTTACCTTTCCACTAACGGGATATTCTAGACATATAAAACGGCGAATATACATGACATGCAGAAGCTCCGCTACAAATGCTATCGTCGAAAGAACTTACATTGATCAGGACTGTCTGAATAGCCTCGCAGATCTCAACAACTCCGTTTGGGGACAATGTGAAGCTTCCAAGACTACGCTCATGTCCAAGTTGCTCCAAAAGTATCCTATTCAAGTCTAATAAAATTTCGGCATGGTGAGCTCAGACATTATGCTTCTCTGATCAGGCCACTTGAAACTTGTTTTCACGGACAACGCATGGACAGTGGGTTCATGGGTATCTCTTTTTATTTTTACACCTCTCTACGTCTTCTGCCGTTTCTTCTTGGTAGTTCTCCTGTCGCCTATACTTGATATAACGGCATCATCTAGCAGCTCTCCCTGTAATTGTTCTTCAGCGGCTTCTGCGTCTGCGTCTGCTTCCTCATCGTCATCCTTGTCGTTTGTGTCAAGCCCAGCATCGCTATCCTCATCTTCAGAGTCTAGACCAAAAGCCTGATCAACGTCACCTATAACATCAAGGTCAATGCCGCCATCATCACTGTCGAAACCCTCAAACTCCTCGTCATCATCTTCAGCGTTCAGTGCTGAGGAGTCCACATCTGCCATGGAAGTATCTGCGACGGAGGTATCTGCAACGGATTCATCATCACGTTTCCGCTTTTTCCCCATCTCTCCAAGCCTGCCAGCACGACCCTCAACGCCCTTCTCCGTCTCCGATCCCTCCAGTAGAGGCGGGGGTGTAAACCAGGGGATCTTCCCTCTCAGGAAGTCATTGAGGACCATCTTCGCAACACCATCAACATCCGGCTCTCCGCCATGTAACAGTCGACCGCCTTTCCTTGCCAGTAACTCTAGGAATTCAATGTGACCATTGTATCCTTTTAATTGGTATGTTCGCTCAATATGTTGTGGTTTTGTCTTGCTCAGGACAGCTGGGATGTACTGCTCTGGATTCTCGACATTCTCTACTCTGACTACACCACGTAACAGGATGTCTTGTGGAGTGTCTGTGCTACTCGGTGGGACGACACCGGGACAATCGATGAGATAGATTCTTTTCATCAATGTGATGTACTGCCAAACCTTGGTCTCACCTGGAATTGGTGCGACTGTGCAGACTTTCTTTTTTCGGAGTGTGTTGATTATGGATGACTTTCCGGTATTAGGATACCCAATAAAGCCTACGGAGATTTGTTTACGGTCGGAGTGGAGGGAGGAGAATTGGCGGAGAAGTTGGATCAGGGAGCCTTTTCCGAAAGAGTTGGTTATGGACGCGTGGAAAGCGAGAGTAGGGTAATCTTTGGAAAGATGTCTAACCCATGCGGCCTGAGAATGTTAGCATTGCAACAGCAAAACAAAATTCTATGAAGTGTGATGTATGAATCATTACTAAGAAAACCACCACAAGCCACTAATGAAAGCGGAAGTGGCCTTCAACTCAAACGAAACAGAACCAGACTCTTTACGACAGACTCTCCAAGACGGTGAGCTGTCTACTCATGACCCGAGGGCCATGAGCGGCGAGAATGGAGTCAATCTACCAAAGTTGTAACAGACAATCTTCCATTGCGAAGAGCACAAGAAATGCAGAAGGCGCCTTGACTTAACGATGGAACTGTGCATGGGGAAAACAACGGAAATGTTGGCTTACAGCTACACCGGTTGGGACCAAATCGCACTTGTTCAGTACGAATATCAAGTGCTTGTGTGGTGCCTCGTCTTTGATGTACTTTTCAACACTTCGACATCGGGTACCGAGAGGATCTCTGGCATCCAGGACATGAATGACAACGTCTGAAGAATCAATGACTTTGTACAGCTCATTCCAAATCCGTTTGCTTTGACCTTTGTTGAAGATAGCTTCCCTCGCACTGGAGATATAACCGTGATCTGGGATCGCAGACTCTCCAATTGCCTCAGTATCTGCAGCCGAGTTGCCACTCAACAGCTGGGCCTGCTCAAGACGGTCAAGGTAGGTATCATGGCTTTGGACACTTTGCTCGGCGAGGTCCTCTAAAGAACTGACTCCGATCTTGACTCTCTTTCTTTGCGCATGGGGACCAAAGACATCTCCAAAGGGCGAAGCTTCAACGGTCATCTTTGCTTGATGCTGCTTCAATCCATTCTTGCCTTCACCATCTCTGATTAAACTCATGGGCAATTTATTTGATTTGAGGAGAACGGAGTAAGGATCTGAAGCTCGCTCGGCCATTGCTTCCCGGAAGGAGTTCAGGGCATCTTGACCAATAACGCGAGAATTGGTAAACCATTTCCGGTTGGGTTCGATTCTTGCGACGGGGACTTGCTTGCTCTGGAATTGTGCAGATTGTGTAAGATCTCCAGCAGCATTGTGACGACCAGATCCGGTGTCCTTGAACATCTTAAGGGTCTTGGCCTGCTTGCCTGTCCTATTGACCGCACAATGTTAGCCACTCCGCCGAATGAAGCCTGACCCAAGCTGCCAGCAATCCAACACCGCACAGGATCTTGCGTACCTGTAGAAATTCTCTCCCTTGACCTTGACGTTCGCCATCCCGTCACTGCTCTTCCCCTCGCGCACCTTGCGCGAGGCTTCTTTCTTCGCCCGACCCATGATTGTGGTTGTGGTGGTTGTTGAGGTTGAGGAAGAAGAAAAGGCGGGCGAAGAATTCTGAAAATTTAAAAAAAACAGTTTCGAGATTGCGATTGCGCTAACTTTATCAGCAAGTGTGGCTTGTTGTGGGATGTGGCTTATGGAGCCGCGCTAAAATCTCCTCCAGGAGTCGATCCAGAACCGCCAACGACAGCTTCAAACCATTTGTGCAAAAGACCTGCGCAGGTCAAACAGCCATGCCTCCTTCATTATCAAGGACCTCAATGAACTCTTTGAGTAGTTGCAGGTGTCGGACAAACTCCATCCCTCTCCGTTCCTTCTCGACAACACCCTCTCTCGCATCAATCGGACCAGAAAACCCCAAGTTCATCGAGATCCCAGTACCACCTCAACATCAAGCCCTCCCGAAGATTGATGTTAAAGGAACCCTTCCTCCACCTCGAGATATCTTTCCCCGTCGAGCAGGCGATAAGACCTCTTCCGAGTATTTAGCAGCAGTCACTCCTGAGCCATCCTCTCAAACGGCACCCCACAACGAGTATGTAGCATGGAAACGTCGGATGGCAGAGAACAGGCGGACAAACTTGAGGGAAGGTCTGGTGGAATTGCATAAAAGAAAAATGCTTCAAGACAAGATGGTGGCAGCGCGAAGCAAGAACAGGAGCAGAGCCCGAGAGAAGGCGCTACATGCTCCTCAAGGAGAAGACGAGCGCCTCACCAATCCAACAATCACGCAGATGAACCGAACTCTGCAATCAGGGCCAGTGCCGGATCCGGATCGCGCTGCTCGAGTGGCGGAAAAGAAGGCAAGGGTTGAGGCCATCGCAATGGCTAAAGCGGAGCAGCGAAGGGATGCTCTCCATACATTGTATATGAATGCGAGAAGCTTCATCACCACCGAGGAAGAATTGGATGCGGAGATTGAGAAGCTATTTGTTGAAGATCCCCATGCTAGCGGCAACTTGAACGACAATATTTGGTCTGTCAAGGGAGCCCCCCCAAGTGTTTTGACTATGTTGTCCGCGGTAAACAATACCCAGAAAAAAGCTATAGACTTCCACAGAGGTCCAGCTGCACTTACTGGACGAAGGATGAAGAAGATTGCAGAGGAGTTGACCGGAGGAACTATGGATTAGAGAGATTTGGATTGTATATTAAGGACCAAGATGCTCCAGTGTATGAATACTTAAGGGGATATTGTGGCTCACAATTTCAGATTCTCTGTATTTCTCACGTACTACTTTGGGATGCCAAGTGACAACAATCAGCATTTAGTGTGCAGTTGTGAATCAACTTCTAAGCCTACCGTGCCTCATTACTGTTGCCTTTTATCTCAGAGCTGCCACTGCACATGTATCTTCTCTGCGTGCTGCATCCAGCTTTTAGTACAATAGTTCTATGTAGAGCCTATACACTGATCACATCCGTGATGTGCGTTTATTCAACTCCATCACTTCTGCAGAGCTAGGCAATGTTTCTGCGAACATGTTTCAAGGAAATTCATCTCGTGGGAACATGAAAACATAACGAAGCTTACTCATCTATCAAGATTCCAACAACAACATTCAAGCAATATGGCAAAGTTCCCTGATCCCAACTCCGTACACATAGATGTTGTCCGAAATCTTAGGAGGATGCCGGTAGAACTTGGGTCAATCGTATGAAATGTTATCAGGAAATGCTCGTTGTGACTAAAATGGAGAGGAAAAGAGTCTCAATAAATTGAAGCTGATGATACATTCAAGATCCTTGGGTCCTTGATGATTCGTTCATCGTTTATTCAATAGTCCAAGTATTGATGATATCACGCGACCGATCAACATAGGTAAGCCATGCAGCCCACTGATTCTACTAGCACCCACCCTCTGGAGCTGGCAAGGTACTCACAGCATACTCCTTCAACCTGTCCTGTGTCCTTCCAGTCCCTCCTGGATATTCCATGCCGTTGTCCTGACACCAGTCCGTGACATATGCGAGGAAGTCTCCTATTGACAAATCAGTCATGCATGGCAGTCTCTACTCCAGTCATCCTTACCTTCCAAAAGCAAAGATTCCAACGCAGCCTTTCCCCTCTCCTCCCCAGAATGACCAGATTTATACCCAATCAGGAAGCGCATCATAGGATTGAGAAGTGTCTGCTCGATATTCAACACGTGGTCTCCTGACTTGCTCTGCTGATACAAGTCCATAAGAGCATCGACTCCCTGCGAAGCTGCCTTGCAGTACTCTTCATATACTTTGCAGATAATGTTCCACCATCGCTGAGATATATCTGAAGTGATATCTGACATGTCGAAACTGTGTCTGTTGGAGTGAAACCAGTCCCAGTTGACTTCCAAAACCAAACGGCTCAAGGCGAGAAACAGCTGGCCGCCGGTCAATCGAATTGGTTCAGTCTTCGACTTCTCGGGTGTCCTCATTGAATCTGCTAACAATGTGCGCGATGCTTCAGAAGATGCAGTATTGGATGCAATGTGAGTGCAAGCCGCAGATACAGGTCTTGGAATGCATGGTGGCCCTGAAGGATCTGGAACAAAAGTCGGTCGAGAGAACGGTGCTTTTAGATTTATGGCGATTTCTCGCGCAGGTCCAACTTTTCGCTCTCGCGAATGCAACCAGTCCCTCAAATAACATCTTGACTCTGGTGTTGTACTTCCTAAAGTTTTATCTTTCTCTGTCTTTCCAATAGCTTGTTCCTGTTGATTTCCTGTGAGTACTTGGGGACATTTTGGATATGATGCGACATGTTGTGCACGAGAAGCAAGCCATTCTTGTAAAGAGGTACCTGTTTCGTCGCTGAAAGTGTTTATCTGCTCATGATACTTTTGTTGGTTCTCCAGCCGCTCCTCTCTGTCTCGATTCCAGTTCTCCGAATCCCACGCAAATGTCATTCTCCTGTGCCTAAACCTAGCGAATGTGTCGTAGCGAGTGTCGTGGTTTGGTTACCTTCTTGGATGAGGTTATGTTGACTGCAAATATAGCGTATGTAAGACCTTCTTAAAAGGTGAAGATGGTGGCTATTTTATAGACTGAGGATAGGGACAGGAGGTCTTGTGATCGCTAATGCTGAATGATTTATTCATCACTCGGTTGAGATTATGTTTATTTGAAAGCTTCGGAATTTTCTTCAAGCTGTGAATCTTTCAGACAATCATTCCAAAAACTACAATGTCAAGTCAACCTAGGTACAAGTCATTAGCTTCAATTCAATTTTGGAAACCATCATCAACGTCTTAGCCCCCCGCCCCCCCAAACTCCACCCGAAGTATTTGATCACTCATGAGTAATACGGACCCCCAGTCATATTCCACGCGCGATTATTAAAGGTAAAACAACTTTGTCACAAACTCCTTTGCATTGATAATCCCTCGCAGCCGACAAGTGCTCCACGAGGTGTGATTACGAGGTATGACTTGAGGAATGGGCGATCAGAAGCGCCGAACTAGGCAATGCCAACGTAACTAGGAATGAAATCTGCATACATGTAAGATTAAATATGGTTGAGCTGGTCCTTCGTTCAATAGTGTGTGAAGAAGCGCGACAAAAGAGGGATAGTGCTCGTGAGGGTGTAACTTCGGGTTATCGCAGACCATTCCAGAATATTACTGAATTCAGGCATGAGACGAAGTGAGGGATACATTTGTTGAAGGAACGGAAGAGATCTTGGAAGAGCATCTCACACTCTTGATCGCAAAACATGCAGCGTTGTGATAAGGTCTGCTGCAAGGTCAAGCTGGAGGCATAGAAATTAATCATGAAGGGCGTGAGATATTCTGCGAAGAACATTTTTCGCAGCTTCAAACGCTGGCAAAGGTGAAATCTTCCAAAGCCTCCCAACTCGCTCTTCCAACCTCGCCAAAAGCAAACCAACCATATCAACCAAGCTAGCAATTTTCGGTGCACATAATCCAGTTTGTCCGGTCAGGGTTGACGATTTTTTAAGAATCAATACGGGTATTGACACTCACCGGTTTACCGGATCTTTCCCTCCTGCCTGCTATGTTTGAAACAATTGTGACTGCTTCTCCAGAGGTTCAGTCAACGAATATGGACTCAGGTTACAATCTTGGGTTTAGGTAGCTTGGATTGTGCCCGTGAAGTCATACTTTCACATAAAGTCTTTGCGCATTCGATAAGTCGTAAGGAAACCTCATGTGACACGCGAGATGGACGAGGAATTTTTGGGGTGTTTTTACTCTTTGTTTTTGTTGTAATTAGCCGAGTATAAGCGAGATCCAGGTCGAGCATTGGCCGGCTCTCTCAAAGTCACAGCTACTACTTCGAATGGCACCCTAATTATGCAATGAATTTGAACCTCGCTAAAATCTCAGTATGTTATGAAGATATTTGACGCGTCAATCTCCATGTAAATTCATTTGTTCTTCTATTTCCGCGATCTAGGTCGTCATCTGCTTCCTTGAATTCCATTCTCCAGTACTCACATCACCTACTTGAAAACAGGCTGTTATTTTTAACTCGCTCTTAGTAATCATTCTATGAAAGTAGAACCAAATTAGAGGTGGTCAGACAGAGCTGCCCTAAGTCAGGAGGGCTGCTTTAGGGGGTACTTGTAGCTGGGGATCTCCTGCTTGAACATCACGAAGAATTATCATAGCTGTTTTTTTTTTTTTTTTTTTTTGAGAGTTTCCCACGAACCGTTCTTTTTTAGAGAGGGTGATTCGCCAAGATACTGCCCTCTATGTTTCACCTTTCGAACCCACGTGGATAGTAGTGTGGAACCAAAACAAAGCTAGGATTGGAAGAATCGAGTTGATGAGAATGATTGGAGGTGGCGAAAACCCTCCAACTCTCGGAGATTCACGGCCCTCCATCTTTGCGATCCACGGGCTGGAGATGAAATATATCCTCACTCAAATATCTTTGACTTCCTACTAAGTCGTAGCTAAAAGGGGGTTTACGCCAGAGCACAATCGTTCCAGAAGATTGCCTCCATGATTTGTGAGGTAGAGCAATTATCCGCCTTCTCCAGAGTGTCTCACCCTTCCACATAAAATACCTATCGTACCTTGGTGTCTTCAAACGGAAGAAATAGAAACAAGTTTCGAAGGCGATATAAAAAACCAAACGACTGTGACCTGGCTCGATCCTGTGAAGCCAATCCATTCGACGACAAAGCAGACATCTCTTCATTCATGCCGCTGATGATTACAGGGCCTGAGAGCTCCAATGAGCATGTAACGAGGCAGATGCAAAGGTTCAAGGCTCTTTCCCACCCATGGACCGTTTCCCAATACTCCGCTTACTGTACTCGACCATTTGAATCTATGGGATCATGCTTAGAGTTTACAGGATTCCTGCTCCCCAAAGGTAGCGTACCACAAGAATGTCACCGTCCATTCAACTCTGTCTCATATATCACCAAGCTGCACACATCAAGAATCATCTCTGGTTGAGAGTAGACAGGACAATGTCAGCTCATTCCAATTCCACTGAGCATGCAAGCCTTTTGCGTATCTATGTGTACGTGAATTCCCAGGCAGGCCAGAAAGCCCAAGTTAATAAACCAGCGCCACGCTCCCTTGCTTCGCTTCGACGTTTGAAATAGACAGACAAAACTGTGGTCTACAATGAGACACAACATGAGGCAGTAGGCAGGAAGATTCATTTCATCCCTTTTCTCCCCTTGACTCTGCGCAATTTCCAATCTCCAAGATTCGGACCGTCGAGCCCCGTATGTCATGAGTCTTGAAAAAGATCTTTGTATATCCAACATAACAACGGCATATAATCATTATTCATCTCCTCGTCTGTCAAGCCCTCCAATTATCCAACCATCGAATGAAACGCCATTCCTGCTCTGTCGATCAACGTTGGCCTCCTCTGGTAGGTGACCTCTCAGCATCACTCTGTCTCCCTATTTGCGGACTTCCAGGATCGACTTGTATAGACGGCAAGCCCGCCAGCCTCAGACTTGGTAACTGCGGTACGCCTCCCACGCCTCTGCTGCTCCGTCTCTCATTCGGCGGCCTACTTGTAGACAGAGAACTCGAGCTACTCGTCCGGCTATCCCTCAACTGATCCGTCCTATTCTCCCTCCTCGAGCCTCTACTATCCACAGATATCGCTACGGAAGAAGGTCTGAGTCCTGGTGAAAGCGGGGAGACGGGTGTACTGGGGGAGGTCGTTGTAGGAGGAAGCGATGATTCGATCGTTGGGTGCTGCTCGCCGCGCGCGAGAACGGGAGAGGTATAATCTGGTGGGGGCTCGTGGTGGGGGTGTTCGTCATGCGGCGTATCGAGGGAGATATTCTCATATCCAGGAGGACTGTTCGGAGGTACGTCTTCGTGCTCGATCATCTCTGGGCTGCTTCCTGCTCTGCCTTCATTCGAAGTCGAGGGTCGGCGTTCAGTCTGCTGGCTCCCTCTTCTAGGACTATCAAGATTCGAAGTTGCTCGAGAACGAGTTAGGCCTGGGGAAGGAAGATCGGAGGTTTGCGTGTCGACACTTAGGATGGAAGATGTGCTGCGGTCCCGACGGTGGTAACGGGAGCTAGCTGCTATGCTTGCTGCGTCCCCCAAGAGGCCTTGCCTCTCACTATCCTGACTATTGGCTCGTAACCTCGTTCCATCGTGTCGAGCGACACCCAGATCACCGTAAGAAACGGAAGAAACAGCTCTCTGCCGCTCTTTCTTGATCCGTTCGTGCTCTGCCCGTAATTCCTCGACTGTCTGCCCGGCACTTGTAGAACTTGCTGCCCGGGCCCTCGCAGTTATCTCGCGTAATGCAACATAATCGCCCCTCTCCCTTGCTTCTCGCCGTAACCTCCTCCGCTCCTCTCGCTCTTCATTTTCTCGCCGTCGGGCTAGACGAACTTGGTATAATGCTTCCATCTCTTCCTCCCGCCGCAGTTCCTCATCATCCTGTGTCTCCGGGAACTCGATTACCACGTCAATTCCGCCTCTATCTCCTTCTCGCCCCAGAACTTGTTCATTACCCAAAGCGTTCGGACGGTAAGCTGGTAGCGTCATTACTGATCTCACGGAGGTGTTCCTGTCCACGCCAGCCGTAGCATTTGCGACCGCATTCGCGTCGAAAGAGCTGGGCGGATTCGAGGCTCGATTCGAAGCCCTAGTTCGCGTAGACACTGGCTCCAGAGATTCGTTCGCATTCGGGAGTTTGTATTGCATCGGACTTGGATTCCATTTCTGCCATGCCTTCTTCAAGAATGGTGTAGGTATGTATTTCGGATTCTTGTGCTTGATTCGAGTACGGCGTATGAAGTAGAAGCCGAGAATGAGAGCGAGAACTCCAATGATAGCTCCAATTATTGGCTGTGAACATGTTAGAAGAGATCCAAACCATGTAAGGCTATTGACGTACGATCATTAATGGAGTATTGTTACTCGAATCCGAAGTCTGGGTGGGGGTCGGGGAAGCACTGGAAGTCTTGGAGGTTGTCGAAGAAGCAGTCGCAGAAGCACCCGGACTCGAAGTTCTTGTCAAACTTGCACTTGTGATAGAGCTGGTGATAGAAAGAACCACACTGCTTGCACCGGTGCTGCCTCCTGGTCCTCCTTCACCAGGGGCTCCTCCATCCTGGCGATGCTCTAACCCATAAAGATGCATTATCGCGCCGTTCCAAAAGAATGTCCCAATTGCTGGTGGTAATTATACAAGCGACGGAGCAAAGTCTCTGCGGAGTAGAGACTCACCTCATGCCCGTCGTAGGTAGATGGACCTTTCTTGAACAAACTGCTGACGCCTGCCACTCTGCCACGAGCAAGACAAGGCAGGGCAGGGCAGGGCAGGGCAGGCAGGATGAACGCAGTTCGGCTGGGCTCTGGCGATTGGCGCTTACAGGCAGGTCAGGTCAGCATGCCGGGATTAGAAAAATATCAAGTGAGATGACTGGTAACGATTTGCAATAATGCCGATGTAATGAACACAAATATGCATAAATCTGCCCTCGAAGAATTGACAAAGAGCAAGGGAAGTCAAGCTGGTCGTTTCCCTCTCTCTTTGTTGTCCTGGCGTCTTGGTCTGGTAAGTACTGTAGGTATTGTCTGACTGCCTTGGAGAAGAATCTCTTCCCCGAGTGCCCAGCCGTGCCCAGCCCACCTCGCCCCCGTTCAGCAGCCGTAATCAAGCATCCAATGATCGTCTTCAAATCTGACATTCTATGGACCAGCGAGCGCTTCAACCAGTCACACAGCTGGTCCAAATCGAACCCCTGCTATTTTTGGGACTCGATATCGTGGCTGGAGCTGGACTGGAGCTGCACCGTGGCTTGGGGACGGACACAAGGCTTCCAATAATATCGCATGTTGCATAGGTTAAGCGAGGTATCTTTGTATCATACACGCTTTCCGCTGCAGACTGCTCCTTTGCTTTGATCAAAATCAACGGTTCGTTTCTTCTGGGGTTTATTAACTTAAGGATTCGGAGATTGTGACGTGCAGGAACAATTTGACGCAATTGATGGACACGGTTGCGGAGACGAGGCTGGAAAGTCAAGGGATCCTTTGCATGACCTGTCCTAGACTCCTAGCCGAGATTTGATGAAAGGGCATCTCTTCCTTGTTTTTGGGTTTCCAATGTCTCATCTTTCTCCCCTTCATCATTGCGGTCAGAGAACGACACCTCATTTACTTCCAGTTGTTCAACATCACCCTATCGCTTTTGCTCGCAGGTGACCTCTTCTAGAAAGTCAAGCTCTCAGTCTTGCTGCTTTTTGCTGCACTGGGTGGAGGACTTCCAAATTGCATCATTCCGCTCCTCTGTTCCTGCATTTGAACTATCCTTGCGCTCGTATTCTACAGCTAAAGTCTCAGCCTTGTTCAAATCTGCCCTTGGCATTCTTCTCGCGTCTGATATGGATGATTAAGCCAAGCATGGGGTTCCCAGACACCATTTCACCTCTGTTGTCGTTGTGTATCCGTATCATTTACTAGCTCTAAAACCCGCTTGCTTCTCAGCGAATTTATCGCATTTTCAAATAAATATTTGGCTTAGTCGTGTTTCATCTCCCGTTTGAGTCCAAACACTCAAGTACAAGATTCAAAAGCCATCCATTAGGTGTAGTCTCCCAACGACTAGATAGGCTACAAGAAGCGTCTTTGCTGCGACGAAGATGATTCACATACTCTAGCTTACCCACATGCTGTACTAGTGGGTCCCGCGGGTGTTGCATCGCTATGAAAATCAAACAAAGTTGTTGAAAGAGCAGGTATCTAGGTATTGTTCACTTATTGAATTGAATGAGCTGAATCCTTTACAGCTTGCTTGTTCGAAATGATGATGGTTCAAGATTAAATACCATATTCTGTTTCGGCACTAGGGGACACGGTCTCGGACTCATAGGCTGGTAGTGGTGTCTCCATGTTGTCATCCTTTGGCATGGAACAAAAGCCAGTATTCTGACCTATATTCGTGCTCCCTTTGCCATTCCATTCAAATTCACCCGGTTGAAGAAGACTTGGCGAGGCTTCCTCGGGCCATTCATCTCGCCACTTCTCTTTCGCCTCAACCTCAATGTCGTTAACCACAACCAGGTACAAAACACCCTGAACTGTTAGCCCTCATTTTTACACAGTCTGCTATGATTCACGTACTGTTTGCATACCAAGGTCAGAAACTACTCCGTCGAGATGCTCAATAAATCCCGAGGAATCTGTTTCTTTTGAAGGCCGCTTCGCCGAATCTCTCAACCTTTCTTTACTTTGTTCCAATGGTGTCTCCATTCCAATCCTCCTCTTTCTTTTCCTTGGTGATTCTAACTTATTGTGTCGGCTGGGAATGGAAGAAGCGAGCGCTGATAGAGGACCCTTGCGGTGAGCCAGATTCTTCTGGAGGAAGTCTGAGTTTGTGCTTGGATGGTTGCATTGCTCAAAGTTTGAGGCCTCTTCATCACCAAGCTGCAAAAACATCAGTTATGTCAATTGAATTTAGAGAGGAGATCGTACTATGCTAATTCGTGGTCTTCGTTCGCTGTGATCGGGGATGTGATTTCTCATCTGCTTCACCTTGCGACTCGGAAGAGAAAACGAATTGTCCTGAAAGCTTGGGAGCACATTTGCGAGCCCCTCTGGCTTTTCACCAAAGCTCATTCTCGTGGAGATCATCCATTTCTCGCCACAAAGATCATCTTGAGAGTTGGTAACGAGACTTCGATCAGGAGAGCCTGGCAACGAAGTAACTATCATGGCAACCAAGCCCCGAGCTCGAAACAGCTTATCATTCGCCTGGGTAATGACTTGTTCTGCCTGTGGATTGGTCAGTTAGTGTCTATAAATTATAAGAATGAAGGAAGGTATCAACTTACGAAGTGTCGGATTTGGCACTCTTCGCGAGTCGCACCGCCGTGGCAATGACTGTTGACAGACCAAAATACGAGTTTTCCAAATCAATGCCAGAAGTCAACGCAGCAATATTGACGACAAACAGTAGAGGCGACAACTGGTAATCTGATCAGCTCAAACCGAATACCATTTTTGTTTATCCCTTACTCTTAGTGACTCGTTGAAGGAATCTATGAAAGCCAAAAAAGCCTGTTGATCAACCCCGCTGTCCATTAAGGAAGAAACAAAGGCTCTTGGCCAACCACGTTCATTATAATTACCGTTGCACTGTGGGATAACCACAGGACATGGCAATGTACCTGACATAGGCTGTGATCTAGAGCCATATTTTGGATACAACAAGCTCGGACAATCATCTGTGTACGATAGTTGTCGGAGAAGCCCGTCATCCATCGAAGCTTCTTTGCGAATAAGGCCGCCCATTATTCTATCAGAAAGTGATTTCTGAAAATCCGCATAATCTTGCAGCTCACTGAGAGCATTGACCTCATCTTTCTTCTCCGCCGAGTTCGACGACGCTGCATGACCTATTGAAGATATGAATAAGGTCTCAAGATTCCCCAAGGACTGTGACTGACTTTGTTGGACAAGCTGCGCAGTATTTGCATTCCTTCTTTGATCCCTTGCCGACCGCCGTTCAGCGTAGGCATCGAGGGCGAGGCCAACTCCAGCTGTAAGGAGGCTGACGATGACCATTGCTGTTGAAATGGGGTTTATGCATGAGAAGCTTTGCAGCTTTGCAGGTTTGAGGTAGTCCCACGTAAGATGGGAAAACCCTGGATCTTGGCAGTGGGGTACCGCTGATTGCATTTTGCCCTTTGGGAGCGGAGGGCGATGAAACAAGCACAATTCAGAAATATCGCTTCTAGCTGGCTTGTGGCGTGAGTGGGTATTTTGATGCAGCAAGCGAAGTTGGAGGGCGCTACGTCCTGGAATATCCATTGGGACTAGCAGTAAGCCGGAAACAGTCCTCTGTATGAGCTGACCAACACAGTTTGCCATAGATAGAATTGATAGATGCTCGACGAACCGGTGCCGAGGTTTGAAAGGGTGTGACTAGTCTTCCTGCCGTGATTCCATACCTGATGTGGATTTACTTTCTATCTCGAGCAGAACAGAACAGAGCCTTACCTGCATGCTTCCCGGGATGAGGTACCTCAACATATGAAACTTGTTCGTTAGAAGACTTGACTACCTTCTAGCTGCGCGAAGGGATTCATCGAATCATCTTCAAATATGAACAATCAAATAATCAAAGATTCGGCGAACAAAATACATTCTTAAGTAGTGTAGTCTAGTTAGGATATTGACTACAGCGCTCCTTGTCTGGTTCTCCAAACAAACTATGAAATGGCCTACTCTCCTTTCGTGAAGGTTGGAAGTTCTCCTTATCGAAGCGGTTTAGTTTCACATGCCATCATATCCTAATTCAGCACTCCAACTGCCCAACAAGCTCGAAACCCCTAATCGTACCGTCAAGCCCCTTCCCCCCACCATCCACCGTTCCTCATCTATTAACACCAAGTAATACTCGCTGCTACTGTAGAATACGCTCCGACTTCAGTGCTGCTGAGCTGTGAGGCCAGCAAGAGTGTACATGCAGACAATGACAAATTCTTCTACAACTGCCATGAACAGCTGAATCAACGGTTTCTTATTTCTGGTCAAAGAGAAGTCCGGATTGTGAGAGAAAGCAGACAGGAGACTCCAGAGAAGACGGACAGCGAGCCATGGAAGCGCACAGACAACAGCAAAATAGATGCGTGTCTCTCCTTTCATGGCTTTCCCGATGTCCTTCATTGTAATGACGACGAGAGAGCTTAGAAGAAGATACACAAACAAAAAGATGATGATGCCGATCTTGGTGTCTTTCTTTCCAGTCTTGACCTCGGATGGACTTGAGCCCGCTTGGTCGGTTCCGCCCGCGATACAGAGAATCAGGGCGATTATCGTTGGTAACTGCATAACCTGGATGATACGGCTTCGACGAGAGCTGGCTGTGGCACGCTTCGTGACGAGTTCTACGATCCCGCCGGTTCCAGCGAAATGGTTATTCTGTGCTCGAACATGGTCGGATACTTCATCGGTGCTGAAATCAATGTTAGCGAGCTCCTCATAAAGGCTACGAGGCAACATACACTCGTTTTAGAAGACCCAGACTTGCCATCAGCAAGGGACTCAGTCCGACGGACTGAAGAATCCCAGCCCACTCAGTATTGGTTTTGTTAGGAGACTTTGCCTCCTGAATCTTGAATCCGGCACCTGCGATACGAATAACACAGAAGATGGCGAGATATATCCAGCCAAGCTGCTTCTTGAAGCCATGGCGGAAGACTACAATCAAAGTAAGTAGAAAGACTGGAACATAAACACAGATTTCAGCATAGGCGATGGCTTCTTCGGTGTGGACCATGATCCCGCCTTTGATCTGCTGTGTTGAATATCGATGAGGAAAGTTTCGAAACGTGATGATGAATTCTTTACGAACAGAGAGAGTACAATAAAGACACCAGGAGATTTTGTAGCAGATATGACATGAGAGGATGAGTAGCAATCGAAGAGCATGGTGCTCTTATAATAAAATATTGCGAATGGGAAGCATTGATTCGCATGCTTCACTGATTTATTTAATCAGCAGTTACCTCATACAAAACTTTGGTCGAGTTGGTAAATAGCTGAGTCGTAATCTACAGCATCGGAGCTGTTACTTAACGAACACCTATCTGAGAAAATTGTATGATGAGTTCTCAATTTTGACGGCGGATAAGGCAATTAAAAATAAGCAAGCTGGGGACGACTAAAGTCGGCTGAGAAAAGCTTGTTTCCAACAGCATTCTATAGACAATTGGTAGGCCACGAGTATTGGACCGAACGGGCTCCAATAGAGCAACTTTCTAGGCAGCCCGTTCTCAGAAAGGTTTTTGGATGCGATGGGTAAAACGGCATGCATTCGTTTCGTGTCCCGAAGACACGACGCTACTCAACCACTTCTCAAAGCGGCTAGGCCCTTGGTTGTAAGCCGATTACTCAGAAATCTCCTCGTCACAAGAGTGGAAGCTTTCTTACTGCGAACAGGCACGTCATATTATTTGTGCATCCATCCGATCAAAATCTCGAATAAGCTTTCACTGACGACGATCGTTGTTGGAGCCGTCTCCTGAGAAGCGGGTAGGCTAGGGCCGGAGACTCCGCGGCGAGCTGCTGTAGTTCCCAATCTAGCTATGAACACCGATTACCGGCATTGTAATCGCTATTGAGAGATATATAATAATTTATATTCTTCTCACGGAATCTTTTACCTTCTCGTAGTCTACATTTTCTTGCGCAACAAACGCCATTTTCCTTGCTCAACTCTCGTGAGGTATAATTCACTAGCTCGCAAATGAACCCGCAACCCTGCCTTGAATGCCCATCAATCGACTCAACTACAATCAATGCATTATGGTTTACTGTGGCAAACCCAGTAAGGCTTGTGGAGAGTGCAGACTTAGAAGAACAAAAGTGAATGAGGCTACAATTGAATGAGCATTGCATGCTGACCTTCTCAGTGTGACACCAGACGACCAGCTTGTTCCCAATGCATCCGGGCAGGAAGAACCTGCAATGGATATCGAGACCCATCAGACATGATTTTCCGGGATGAGTCAGGGGATCTGAAGTCCAGACGACACCGATTGAAGATCTCACAATTCCCAAAGAAAGAACGCCTTGGAAATATGACGCCAACCGCAGCAGACAGTACCGGGGCTCTCATAATCACCGGCTCTGACCGAAGCCCACAACCTTCCTCAACGACAAACTGCCAGACGTTACCAGTAATGTGTCTAGGATTGGGAACTTCTCCTGGCGAGCAAGCCACATGTTTCTTTTTCCAAAATTATGTCTTCCAGCAGGATTTCAGTTTCCGAGGAAACTTCCAGTACCTGTTGGAGATATATGAACAGGAAGATGTTAAAGACGGTTTGGCAGACTCAGTATCTGCTTTGGGATTGGTTGGTCTTGCTCATTTCTGGGGAGCCCCTAGTATATTGGCATTTGCTTCTGCCAAATACAACTCGGCGCTGTTGACAATCAGCTCACAACTGCGAACTATCGAAGGAGCGAGATCGGACCAGACAATGGCTGCAATCATGTTACTTGGTCTTTATGAGGCATGTACTTCTTGGCATGAATCTTTGCTTAGCTAACGTGATAATACGTAGACAAACACATGCAATAATAGGCAATCCATGGATACTTGGACCAGACACATTACTGGGGCTTTGGCATTGCTGCAAGTTCGGGGTAAGGAGCTCCTCAGCACGCCTGTTGGCTACAATTTATTCGTCTATCTGAGGACACAGCTTGTAAGTGACTTCTTCTGCTAGTCATTCCAAGGTAATTTGACCTTTGATAGATCACCAACTGCTTGCTAAGGCATGCCAAAGTCCCCGCTATTATCAGCGAGTGGTCCCAAGACCTGGATTTCGAGACAGCCGAACAAGCTGCTGCAACAACACTTTCAAATCTCACAATCAGATACTGTAACCTTCGTGCATCTATGCATTCGTTTCGAGACTACAGTGATCCAGACCGGATCGTCTCCACAGCCTGTGCTTTGGATGCGGAATACGAGATGTGGGCAAGGACGTGTCCCGTGCAGTACATCTACCATTCAATGACACTAAACAAAGGAGTTGACGATGTCTTTTCAGACTATTATCACGTCTACCCATCAATCTGGATCGCGGCAATATGGAACAACTACAGAAGTGCACGGATCCTCGTGAATGGGTTGATGCTTGATCAACTCAAGAACATGTACCAAAGAAGCCCATCATCAGATCTGCTCTGGAATCACCACTGCTACGACCAAAACCAGATCCTCACTTCGACAACTACTCTTCTTCAACTCTGCAGTGACATTTGCGCCAGTGTTCCGTATTTCCTTGGCTACAGCTCTGACATCACCGGTTTGAGTGGCCAACCCCCAAAGTGTGTCAACGGCAATCTATCACTTTGGCCTCTATATACTGTCGGAGAATCTGGGGTGATTTCAGATCTTATGCGGAGCTGGGTCGCTGGTCGACTTCGATGGATTACAAATGTAATGGGGATTCGACAGGCAGCTCCCCTCGCTCATAGCGTGATGAAAAGGCAAGAGCATTTGTTATGGAAGCCTGACCTGGTGGAGGGCGTTTTCAATACGGAGACAAACCAAATTAGTTCGTTAGTAATGATTGAAAATCTGTGAATATCTCCAGCTCTCCAAGAGTCCGCAGAAACGGCGCGAAAACAGATTTCAGTAGTCCGCCGCCTCTTGTAAGGCTCACTGTGTAGTCTGCTTACCAGACATAGGTAGAATCAAACATCTTCTATCTAGGTGTTTAACGAATATGGAAGAATAGATTCTAAGATGCGTAGAATTATGCATTATGCCGAGTCTGCTAATTTAGGGCCCAGCCTCTGATTTTTACAGCGCAATACCTTACTGTCATGCTCGCTCGCTACAGTAAGATTCAGCGGTAGCCCCTGAATGAGGACGGGAATGTCCACCAACGTTCCAACTGCCAGTGCAGTGGGGCGCAGGCTGTCAGTCATCAAAACTGGACATTGGGATGCGGGAACAGGAGAGTCAATTCCGTAACATACGCTGTCAATCATGTTCTGGAAAGGAGAGAAAAATGCATTATTGAAATGTTGTATGTTGATCCTTCAACTTTGAAGTGGGATTGGAAACCCATCCTCATGCTTCAATCTGCTCGCGCATTCAAGAGACAAATACCGCAGATAATAACAAGCTCTATTGAAAACATTTGAACGTTAACAGTGCTTAAAATGTTCTAAGGCAGCAAACACGGCCAACTCAATGTCCATTTCCATATGGCAGATTCTCCTCAGGCACATGATATCCTCGCGCTGTTTGATTGACTAACCCAAAGCTTTTATACTGCTTGAATTGCTAAGTAAGTACTCAACCTCAAGCCATTGCTCAATATCTTACCAGCGATTCAGTAGGCCAGTAGTCCTGATTCTTTCCTTCACTCCTCCGATTACGGAAAGCGGCAGGTACGCCAGCAATTCCTCGCAGGACGTCGGATATATTCAGAGCCTCTACATATGCTCCTACCCCAAGAAAGCCACCATGATATCCGCCATGACCAAGGGGCACTGTAGCAGCTCCTTTTTTGAGACAATACTCCCCCGTCCGGTAAATGTAGAGGAAGAGGAGTGAGAAAACGACCATCTCGAGACTCAGTAGAAGATTTGGAATACCAATGCTGAGATCGTGGAAAGTGTAGTGCTTGGTAGGCTTCAGATCGTTGGATGATTGGTGGAATTGGGGTGGGCGGACGATGGCAACTTACGTTTTGGATGAAGTTCAGAAAAACGATTCCTTTGAAAGCGATGAGCTTGGAGAGTGGCTTTCGGTGATGTATTTTTGGCTTGAGAGCTTTGTAGAATTTTAGGATGGACATAATTGCAACAATGGTGCTGACAAGGGTCACAATTGTAACCTGAACGAAGTCAGTGATGTGCCTGCTGGCTAGTTATTGTGATATGTCCAAACTCACCTAGATGTGTGCAAAATACGGCTTGTTGGATGTGGCACAGTATAATCCAGCAGCCTCGGTAATCTCAGTGACAACGAGGAGAATAAGCATCAAGAGAGGAAATTGAAAAGCCCCAAATGTGGCAGCCTAGGAACCTGGTGAGAAGCCTGACGCGGTGACAGAGGGGGTGATCCTACCGTATATTGTTTCATGGTACCAGATGCTGTGAAGAATGCTTGCCGTTCGACATCATTCTCTTCAACAAATGCGCAAAGCAAGAGGAAGAAAGTTGCCAAGGCGAAAGCTTCGTATAAATCATCGATTGGTTTGACGTACAGTGCTGCATCATTGGCAACCACTGACAAGAAAGAGCATAGGGCGAAAACTGGTATCATGAAGACAATTCGAATAATTCTAACTCGATGTCAGTTCAAATGTTACAGAATCAATTAAAAATGTACCACTTACTGCTTTTGTTCTTTTGGAATTGAGTAATGCGTCGCATGCCTGAAGATCAAGGTGAACGACACTACACAGGAGAATGCAAGTGACGCTCCCGATATGATCACTATCAGTTGATGAAATGTGAGGTTACCAGCGACAGACACTTGCTCTAGATTAATGATTCAGCATGAAAGCTAGACGAGGAAAGTAATCGAAGTTCCTACCAATGTCGCTGAATTGTGGCGTTGGACATGTGTGGTTGTGTTTGGAGACATCGTCGCGAAAGATGCCCATGTTTTCTTTTATTGAGGGAAGAGATTTGAGTGAGAAAAGTCGATTTATGTATAAAGAAATCGAAGATTGAGAGTTTGAAGAGTCGAATCACCAGTGAATAGTAGAAGAGTATATATATATCTACAAGCTCATTACGAGATGCAGCTTGTTCCAAGCAAGCTTTTGTCTGGGACCATCTCTGGAGGATCCTCTCAAATCTCTGGCCAATGAAGCAGCATGATCGACAGATAACATTCCTTGACCCGGAAATCCAGGTCGGTGTCAAAACGCTGGCACAGTGGCAGCTGGCAAGGCTGAGCGCTGCATCTTCTAAATGCTGACAATCTTCTCGTTTCGGTATTCAATCCGCACATGAAAAATTAGAGCATACAGTGGTTGGCTGGTACGAGTTTTAGGTAAGCCATGCCTGAAGGTTCAGCCCCTGCCTAGCCCAAGTTAGTGTCAATGGCGAACTTCTCGGGCCCGGTCTCCCTTATATTCCACTAAATCTCGGTCTTTCAAAATAGCAGACCGTACCTAGACGTCAATCCAAAATGATCATTAGGGGATGATTCTATTCATGAACAAAAAGCAAGAAGAGAGAGACCCAATCTTGCCCAGCGCTGATCTTCTGAGCCTCCTCCTCCGCTGCGACTCGTTTTCCGACCCACCTTTTGCTCCAGTATGGGGCGAGCCTTTCCTTTCGATGCTTTCCGACTCACAGCGATACCATCGCGGAGCAAGCGGAAACGGATGGAATACTGCAAAGGTAGTCCAGTCTCCTTATCATTCTATCATCACATGTTTGAGTTGAGATTTCAGTTCACAGGCCGGGTTTTTGACTCAACTGGTCTGAATGAGCAGCTCGCGGAGTATTGGTCAATCTTGGAAATGAGTCCTCGATTTTGGTCCTGGGATGGCATGTGACAGTCAAGCAGCTGCAGTGGCAGCTGTATCTGGGCCCCCGGAGGTTTGTAAAGGACCAGTATCTCAATGAGAGCTCCAAATTCGTCAAATGTTTCAACCTCCGAACTCCTTGAACCCTTTTTTTCTTCTTCTGGCGGTTGTTTGAGCTTGTGATCAATTGTTGCTAGCGGGCAGAGACACGACGAACTATCTTGGATACTCAGCCTCTGGATGAGTATTTGTCACAAGTTATCACAGTTGATATCTCTGGAGCTCTAGTGGCATTTACAGCATTCAGTTGCGTCGACTCTTTCGATGAAGAGCGGTTTTCTTTTTTTGGGTATTGTCATGTCAGCGCTGTTCATGATGATCAATTCAACAATTGAAGACCGGCACTTCACCAAAGTCTATTTGGGAAGACAAATGAAGTTCACATTAAGCTCGAAATCCTAACGCGGGATCGAGTACGGATTTTTTGCTCCACGGCCGGTGAGTCTTGTTTCGGTTGCTGTCTTTCGGCTTTCGCTATGATGTCTCCGATCCGATTTCTGTCATCGAAATGGACTCTGGAATTTCCGGGTCATTTTGGTGCCAGAAACTCCAGTCTGGTGTCATATTCTCTGTTGTTCCAAGGCAAATTCCAAATTACAAACATCAGATTTACCCGGGCGAGAACGAATGCACAATGACGGTCATTGTCTATCAGCCTTGTCGATTACCCTCATGCTTAGCGCTGCTACCGATGGTTGGGATACAAGACTTACTCGGAATACTGGAAAACAACTAGTCTCATTCCATTCCTGTCAACTTGGTACCCAAGCCTTTCTCGATTTCCACCCCGTATCCAGCTCTACAGTTACATGCAATACTCCCATAACTATGGTACGAGGTGCCGTTGACGTAAGATGACTCGGTCCAGAGAAGCCGAAGACCGATTTCCAAGAACCACAACTTGTTCTCGGTAGTGAGCAAATTCAGGCACAAGGCAGCCTGCCAATGCCAAGTGAACTAGGGCTGGAATCGCTTCGTCTCCAGAAGTGATCGGCCTATTGCGGGCCGTCAAGATATTGGCATTGTTGGCACAGATGCACAATGGTGGCAAGCGCAGTTGGCTTGACACAACAACATTGGCATGGTCTTTTTCCTCGTATAAATGACCGAAGTCCTCAACCAGAATACTCTGATTCAGAGGACAACAAATATTCCAATCACAAGAATGCGCGCGGCTATTCCTCTGCTTCAACTCGGCATTGCCGCCGGAGCTGTTGCTCAATCGACATTCGTCACATCAATTGCCCCATCTTCTGTTGTGACTGCATCATCGACTGCAGTACCGAGCTTGGTTCCTCGGGATGGATGTGCTGCAATAGCTTCGTTACATGAGAGCACATTTGAAGCCAATTCTAGTGCTAGTAAGTGACAGGATCGAGGTCTCATTCTCACTTGCTGAATTACCCAGCATTGAGGGACGTTCCACCTTTGGCACCTGCTCTGGCCTACGAATGTCTGACGTCCGTACCACTCGACAAGGATGCAGCGACAAGCCTGATTCAATACTACAAACCATATCTCGAGTTCTTGAGTACTCTTGCGTGGTTGAAAGATCCTCCAGAATCCTACAAGCAGCCAGCTGTGGATCTGATTGGAGGTCTGGAGAACATCACTTCTCAAATTTCTAACAATGCCTTCGGCAATCAATATGAATTCGAATTGGCAATTCGTAATCTCTTACATGGTGCGCATGAAGGACACCTTGCACTGCAAACCCCTCTGTACAGCTTGTTTATCTTTAGAAGTCCTTTCGAGTTCGTATCCGTCTCTTCGGATGGAAGCCAGCTCCCTCAGATATACGTCTACCGTAAGTATTATCAACCCTTTCAAGCATCCCAGCTGTTGATTATTGGGTTGAGCGTAACGATTTGACATATAGTGACAAATACTAACATACGGCACAGGTGACTTCGAATTGGTCGCGACTTCTTCTGCAACCCTCTCATGGTCTCCATCACCGGTGACTGATATTGATGGGCAGTCTGCAGAAGCTTTCCTTGCAGACTATGCCAGAAATCACGCAACCGGAACCATCGAGCCACATGCCGATTACAATAGTGTACTTTTCAACGCTGCGAGATATCTGGGCAACAACTTGGTCCAGTCAACACCCCTAGGCCTTGGTTTTGACTACCTTGGGCATGATACCATGAATCTGACTTTCGCGAATGGCACTAGTACCTCTGGGAACTGGACATCGATAGCTCAGCAGAACTTGACAGGAGTCACGAGTGGAGAAGATTTGTATCAGGCGTTCGTCGCACCGCAACCACCAACTCCTCCTCGACCTATCAGCGAGACCGAACTGAGCGACACCCTACCAGAGATTGGCGCACCATACCCAACGCCGGTAGTCGTACAGAAGGGTCTTGGGTACGGCGGATTTGTCTCCGGATATTTCTTGAATGAAACTTCGATTGCTGTACTGAGTATCACGAGTTTCTTGATGCAAGCCGAGTTTGCAGAAACTGCTCAGGACGCCGTGGCTGAATTTTTGGAAAAGTCAAAGGATGCCGGCATGAAGAAACTAGTAATAGATCTTCAAGGGAATGGTGGTGGACTGGTTCTCCTCGGTATCGATCTGTTCAAGCAGGCATGGGAACTTTCTAAAACATATTTAAACTGCACAAAGCTGACCTGAGCAGTTATTTCCCTCGGATGAGCCCTTCATTGGCAGTCGGCTGAGAGCTCATTCGGCTTTGAATACTATCGGAACCACACTCGGGTCACTGATTAATGCAGAACAACTGCTGGTCGGTTCTCCATTCTATTTCGGAAATTCCGTCGACATGGACGGTCGCGATTTCTCGGACTGGGCAGATTACTATGGTCCATATCCATCACATGGAGACTTCTTCACTGCCACCGTAAGCATAGACCTGTTGCTCGCCCAAATATTTTAGCTGAATGGAATCTAGGAACGTTTCAACTTGAGTGATGCCGCCAATTCGGAGATTCAGTCAGGAAACGGCATCGTCGTGTCTGGATACGCCACTGAGAGCAACGTTGCCCCACAATACTTTGCTCCTGAAGATATCCTCATGCTCACTGATGGCTTCTGTGGCTCTACTTGTTCTGTCTTTGCCGAGCAAATGAAAACTCATCAAGGAGTCAAGTCTGTTGTTGTTGGCGGTCTACCCGAGACTGGTCCAATGCAAGGTGTTGCAGGTAATAGGAGCATGGCATCTGACTTTGAAGGCAGATCATCTAACTTGAATTCCAGGAACAAGAGGAGCGCTCCGATACAGCGCCGACGGGATTGGTGCCACCGTCAACGTTACTCTGCTTTTTAATACCTCGGTTGACCCATCAACAATGCCTTCACCTTTCGCGCCACCAATAAACGTCCCACTGTCCGGCATCACTATCAATCTGCGTGATCAAGTCCGTGAAGATGCACAAGACGTGCCACTTCAGTTTATCTATAAAGCTGCAGACTGTCGAATTTTCTACACAGCGGAGATGTTGGCGGACTATTCTGTTCTATGGCAGAGAGCTGCTGATGCTTTGTGGACTAACTCCAGTCTTTGTGTTGAAGGATCGACTGGCCACCCGTCATCTGGAAATGGCACTGAGTCAACTACAACGCCCGATCCCACTGGAACTAACCCTCCTGCTTCTACGCCGTCAGATGAGTCCAGTGCTTCCATGTTGAGACCTGAGAGTTTGGTCATGGTTATTGCTTCGATGTTGCTCGCTGCTAGTCTGTAGGCTGGATGAGAATATTTGCCAGGAAGAGTGATATAGAATGCAACTTCTATAATCAAATGTATGATTAGGAGTAGAGTGGTATATACAGATGATAAAGTATAATAATACACAAAACAGAAGAGACTTTGCGTACCAGACCTTCCCTTGTATTCATCTGCTTAGCACCATCTTTACCCCATCTCTAAACAAGCACATTCCATACCACCAATGGAAAGCAAACACAAACATCGGGAATGGTAACGCATTCCTTGTAGGATTGCACGCAATGCTCGAATAGCAAAATGTCACTTCAGCCTGCTCTAAATTCTCATTCCGTGAGACTTCCAACCGATGAAGCCCAGCAAAGCCTTTTCGATCGTCTCCAAATGCAACATCAATGAAACTAGTCGGAACGTTCTTAAACGTACCATCAGATAGACCCTTAGAGCCTTGGTCATTGATGCTGATATCCAGAACCATGAAGTTGCCATGGAAAAGCCTGGAGTACTTCTCAGGAAGCTTCGTTGTGCTCAACTCACGCGGCGAGGTAAGCTGCGGGCCATGTGTTGGGACATCTGATATTCATCAATCTTGGTTGTTCAATAAGACAACAAGGAGTGAACTTACCAGTAAACCCGACTGGACTAAACCTCCTCCCTACCAATCCCAAGGCGCCAAACAATGTCCTTTCCGGCAGGAAACTCCATCCACTAAAAAAGCCCTTCAGAAATCTAGCGAGGATCTCTTCATCGGTAAAGTCGCCAATTTCGGATTTCAGAAGATGAATGGATATCGAATCTGGGACTGTGACGTGGTTTCGTGGATTGACGATGGAGAAGGATCTGGATGTGGTTTTGGATTTGCATGATGCTGAGAGGATCCTTTTGGTGGTGACTTTGCGAGGAGAATTGAGTGGCAGCGGTCGGTAGTAGAAATAAGTTGCGAGAAGAGGTGCGCTGGCGACGGGGAGCGAGGTTACGAAGTTAGCAGAAAGAGGGGAGAGGTTCGTGTGAGAATTGGCATGGTATGGTATTTGGATGATGGCTAAGTTAAACTTGAAATGTGATTGTGGTTGTGTGTTATTAAGAGATCGGAGCTACAAATGGTCTGCATTGATGGGAATATATGTTGTGACATTCAAGAAAGACTCCGTTCCTTCTTCGTGCCTGACTCACCTTGAGCTTGCGGAATTCCACCAACCCTGACAGCTCACATGATCAAGTCCCGCCATCGTCCGGTGGCAGGACTTCTCCTGGAGTTGCAGAAGACTATTTCGCATTGGTCAATTCGTCGAGAGAATCGAACGACATTTTACTTGGTTTGGAGATAATTGTGCTTTTGGAAAGAAAGTAAACAATGATTTAAGCGACTGTAAAGGGGTGGCAGGGTGGGTATCTAGGTTTACAGTACAGTACAGTATTGTACTGCAATGCCAAGGAATCTCGTCTCGCCGGCACTCAACCGAGCTCCACGGTGCCTGGTGGTGCTCCCGATGCTCCCGACTCGTGCCATTCACGTAGGTCCTTGCGACCCAAGAATGGGTTCGGTGCATGACCGACAAAATTGACAACGAGATGAAGAAACGGCTGAATCCGAGGGCATTGAACTTGGGCCACACTGAAAGTAAGTAGGCCACCAAGATTGAAAGTCGAATCCTAATCGATCGTACCTGAATAACCTTACCCAGCTTGCCTTGTTTCAAACATGACCATGACCACCTCGCTCGCCTTCTACGGACCTGTCATACACTCCCTCTCGCCGAACGAGGTTGAGATTATCGATCATGCGCTCGTGGTGGTTCAAGATGGCAGAATAATCACCTTACAGAAAGCTGTGCCAGCAGACCAAGTCGAGATTGCCTTCTCCAGCCTAAAACTAGGCGATGTCCCACTCAGGCGTCTCTCACGAGGCGAGTTTCTCATCCCGGGGTTCGTCGATACCCACAACCATGCACCGCAATGGGCCATGCGTGGACTCGGTCGCGGTCTACATATCTTGGAATGGCTCGATCAAGTCACGTTTCCCAACGAAGCCAAGTTCAAAGATCCAGAGTATGCAAGACGGATTTACACAGACTGTGTGGAAGGGTTCATCCAGCAAGGCATTACCACTGTGTCCTATTACGGATCGTTGCATGGAGAAGCGACCAAGATCTTAGCTGAGATCTGCTTGGCCAAGGGACAACGGGCTTTTGTTGGGAAGTGCAACATGGACAGAAATGCTCCAGAATACTACCGAGATTCTGATACTCATGAGTCTCTGCGCGTTACTGAGGAATGCATCGCTCATATCCGGTCTATCGACCCTAAAGCAGAATTTGTCACTCCAATTCTGACTCCACGATTCGCCATCTGCTGCAATAACGACCTGCTGACAGGCTTGGGGAAAATCGCAAATCGGAACCCGGATCTGCCAATTCAGACACACTTCAATGAGGCCGAACAGGAGATCAACTCGACACTTGGTCTCTTCCCCGAATTTAAGAATGAAGCAGATTTGTACGAACATTTCGGACTCCTTACGCGCAGATCCATCCTTGCTCATTGTACGCACATGACAGATTACGAGATGGAAAAGCTGCAAGAGCTAGATTGTGGAATCGCACACTGTCCTATTGCGAACACGACTGTCGGTGGAGGATTTATGGCAGCTCCCATCAGGGAGTTTCTGCGTAGAGGCATCAAGGTGGGGTTGGGAACAGACAGTGGTGGCGGATTCTCGTCGAGTATCTTGGATGCCATGCGCCAAGCTTTCATCGTTTCGAACGCGAAGGAGTTAATGACGAAGGGGAAGGATCCAAGTCTGTCCTTGGAAGAATGCTTCTATATCGCAACGCTTGGAGGAGCGAGAGTCTGTTGTTTGGATGAGCAGATTGGTAATTTCCAGGTCGGGAAGCAATTCGATGCATTGGTTGTCAGTACTGGCAAGCAAAAGGGAGCCACGGTTAACACGATGACTGAGGATGGGGATTCTTTGAGGATGACTTTCGAGAAGTTCTTGATGAGTGGTGATGATCGCAACCTTACTGAAGTGTATGCGCGAGGGAGACTGATAGGATCACAGACTTGAATCTGCAATTAATCAGCGAATGGACACGACCTGGACATCTGCAAGGAAATGATGTCACTTGTCCATTGTTTTTCACCACTAAATTTTAATATCCATGTCGCTGTTGTTTGACCGACTCTTTTGAACACTTGACCACTGTGACCATTTCCTTACAAGATGCGCCTACATTGTCGACACAGAGCACTCCTTATATCCAACCATGGTTTTATCTCCCAACACCCCGTACATGTCAATCAATCACCGCTATCTTCCAAACATGGTGACAATCAGTGACGAAATCTTCGTCTCGCCTTGTCCCAGCCTGGTCCCATAACGATACCAAACACCAAACAAGCTAATTCAGCCGTGATCCTTATTCAAATCAACATATCATCATCCATAATAGCAAGCAACTCCGCATGATCTGGGAGCTCCTCCACAGAACCGCCACCTCTCAACACTCTGTTCTCATCGATAGCTCGGTGAACTAGTCGAGAAGGTGAAGGACTCCTGTCTCGCAGCGATTTCTTCCAAGCCAGATCTCTTCCTACCTCACCTTTATCAAGGTAAGATGCCATATTACCACGATTCAAGCCTGTCGGGCCGCTGGAGAAAAGATTGACTTGTCGGAGGGGGCCATCGAAAACATCTTTGTCGCCGTACAAACCTATGGAATAGGGTTTTGGGATGTCGGTGTAGCGTCTCAGGCGCTGTTCGGTGACTGAGGATGGCTTGTTAGATGCCAAGGTCTTGGTTGGAGCGAGGGCTCAGGTGCTTACTTACTCCTGCGATGATTCTCCACCTCTTTGATGACGTTCTCTTCCTCGAGCTGGAGAATTCTTCTCGATTCTGGATCAATAGGAGGAGGCCTGTCTAAGACATAAGATTATTAGTTTCATGTTCAAAACAAGATTCTGGACCGCAAAGGCCGTACCTAAGATCTGCGCCGTGTACGAATCCAGGCTACAACTTCTCAACATCTCATTATCCGCATAACGATTACACATCATAATCGTGAACGTTACTCTTTTCAACGGCCAGTTCCCTCCCTCCACGAGCTTCTCATACTCTTCAAGACCCGGTAACTCCTGAAAGAGCCCATTCCTAGCAAGGTTCTTGAGGATTCTCCTGCAGGCTTCTAAGAAATCGTGTGCATAGGGATCGCCTTGATTTAAGAGGTTGGACAATCTGGCAATAAGGTTGTTGATGGCGCCGGGATGCATTCCTGAACGGAGCTGCCCGAAAATCCAGATTTCGGCTTCCGCCCACGCGGAGTTCAGATTGTATGGATTTGGGACGGGGGCGGAGATGGTGCTGTGCTCTCGGAGGAGGAGATTTGCTGTTGTATGTCAAAAAAATGACCAAAATAAACCACGAGACTCCTTCAAACTGTTGAAGCCCTCCGTGATGTGGCACAAGGAATATTGAGATCACATAGAACACGGTTGATCGAAACGAAGAGCTGAACTTACGAATGGCTTGTCCTAAAGAGGTTGGCATGATTGTGAGAGGGCACGTTGAAGTATGCGTGCGGCTGTTTCACTTGTCGAGTCAGCAGAGGATTCTAAAGATAATCGAGATCGACAAAATAGGTGTAGATGATTTGACAGATGTGTTGTTGATCTAGATGGTAGCGCTTCGACGTTGTGCTCAATATGGTATGTTTTCAACGTCGTTTGAGCATTTGCTCTAAAGCGTTTTGAATACAAAGGTGATAAGTACAATGTGGAAGCACAGTAGCAGGTGGTGCCTTGCCGTGGCGACCGACATATTGAGTTTGTCACGAGTGAATTTGACAAGCGTCATGTACCATGCCATCAGCAGCGGTGTGGATACTTGTAAAATTTGATGCTTTACAATGGCACTGTGTAGTTCTGTATCTCTGCTTCTCGTATTTCCACATGAATTGATATACTGGTAGAGCTAAATGGTGAGTTGGATGTGATTTGTCAAGTCCGGTTCTGGAGAGGGCACAGCAGAGAGAAAACTCCATTTCGTGTTGTCACCTTGGAACAGAAATCAAAAAAATAGTGCAAGAATGACATCACCTACTACTAAATTTCAAACGAAGTCGGCACACTGGTGCCTACTGGTATTCAATGTTCTGAGGAGACAATTATGCCCACAGAATTCACAAACTTTAAGCAAACTAAAGTAGCGTTCATTAAATCATCTATCTATTTCTACGCTATCCACATCGTTATTGCAACTTCTTCTGTCCAGTTGAAAGAACCAACAGTGGATGCGTGCTGGTTATGGGGTGTGTAGGCTAGCGTAACGTCAACTCACAATGTTCAGCTGCAGAGGACCATGCCACTCCAAATACTTAGTTCCGTATCCCTACCCTCAGTCCAATACTCTGACCTACTTCCTCTATCCCAGCGCCAAATACATGATTGACCCAGACAGACAAAATCTCTCCAAATTCCATAGAATCTAATCCCAATCCATTGCATTGATCCAGCCAAGTACTTCCCCAAGCATTGTGGTGTCAGGCTGCCAAGTCCATAATCTCTTTCCATTAAAGAAGCCAGGTTTGTTTTCGCCAAGTTAAGCTGATCCACAAATTGCTATAAAAGTTCGTCCTGCGAGTCAAAGTAAGTCTTTAGACTAATACCAGGATTTTCAACGTCGACCCTGTGAGATCTCTTTATATCATCGTTGCGAGGATGAAAGCGACAAGTTTTGATCCTTTTTGGTGATCTGAGGCAAATGGATCGTGAATAAAATGCATGACCAACTTGCTCATAGCGAAATTTGGGTTTCTCAAGTTTATTCTTGGGTGTATGCGGGCAAATGTTTGGAATGGTCAATGAAGTCTGGGTGCTCTCAAATGAAGATTCAAAATCATCTATGGCTGCTGAGCCTTGAGAATTAAAGGATGGGGATCCTGCGTTGAACTTGGCTAGCTATATTCCAGACTTTGAGACAGTGTTGGGTGCTTGGCCGTTGTGAGGTGGAACAAGAGAATCTTCAGGGACTACTTAGTATCCAGAGTTTATATCATACCGACGTCCAGATAAGTTAATATTTTCTTGTCACTAAGCCTTTCGGTTTTTGCCACCCTTCGCTGGAGACTTTCCTACCTCAACAGGGACCTTGGCTTCTGTAGCCTTCAACTTCCCCTCCTCATATGCCTTGAGCCTAGCCTTGATCTCCAGCTTCTCCCTGTAAGCTGTATGCATGGCCAGCTCCTCCCAGTTCTCACAGTCGCCTCAGGTCGTATTGGGCCATCCTAAGCCCTCCCACTCAGCCGTTTTCATTGACTTCAGCTTAGCGGGGATAGGCTTCGGACCTGGACCCACACCAGGAACTGGCTCTGTCTCTGGCTCCGGCTCCGGCTCCGGCTTGGGTACGGGCTTAGCCTTGCGTGATGCGATGTATGGGCTGCTGTCGCGGCGATTGGGACGGGTTCGGACAGGCTCTTCTGGGCGTTGATTGGGCTTGTAGCCTGGTGAAAGGCCGTAGTAAAGGTCTGCATCAGTCAGTTTGTAGCAGGTGAGAAGGAGTTTAGAAGTACTTACGGGCGCAATATGATTGCGATAGCTCTCTCAAATCTCCAGAGAATGTGTCAAATTCGTGGAGCAAGCGACCCCTATTTCTGGCGAGAATTACGATTGCATCGAGCAAGTCAACGCTTGATATCAAGTCACCCAAAGCATGCACCTCGTAGTCAAACATTCGGGCTTTAACCTTTCTGATGATTTCGTTGACCCGCACCGTGTGGGTACCGAATCTAACAATTCGGCGTGCATCATCCATGTCGTCCTTGATACGCAACTCCATGTCATCTATGACTGAACGGACTTTCTGACCAAGCACACGACGTCGATAAGATACAGCGGCCATTGTGTTGATAGTCCTGGAGTGTTGATTTGTTTTGAAAAAGGATTGCGTTTCGTAGCTCTGATACTTGAAAGTGCTTGAAGGTGTCCGAATTTTCGAGTCGATGTTGGATATCGAAGTCGAGTATGTAGGAGTAAGCAAGAGTCTCGACATCCAGGAGACGAGGCCCAAGATATAGGAAAATCCCATGTTACTTCTTGTTTAGCCCCACTCTCGCTTAGGCACAAAACGCAACAAAACATCACGTGATCATTTCCAACGGCATCGGCTGTCCTGATTAGGCGTTCTTTTGGATATGCCACTCGGCGATTCAGTCTAAAGGGATGATGTGATAGTGAATGAGTCATTTCTTACAGGAAGCAAGGTTGTTTCGTTTGAAAATTTGGCGGGACAGATGAATGAGGAGCCCCTGTGTGAATCACTCGCCCGGTTCCAATGGTGGCATGTTGACTTTTATATACATACAGGTGATTAGATGAGGTTCACTAACGAGCGATATGGAGACTTGTTTTGATGAAGTCTTCTTGGGTACTAGGAATTTCGGTGGCTGATGGACTGAGGATCGCAATCTGGAAATGTAGTTACGATTACTCCGAAGTCACGAGCTTAATAAGTATATTCTTTTTTGATGGTTTTCTAATGCTGCAATGAGAAATTGGTATTCTGATCTAGAAAAATGCGGATATCATGACTTGCCGGTCACAATACCAGCCGTAAACACTCGCAGAAACACCTTAAGCCGTACCGGTTTTGTCAAAGAAAGGAGGCAAGAAATTTCCGCGAGTACGATTGACAGACCATAAGTACCCGATTTCATGTAAGAGAAGAAGGAAACTGACTCAGTACTTAAGAGCACTGGGCTTATCTCCTACCTGGAGCTTTCTTGGCGGGCTGGGAGGGTGGCGTTGGGGTTGTATCTTCCCAAGGTCCTTCCGCCTTACCACGAGCAACAGCACGGGCCTTGTAGGCAGAGATCATGGCGATCTCATCCCAGTCCTTGGAGTTCTCAGAAGTTCATTGTTCATGTGCCCATGGTCGCTCAATCGAATCACGGAGTGTCTCTCGTTCTTTCTCAGCTGCTTCCATGGCAAAGTCCTCCCAATTGACACAGCTCCAGGCATTATGTGCACTATCATCCAGAGAGGAGGTTTATTGTTCTTCAATTTGACTGGGATGGGGACAAGAAGAGCCTTTGGCTTCACTGCAGAGCTTGAAGTAGGCCTATTGGTCTGTCTACTTGTATGAGAAGTGCTCACAGTGTATAAATCTCGGGATCTGGAGCGACGGACTGGAGCTGGTCGAGAAGTGCGGTCGTGTCTGAATGCTCTACCTCGTTCATTCGCCCGGCGTTCATCCTCCAGGGCGAGACGAGGATGGACCTGTCTGAGTAGACCGAGATTATGGTCATCATAGCTGAAGTTTCCTGCATAATAGTTAGCCATGCGGACAACACCGGGGATGTTGTATCGTCGTCCATCCCGAGGATCGACGTAGGGAATCGGATTCTCGATGAAGGTCGCCACCTTGTTTCCTAGGGTTCGGCTACCGTCCCGGCCAGTCACCAGCCCACCATAGACCGTGTCAACGCGAGTGACGGGGGTACCATCACGAGATTCGCTGTGTGTGGCTACAGCAACGAGTGCACCGTTTTGGCCTCGGCCATCAGTGACAACCGCACCGAACATACCGTCTCTGACGCCGGTAGCACTGAAGAAAGACATTTTGCCTGTGAGAAAAAGAATTGGTGTTAGTGTGTATGTTTCTTGGAAGCGTCGAAAGGATATCTCGGATTTTTCAAGAGCTTATGTGAAGGAGTTGAAAGTGTTTGTAAGCTGCAAGTCAAAGATATTCGAAGAAGATTTGATGCTGGGGAAAGAGAACAATTTTGGCTCAAGTAAAGGACAGGAATGATTACTTGCCACATGTGCAAAACGTGGTGCTCATGACAGGGACAGACATTGTTCCGGAAGTCGCTTGGTACTTGAGCACAAGCTCTTTTTGGACAAAGACAGCATTGACCCTAAAGTGTTCTTTCTCAGAACAGGAACATAGCCTATTCCTGGTCAGAATGAGTTCTTGTCGTGGGACAGTCCTTGAGCAGTGTTAGATATTCTACTCAGAGCAGAGACAGAAGCCAGCCTCATAGTGGGTCAGCTAGCTAGTGGGTTAGATTGCAACAAATGGTGGATGGGAAGAGGGGTCGGTACCGCATCGTCGTTGCGTGGCCGGAATGATGACGGGGGGAAGATGGACAGGATGATGTGGCATTCCGACCGGACTCTGCTTGATACATTCTCATGCTCTAGAAGCTGCGAGGTGGTTATAATGATCATCAGCAGTAGCCTCAGGGATCTCCAGTCGTGACATTTTTACATACAATCGACGACGTGATTATATTGCTCCTATATGAGTGGATGTGAACGCCAAGTCTATGAGTGCTGAAGCGGAAAGCAATCTTTTTATAGGAAACGAGACAAGCAAAAATACTTTAGAAACAACAGCAATGGCACCTTGTATATCACAATATCTGAAAACTCAACGATTCGCTTCGCTTCAAGCCATCAAAACCCTTCCTCAGCCATCAACACATCCCCGAAGCCTGTTGACGAAAGACATGTACCTTCTCTTAGTCATAGGAGTACTCTTTCCCGTTCTCGCACTTCCGGTGCTGTCTGGGGTCTTTGGAGAAGCAATCATTGTCCTGCGTCGAACGTTGGCACTGTCTAGAGATCGCATGGCATTTACAGTCCTGATGAAAGCGGGGTCTTGCTCATTCAACTCATTCATCTTGTTTGGAGTCCTTGGCGAAGGCTCTGTGAAGGCTCGAGGTATTCGTGACTTCGACACAGGAGTGCGTGGTAGAAGAGCTGCTGTAGTTGTGGCGGTGAGACTAGGCTCCACTTCTGCAGGTGCCATCAGACGTGATATCTGGACAGGTAAAGGTTCCGGAGATGCAGGTGCATCGAATACAGTGTGTTCAGAGACAACCATCTCTGGGAGCAATGCCTGACATGGTGGTACATTTTCTATGGGCGGAGTTTTGCTCCCATCGTCTGGTTTCTCAGCCTTTGTTGGAGTAGTGGTATCGAGTCGTGAGGTAAGAGTGTAATTCGATGACTTTGGCGATGTTGAGTACCAGGTTATTTCGTCTTCCATTTCTTCCACAAAGCTACGAGAATGCTGTAACCGAAGTTTCCCAAACTCCATTGAGACCATAGATGCGGGTGTTGGGGGCTCAGATGTCCGCGGTTCCGACATAAGTAATGTTGGTCGCCGAGATGGCAGTGGTGGCCACGCATCATCTCCTGGAGAGATATATGCAGGGGGTTTGATGCCATATCTAAAGATGGAATTCAATAACTCTTTCGAGTATGCTTCAGGAAAGCCCGACACTCTGCATTGCCGGAGAACTCCGCGGAGATGGATCAAGCTGTCGCAGAGACTGAGGACATCGTTAGGACAATAACGTTCTAGATGAATCAGTAGGCAAAAAATGTCAACACAATTGAATCGTACCTTTAGTACTCTCTACCCAAGTATCGCCCTGGAGGCGAAATCCAGCATACCGTCTGCACATCAAATGCAGCTCTGCGATTGATGACTTAGCCGGCCGCTCTCCCAAACCACATACAATTTCATTCAACAAGCTTCTCGTCTTGTCCAAATTGTAACCGAATTTCTTTGCATCTTTCCATTGGCTACAGCCAAACTTTGTGAAGTCGACCTCAACTGTGATCCGCTGTACCATACCGAGGTACTGCTTGAGCCAGACATGAGAAAGAGGAGAGAACTTTGGGCCGCTGAATTCTGTCACCGTGACATGAAATCGATATTCCGACCAAAAATATGTCAACAGATCATTTCGCAACATGCTGAATGATTGCATCCCCCCTGCCACGAAGTCTATGATGTCCCATGGCGATGCAAAATATTCCTTCGAAAAGACTGCTTTGGTAGCGAATGATGGAGACAGTGTGATCTTTCGTGGCTCGAACGGAAAGCAGTATCCGTATATGCGTCGTCGGACACTCGGAGGGAGTTTGAAGAGTGGATGTATAGAGTGACCAGATGAAATGGGGACATTTAGCAGCTTTTCAAACACAACATCCGGTACATCAGGTGCTGTGGTCTGGGCTGATGCAATAAGATCGATGTCGCGCTCGAACTCTGCGAATTTGGGAAACGGTTCCGTCGGCAGATTTGGGGTTGGGCGTGCTATCTTGAATGAATTGACTCTGGAGACTGTAGATTCGGCGACCGGAGATCCTACGACAGGTCTTTTGAAGAGCCCTGTGCCTGGCTGACGCGCGTGTTGACTCGTACACGATTCGGAGTCGCTGATGGTACGCGCAGTCCGCGACACGGATTTGCCTTGGTCATTATTGTTGTTGTTGGTAGTGCTGAAAGGCGATACAGATCGTAGAGAGCCGATCACAGACCGACGGAGTGACACTAGCACGCGTTAAAGACGGTCATCGCAACGAAAGCGAGAGCGAGGGCTTACTTTTGACTCGGGTAGGATTGTTGGTGGGTGGTTGCACATTTCGAGGGTTCTCGTGAACAAAGACCGATTGGCATCTGGTTTTGTTTTCGAAAGCGGAAGGAGAAGGAGAAGGAGAATCTCTCGCTTCTGTTGCTAAATGCGGGCGAGAGGAAACAATGGAAAGGTGGGGCAGGCAGAAACAGAAAGCGTGTCCCATTCTGTCATTATGTCAGCCCATGCCTCCAAAGTATCGAACGTGAACAATATCGCGAGGAATGGAATGAATCTTGCGGTGGTTTACCCTAGATACGATTCCCCGAAAATCGCTACAAGCCCTCCAGCGCTGTTGGCACTTACTTTTGGATTGAGAATGAGTTGCGATATGAATGCAGTGGTGCTCGACGGTGAAGGAGCGTAGAGTGAACAGAAACGAGAACCTCTTGACATGAAAGTTTGTTGGAGCAAATAAGAGTTGTTGGAATATCTACGTACGTCACCTAGACATTGGCCTTCGGTGGTCGTGCGGAAAGGCGATGGCCACTGCGGTCAAGAAGCACTTGCTTTTCAAAGTCCGCTTCGTGCCTACGATCGATGTGCATTTGCTATTATCTACATTTAGCTGGGGACATTGCAATAAGTGTGTGTTTAGCACCTTCGTCGAACAGTATCCGTGCCCGAAACGCCACTGCTTCTTTGTTCTTCGAAGACAAAGAAGGTGAAGGGGATCTCTTTCATCCTGTCCAAGCTTTGCTATGGACTCGTACACATCTGGCAGTCTCTTTGTTGCCACCAGAGTCAGACCTGTGAGTCCGGGTACGAGTTTCAGAAGTAAGATCCAACTAATGGGTCTGGCTTCGCGTAGACATTAGACAATCAGGAACAGTTCCAATTGCTTTTGCGATAACATACCTCGGATGGGAACCATCGATGAGCACTGAGATTGGAACCACCGTGAAAATGTTGCAGTTGAACCCTTCGAAAATTTCCAATGTAAGGAGGCGCACGCCAACAAGAATCTAGCTGACCAAATTTTTATATGCATGAAAGGGAACAAAGTATAGGTACCTTTATAGAACTCCATCAGAAGCTTCTGTCATTGAGTCCGACACATCGGTTACTGACAGCCCATCGAACACTTCAACAAACAAATCATCTTCTCCTCTCTGCCTTCTCCACATATTCGTCGACCTCATCAAATCCTCGCATCCTCGGAGCATCCATCCCCACTTCCTAGCAAATTCTTCTGTGACCTCCCAGCTCTCCGGTCTCGATGCATCACTCCAGACTATAAGTCCACTCCTCTCACTGGGCGCATGACATGTCTCAACCAGATCATAGCACAGATCACCGTCCTCATAATCTTCTTCCAGAGCAAGCATATTGTCTCGAAGGGCAGGAAATGGGAAAAGGTCGATCCATGGATGGTGCGGGGTAGATATCTGGAGAGCTGTGGGCCGGAGATTCGGCGGGTACTGGGTGAGTGAGTCGAAAATTGCGGGTGGAGCTATGTTGAAAGGTGACTGTGCTTCAACACTGAGCCAGTCGAAAGAAAAGCCCATTGCGAATGTGTTGTTGACAAGGGCACGGAAGACATTGAATTGTATCAGGGTGAGGAGGAGGTCTGACCGCGGAGAGCCTACTCTGAGCTCTCGAGATGCTAGATTCTCAAAATAGGCAATCTGGTGTCGTACTTGGGCTGCGGTTACTTGATTGCCTCGACGCACTTCTCTACCAAGCATTAAATGGGCCTGTTGTGCGAAAGGCAATGCTGTTTCCACGTCTACAGGCTCTAGATGCACGACGTCTTGGACCGAATCTGTGGGAGTGACCCCGATACTACTATCCTGGCTATTGGATTCCGTAGCCTCTGCTGCGTGCATCTTCCGTGGTCTACGCTGTTTCCCTACAATACATACAAGTCAGATCACGATCTGATTGGTGGTAAGCAAACTACATGTCGTGGAATCTTACTAAACTTCCTTTGATGCAAACGATTCTGGAGTTTCCTTCGCTCTGCGGCACTCGTGCGGCCAGTCCAATCATCGTCTTTTGTACGGACTTCAGCTTGCTGGTCCATTCGATCCAATTGTAAGAAGAATTCCGGGGGACCAGCAGCGAGCTTCGCCTGCTGCATACCACATGTGAAGTCCATGACGACTACGGATGGTGAGGGGATTGTGTTGGGAATACAGTAGCTGCTGCTTGCTTATCCTGCACGGAATTGGCTCGCGGCTTACAGCATCCTCAAATTCCCATTCCGTGAGACCGTCATTTGTATGTGATCTAGAGAGCGGAGGGTGCTTTTGATGTGGCAGAATAGAGGAATTAGGAGTTAGGACTTAGCTAAGTAAGACTACGAATGCAGCCAATAAACAACTACGCCCATTTAGCCACATGCAGCTTGCTTATCCCCCAAGTGCGCTCGAGAATAGTTCACCAGTTACCTTAGGCCTTTGGTGCGGCTTTTGCGATGCAGGAACGACATATTCGCTGCGTTCTTTGATTTCTCCTCAACCGGTCTCTTGCTTCAATTTATCGACTGCTTTCCTTTGTAACAGGCTGCTTGGCGTCCCATCTGACATTACTCCAGGCGTGTGAGGCATCTGATATTGTTGAAGCCGAATTCTGGAGGTGTTGTAAATTTGGCCAAACGGAAGAGAAGTGAAGCAACCAGCCAGTTCTTGGTGGCGCTCCACGAATTGCCGAAGAGGGCCCGGCGCGTCATAAATTTACAATGCAGCGCCTGAATTTCAAGCATTTCAACACGAAAGCCATCCACTCAAGCAGGAACATACTCCCGCAGATCTAGGCCGCATATATCTACCCAAAGCTTTTGAGCACAGCAGAAGAAAGGAAAGCCAGCAACGCCTGTTCCAGCAATCCCCATCATGGCAGCCGCCCCAGCCAACTTTGATCCCGAGACGGCGGACAATCTTGAGGATGTATGACTCGTTCCGTTGCTTCTCTGACGATACTGGCATTTGGATCGCACAACTAGCTAACGTGCCCATAGATTGAGAAGCAATTCGCAGTGAAAGGTGCGCATCCTTAAGCTCTTTCCTATCTACCCCGCCACTGACCCCGCCATCAGTCGTCCAGCACATGTCCACATACTGGTCCATCCTCGAGAAGGTCCGAGGATCGACGTTAAGGCTCACCAAGCTCGATGATGAAATCTACACACATTTGAAGGCCGATTTCCCTGAGTTCGATCCAGCCGCAAAGATAGATGAGGACGAGATGAAGAGCAAGACAGGAAAGGAGAGGTGGCGGAAATTCTTGATGACATACGAGAAGAAAGTCGATGATTACAACTTTGGCACAATGCTGAGAGCAGATGCAAAGGGGGAGTACGAAGAAAAAGAGACAATCTTTGGTAAGTGGACATGGTAGTGAATAATTCAGAGCTACATGACTGATAAGGATGGCCTCAGTCCCCAGAATGCAATTCTATGCTGTCGAAATCGCCAGAAATAGGAATGGTCTGAATGATTGGATTTTCGAGAAGGCCCAGAAAGAGGCCACGGAGGCAAAGTCATAAAATTGCGGGCGCGAATACCCTCACATTATGTACAGACATTGGCATTTGCCAGCCCAATTCCACTACCCGCGGCTGAGTCGCTGAGGCAAGGCCTATCTTGAGGCCACACGTAATCGACACGATTAAGGAATTAGTCGTCCAAATGTAAGCCATGGCTCGCCAGATTTGTACACACGTTGGACTACTTGAACGTTATATATCTTGACATATACCTTGTTTGTGAGTGCTTTCTCATTTAAATGGTAAACAACTTGCGGCAATATCGCATTTATTTGAGTTATGCTCATTGACTCCTTCCCCTTCACCTTCCATCTTCTTTGCTGGGTAAAGTTCTTAAATTTTCATCTGGTAGATTTAGGGTGAGGAACATCAAAACTAAGATGACATAATCTTGAGAACAATGCCTACCTACCTACTTTCCTAGACGAAAACCTGCATTCCTCGTTTAAGCGAACAATACTAAGGCGGTAGACAACAAAGATATCCGAGAACAATCTCAAGGGAGCGGCCATTTTGCTCGTATTAGTCCTTTTGGACGCGCCACTAACACGTTCCGTCCAAATCGAGAGCTAACATGCCTCTTTTCAATTCCATCGCAAATTGCACTCTTCCTTTCCGCCCAGAAAGATTCTCCCAGACATTGTATTCCCAATGGCGATCACCCCATACAAAAGTCCCTTGAGACTCAACGGTAACCAAGACACCTTTATTCAAATGCGCGCACAGATAGAAAATCCCCATGGATCTACAGCGGATTTGCAACGAGCCCCTTCCACAGATGAGACTACCGACAAAGCCTCGTGGCGGTCTCTCTTCTTCTTCACAACTCGGAAGCACAGCTTGGTAATCGTTATTGCTGTATTCTCGTCTCTTCTCTCTGCGCTTCTCAAACCAGCATTGGCAATCTTCTTTGGCAAGATCTTCTCCAATTTCACGAAGTTCGGGCTGGGGGTTATGAGTGGCCCTGAGGCCCTGATTGCGATATCAAGATGGTGCATTGCGCTTGTCTCCTTGGGTGGAGCAGCGTGGTTGATTGAAGGGGTGTTCCTATCTTCATGGATGGTGTTTGGAGAGCTTCAGGCGAAGAGTGTGCGCGAGCAAATGTTTGTTGGTTTGCTGGATAAAGAGATGGAGTGGTATGACTTACGGCAAGATGGTAGCGGGTCTTTGTTGATCAGACTACAAACGTAAGTATGTCTTGAAAATCCGACTCTACATGCTAACAAGTGTCAAAGTCAGATCCAAGAGTTCCAGATGGGCGTCTCTCAACCAATGGGCTTCTTGGTTTACGAAGTATTCGGATCCCTTGCGGCACTCGGACTTGCATTCTTTTACTCATGGAAATTGACTCTCGTTATTCTCGCAGCTTTTCCTGTTGCCGGTATAATGTTCTTCCTTGTCTCACTGAAACTCAGCCCCGCCATCGAAGCACAAAAGCGAGATCTCACAATTGCTTCTAAATACGCAAACACGGCTATAACAGCTATTAATACTGTCAAAGCATACAATGGACAAGATCAGGAGGTCTGGCAATACTATGACACAATCAAGAAAGTTGCTGCTAGCTACCTGATTCAAGCCAGGTGCAATGCATTGCAATTTGGAATCACAAAATTCCTCACGATTGGAATATTTATTCAGGGATTTTGGTTTGGACTTGTGCTGGTCAAGGAGGGATTAGATCCAGGCTCTATTCTCACAACGTTCTACGCATGTTTGGCTGCAATGCAGGGTCTGGAGACAGTTCTGCCCCAATGGTTGGTGTTGAAGAAGGGCATGTCAGCTGGACAAGCCCTGAAGGCAATCATGATACATGTTAAGCACGGCCGTGTCGTTAAAAACAGTGTTGGACTCTTACTGCCAGACAATTGTGAAGGGGATATTGAAGTCAAGGGGGTATGTATACTGCCACAATTTGCAATGTCGCTAACCAGTGCATAGGTTTCATTCGCCTATCCTTCAAATAGTCAGCAATATGTATTAAATGATGCGGACTTCTTTTTTCCAGCTGGTGAAACCACATTTATTGTCGGCACCAGCGGCTCTGGGAAAAGTACATTGAGCAACTTGCTCATGAAATACTACGAACCAACCCATGGAGAGATATTGATCGACGGCAACCCGATTCGCACGCTCGATTCAGCCTGGCTTCGACAGAACATTACTTTGGTTCAGCAGCAGAGTGTTCTCTTCAATGAGACAGTTCTACAGAATATCGAGTTTGGCAAAAATGAGCCAGTGTCGCGCCAGGACATCCTTCAAGCAACCAGGACTGCTGACCTTGAACAAACTCTCCTCGACCTTCCCGATGGCCTTCATACTCCAGTCGGATCGAATGGAAAGTCTCTTAGTGGTGGCCAGCAACAAAGAATTGTACTGGCACGAGCAAGGTTACGAGACGCTCCGATCGTCATCTTCGACGAGTCCACTAGCGCTCTGGACCAGTCAAGTAGAGAGAAAGTTGCGAAAACAATACGTGAATGGCGCAGAGGGAAGACTACGATAGTCATCACACACGACATCTCGCAGATTCTGGATGACGAATACGTCTACGTCCTCGAGCACGGCTTGGTTGTGCAAGAAGGCTACCGTAAAACGCTTGCCGACAAGAAGCATGGAACCTTTGCTTCCTTTCTGTCGGAAGTCCAGACGCCAGAGCTCGACACGACTATGGCTAAAACCCGGTGGAACTCCAAACCAGACGCGCCAACCTGCCCGACATCACCAGTAGGAGACTTCGATGAGACAGTACCTCGTCAAGAAGGATATATTTCTAAGCTTCTCGGCATACAGCAACCAAGTCCCAATGTATTCAGTTTAGCTCCTGGTACTCCTGCAGTAATTCTAGGGGGCGGAGCAGCACATGCGAATGTCTTGCTGGCAGACAATATTTGGGCCACGCCTTTAAGAGCCAATAAAGGGAGTTTTGAAACATTTTACTCCAGTGAGCCGAGAAGGTCTGACTTCGAATTAATGAAACCATCAATCCTCCAGCAAGAAACGGTGAAGCAACAGCCACCACTATCTATTAATGGCTCCCAAAGTCTACATCCATCCCTAACTTCTGCTGTGGGTACAAAAAAGCATCATGTACGACCACCTGTAATTGATGCGGCAGTACCAGTCGGCCTGGTTGAGTCTAGTCCGGTGGAAATGACGATCCTACAAGTACAAGAGTCAAAAACAAGTTGGAGCAGTCTAGCGAAGAGGAAGCCAGCCACATTGAGGAGAATCTTTGGCACTATTTGGCCAACTTTGAAATGCCGAGAGCGGTGTGTCTTCATCTTTGGCTTTGCAACTGCATTGATTGTTGCAGGTGGAACACCTGCTTTTGCCTACGTGCTTTCGAAGCTCCTTCAGGTATACTATCTCAGAGAAAACAGAGAGGAAGAAGCTTTGAGGTGGGCTCTGGCACTGCTTGCTATCGCCACGGTAGAGGCGCTTGCGACATTCTGCTCACACTATTCACTTGAATACAGCGGACAAGCATGGGTTAATGCTTTACGGGTCGAAGCTCTGAAGCGTATCATGGCCCAGCCAAGGTCCTGGTTCGACAAAGAGCGGAACTCCCCAAGTAAATTTAACGAGTGTCTTGACAGGAATGCTGAGGAGATGCGCAACCTCATCGGCCGATTTGCTGGACCAATATTTACGACTTTCTGGATGCTGGCCGCTTCCATTATTTGGGCTTTTATCATCAGCTGGAAGCTTACACTGGTCGCCATGGCATGTGGTCCCGTCTTGTATGCCGCGACCAGAGCTTTCAACTGGGTCAGTAGCAAGTGGGAGAATAAGAGCAACCGTGCTTCTGACTATACAAGTAGTATCTTCACAGAGACATTTGCCAACATTCGAGTCGTTCGGGCTCTGACACTTGAGAACCACTTTAGAAGGAAGCACAGCAAAGCCACAAGCGAGACATACAAGACTGGGGTCTTCCGAGCGCTATATTCCGGTACTTTATATGGTCTGGCAGATACTCTCAGCTATATGGTAACAGCAGTGGTTTTCTACTACGGAACCATAGTCGTAACAAAACGAGAACTCCCTGTTTCATCGGTCATGGAAGTCGTCAATCTCCTCCTCTTTGGTATCGCCAACGCAGCCTCTATGATGAATCTAGTACCGCAAATCAACACGTCCCGCACAACAGCAACACACATGCTCTACCTAGCTAACCTTCCCTTGCGCGGCTCTCACGAGACTGCAGGATCAAGACGTGTCGCCAATCCATTCCCAATTGTGCTCAACAACCTATCCTTTACCTACCCTGGAAGACGGAAAACTCTCTCGGGAATCTCTTTGACTCTCGCAGCTGGGTCTTGCACAGCACTTGTCGGTCCTTCCGGGTCAGGGAAAAGCACCATCGCCTCCCTCCTCCTAGGACTCTACTCGCCAGATACTCCTCGCCGGCCAGACCACCCTCCTCCTCTCACATTCAATAATATCCCCGTTAATGAATGCAACATCTCTAACGTCCGTTCCTTCATATCTTGCGTACCTCAACAACCTCACCTTTTCCCCTCATCGATCCTCTCTAATATCATCTATGGTCTTGCCGAAGGTTCTCCATTCGCCAACGTCGAAGCTGTGAGTCGTGCTGCTGAAGAGGCGGGGATTCATGATTTTATCATGAGCCTGCCGAATGGCTATTTGACGCTTATTGGAGAGGGTGGAATGGGATTGAGTGGAGGGCAGGCGCAGAGAATAGCTATTGCGCGGGCATTGGTGCGTCATCCGAAAGTCTTGATCCTCGATGAAGCGACCTCAGCCTTAGATGCGGTGAGCGCAGAAGCTGTGCGGGATACAGTGAGGAGGATTCTAGAGCGTGGTCGAAAATCCGGAGGGGGCGGTATGGCGGTTTTGATCATTAGCCATGGTGTTGAGATGATGCGGATTGCAAGCGAAGTGGTGGTTATTGAGGATGGGAAAGTCGTAGAGTGCGGTGGGTTCGAAGAGCTGAAAAGTAGGGGTGGGGCGTTCTCGAGGTTGATTGGTACAAAGGTGAAGCCTGGTGATGTGGAACAGAAGGAGCCTATGACGCCTGTCAAAGGACTGGGGAGGAATAGGGAGAGTTGGGCTTGGATGCGGAAGAATAATGCGTAAGTGGAGAACGTCTGGCTTTGGGATAGATATTGGGTAGCACACAAGTCGGCGCTGGTGCATTTCAAGAGATAAGGAGCGGAACTACTTAGGCTAATTTTTAAATTTGTTCTTTGCAGAGCAGTTCTTTTTAAAGTAAACGGCCATGGTGCTAGTAGCACGCACAAGCATTTGGTCTCTCAGTGATTCTGTGGATCTTCTGAGAAGCTTGTTACTCGCGTGTTGATGTTTTGGCTCGCTTCCGATTTTTCAGGGGCCTCAGGGGCGACTTCGCTAAATCTCAGCCGCTGCAACTCGCAGTCTAGAATCCCCGCCACCAAATGAAGCTGCACCTCACCTGAATAGTCAACTTCGTATCATTCAATGTTGCCCCTTCTCGCCCGTCCCACTCGGACTGCCTCGCTGAGAGCAGAATCCAAGCCTCATAACGAGCCAGGTTGATTGCGGGCGATTCAGCATCATGGTCAAGATCGACTTGGAGAAGGTCCTTGGGGACAATGATAAGGAAGAGATCAGCTCTTTGCTTACCGCGCAGAACTCCGGGAACCCCTTGCGGAATTTGCGACCTTCGAGGACGACAATATGGCGATGTGTTGGATTCGCGGTGTTATTACAGGGTTTGGTATGCTGGAACTGGTTCTTCCGCAGCGAGTCAGTATACATTGGACCAGCGTATAATGTTACAGAGACAGTTGAGCTAGTTACCGCTGTAAGCTATTATCTCCAAGCTTTTCACAACCTGCTAATAGATGGAATTGCCAGTACTACGAATTGCTACGAGATATGCGATACATTGGACGAGACATGATTGTGTATCCGCCGCATACAGGAGCCCTGGCAATCAATGTTACCTTGGCCTCCGAGCTGGGCCTGGACGAGGCTGTGATTGAGACTATGCTGCGACTGCCATATATTTTGCCGCACGAGGATCAATACAACAAAAGTGAATATATGAGTGAGCTAGAGCTTACAGCGCTGCATAATAACGAGCCGGACTGGTGGAAGGGCTGGATGAGACAGAGTCGAGACATACTGTGGAGAAATGGGCATTTCGTTGATTACCGAAACGATGCAAATATTCGCCTGGCTCGAGATCCTCTGAAAAGATGGGAAATCACCTTCATGCAAGGAACGACATTCGAGCAGGCCATGCTCGAATTCCAGCCATTGCCAAAATCAGCAATTCCTCTGTCCATAATTGGAGCTCGGAGATATGGGCTCGTCCTTGTGCTCGATACCGCAACAAATAGAATTGTTGTCTTGGATAGTCAAGGCAACAGCCGAGGCGCCGATCCCTTCTTCGGACGATTCAAACTCGATAAGCTCCCATCCAAGTATAAAATACATAGAACACTATTCTATGGGGAAGAAGACGTTCATGCTCGACTTGCTTCGGATCTTCTGCGCGACTTCATACATCTGACAAGCCATTTAGAATCCGGCTATCTTCCGGGCTCTGTTCGCACTGATAAGGACTATACTCCGGAATTGTGTCCTCCAATGTGGGAGAAATGGGTTCAGACGCTCTATCGTGACTATGGATGGCCCGCTGGAGAGCAACTCGAAGAGTGTCAGTACTTGTCTCTTCGGCGAAATAATACTTGCGACCACAATCCTATGGACAGTTTCAAAACCAAGCCTTTCGACCAAGCAATGAGTTCTCTGCGTCACAATATCACCGTTCGATACATGCCTGACTGGTACTGTCCTGTGCCTCGAAGGGAAGATGTGATTACGCATCTCAAAAACAACAAGGCCCTGACGGAAGAGCAAATAACCTATGCTGAAAGCAATGAGCCAGTCATCCCACTGGACTTGGACAGTTGGGGTGGTAGACTACCCTTCATGCAAGGCTGAACGGACTTGCAGAAGCTTCCAAGGGGTACATGTCTTTGTTATATGGACTTATCACTGGCTACCTTGGCGTTAACGGAGTTGGTATGGTCCCAAGCAAAGGGCGGCGTATTCGGGTCGGCAACTATTGGCAGCAAGAGCCGTATTGTTCTGCACGTTCAACACCTAATGTATATTCAGCAGAATGGGCTTTCTTAGCAGGCCAGAAAAACCTTCTAGGTGATGTCATCCACGTCGCTCAACTATGGACTTTGATGTTTCTTCGAGGCCAATGCTCGCAAAAAGAAGATATCGTTGTTTGGGCCAATGTTGGCATGTATCATGTTCCTCAAACTGGTGATCTGCCACAATTGCTCACAGCGGTTTGGTACTCAGTCATACAAATTATCTGCAACGAAACCCCACTCGCTAGACAGTAAACATTGTCGAGATCTTGTATGACGGCGATGTTGAGACGACTGATAGACTTTTGGCCAAGGAACGGCCGAGTGTGTAGTGCCACAGAGTATTTGGATGATCAAATGATAAGAACGTTTCCTTATGATTCTGTCACCCATATATTGAGACTGAAAGTGTCTAACTTTGAAGCTGGAGAGATCGATTTGGGAATCTGGATAAAGTAGGATTGCAAGCTCAAGAGTCCTTCTACTAATCAACATTTTTGTGTCACTGAAAAATTTGGTTTTGCATAGCCACGAGTATCTTGCCTCCCGCAATAATGGTTTTGCACATGTATCGATGGCAAGTACGTAACTGTAATGTGCCAATATTTGTTCGATTAAACTTTTTGCTGGTTGAGGAGCCCCTGAAATATGGCCCGTGTAAGCTGAGAGTTTGGCCAGCATCGCCTGTTGTTGCCAAGAGCCAGCCCGTGGAGCTGCAATGGTGAGTATGGGTGATTCCCGTCTGCCCCATAAGCCGGGCATACGAACCCCCGCAATCCTTACATCGTTCCTCCCCAGCTCTACTGGGAGGATTCAGGATCGTCCATACCTCACGATACTTGACTGGATGTGCCCATTCTCGTGGCATCTATGCCAAGTACATCTATTATTATAAGACGAATCAGAATGTCTCACGCGCCGTGGCTTCTAGTGTGCATGGCTTTCGAAGTGAGTGGCTTTCACAGAGACAACAGACACTGGTTGAAAGTTAAATAACTAGCACAACAATGTGAGGCATGCTTGGAACATGGCTTTGATTGCCGTGTCTTGGGTTTAATAACTTTTCTACTTATTTCGTCTGGTCCCCTTGCTCGTCGAGAGTTTTGATTGACTTGGTCCGACTTATCGGGAAATAAACTTCACAGTCGTTTTAAGAGATTACTGTACATTAGATACAAGAAGACACCGCATATCTCCACTTCATGATCTTTGTCTCCTTCAACTCTTTAAATTCTCAGAGACTGTCGTTACCATGATGTTCATAACAAGAATCCTTCAGCTCCTCGCGGTTATCGAGGCGGTCACTGCCCAAGAGAAGATTTATCAAGGCTTCAACTCAGGGGCTTTCTTTTCCTCCAACAAGCCGAAGGTCCGATCCGACTTTGAAAAGGAATTCAGCGTTGCTCGATCCCTACACTTCTCTCCTGGGACTTTCAGCAGTGTACGCCTCTATACAAATGTGCAAACGGGAACGACCAATACGCCAATCGAGGCTTTCCAAGCCGCCATAAACACCAACACATCTATGCTTCTCGGTGTCTGGTGCTCAGGTACAACAACGATCACGAATGAGCTTGCAGCTCTGAAGTCTGCCGTTGACAAATTCGGCACCAAGTTTACGGATCTCGTCATGGGCATCAGTGTCGGAAGTGAGGATATGTACCGTCTTTCCGAAAGTGGCATTGCAAACAAAGCAGGTATTGGAGCAGGGCCAGACACGATCGTCAACTTCATCAGGGAAGTTCGCACGGCAATACAGGGAACTGGTCTTGCTTCAAAGCCAGTCGGTCACGTCGACACTTGGAGCGCATGGGCGAATTCCTCCAACGATGCAGTCATCGCAGAAGTGGACTTTCTCGGCATAGATCTCTACCCATACTATGAGAAGGATCAAGACAACAGGATCGAAAATGCAGAAGCGATCTTTGAAGATCTGTATAACAGGACACTCTCCGCGGCTGGAAACAAGCCAGTCTGGATCACAGAGACCGGATGGCCCACCAGCGGCCCAACATCCGGGAATGCGACTGCCACGCCTGAGAATGCGAAAACGTATTGGTGAGTGCACCTCGAGCCGGATAGTTGTTGAGACCGAACTGCCGATAAACTTTCAGGTAGAGTTATCGGGTTATGCGTACTGACCAGGCACAGGGATATCATCGCTTGCAAATATCTTGGCAGGACCAATGTCTGGTGGTATAATTTGCTCGACACCAACCCTGAAATTACAGAGAAGTATAAAATCCCAATCCTTGGAACGACTGAGCTTGGCTGATATTATCAAGATTTGCTGTCTCCAAGGACGTTACCGCCGAAACTACTTACAATCTGACATGTCCTGCTGGCAGTGGTGCACCCGCATCTGTCAATACGGACTTGAGCAAGGGCGTCTCGTCAGATAAGAAAGATGGTGCTCCTCAGATGGTGGGTTCTATCGGATTTGTTGGTCTCGTCGCGATTTTGTCGGCTGTCATGATGTTATAGACTCCGTTCCTCATATCGGCTGTCGAAGTGAAAAAGGAGTCTTTAGTTTCCCGAGCCTCGAATTTTTTTTAAAAACTGTATGAGTAATTTCTTATTTGATATACTTGATGTGTACAGCCTGAGCTTGGCCCCCATAGCAGCATGACTTCTTTCGATTTCCATATGTATGTACGAGCTGTCAAAAAGAAAATATACCAATGCTACCCGCCTGTCTCTTTCAAGTGTAATGGAGTCACCAGCACCTTGTGGTGTCAATCCATGAGTATCCATGTGGCCTCTGGTCTTCGATCCTGTAGCAGTCCTCGGCGTGTAGTAATGTCTTGCTGAATTTGAAGATCCGACTCGTGGACTGGTCAAGATGTCGCTCTTTGAGATTACGAGGATTCGAGGAGAAAGACAAGACAACAAAATATGACGCTATCATTGGCTTCAAAGCCATCACTACACAACGTTGCGACTCAACTCTGCTGTCAATCTCTGATGGATTTGTGTCGTGGTACTTAGTCAGCACGTCCAAATCTGGCGATGCTGAGTGTTCATGATACCTTAAATCCGCCAAATAGAAATGGCCACCTTCGCTTACTGCTTTCCGCTTATCTTGGCTAATGATTACTATTCAACACAGCACCGCAACCTCATTGTTACTCGGTAGGTATCCCTTTGGTCCAAATACATGACTTATGACTTGCTGTTTCAGAATTGGTAGCCTCGGCGTTATGAAGCTTTACCTGCATCTTGTTGACTATTTCAACTTCATAATCATACCGAGCACTCTTCCTTGATCTTTTATATATAAATGCATCCTATAAACCATGCTTCTAAACATTTCCTCTGCATCACCCATCAATTTCCGAGTTTACCACACAACCAACACTTCCTTTGTTAAATAATCCTCACCATAAACCAAAATGTCTAAACTCGTAGTCATTGTTGGAATCACAGGCAATCAGGTTCATTAAATCCTCTTCTCGATGCATTTGATTCACATGCTGATTTCCCCAGGGAAGTTCTGTGGCATCTGCCTTCTTCCAGGACCCAACCTGGAGAGTTCGCGGAACAAGTCGTGACCCTAGCAAGCCCTCCAGCCTTGCCCTCATCTCTCAGGGAATCGAGGTCGTACCCGGCGATGTTGATGACGTCGAGTCTCTCAAAGCAGCCTTCAAAGGCGCCAATCTTATCTTCGGCAACACCGCATTCTCCAACGCATTCGCCGTTCCCACAGCTTCTGATCTGGAGAAGCTTGCTCCGGGACAGACGCTGAGAGAATGGTGCTATGAGCTTGAGGTGCAGCAGGGGAAGAATATCGTTGATGCTGCGGCGAGTGTGGCCGATGGCTTGGATTTATTTATTTGGTCGACTCTATCACATGCCAGCAAGTGGTCGAAGGAAAAATATACTGGGGTATATCACTTTGATTCGAAAGCGAAGGTCGTTGACTATCTGAATGAGACGTATGCTGCTTTGGGCAAGAAGACATCGTTGTTGCAGATGGGATTGTTCATCACAAACTGGAAGTGGGGTCAAGCTGCGGTACCATGGGAGAAGGTAACTTTCTCTCCTTCAATTCTTTCGACCTTAACTGATAGATTACAGCGTTCTGATGGATCACTCCTCCTTGCTGTGCCCGGCAATGGTGATCTTCCAGTCCCTTTGATTGTTCCTTCCGACGCTGGAAAATTCGTCAAAGCACTCTCGCAAGTTTCACCTGGGAAGAACCTCCTCGCTTTTGGAGAGCTTATGACTTGGTCGGAGTACGTCGCCCTCTGGACTAGGACTACTGGATATCCAGCGACATTCGAGAAAAGTACTGTCGCCGTTCTGGACAAGTTGGCTCCTGGTGGGTATGGAGAGGAGATTGGAGAGATGTACGCTTATATGCAGGACTTTGGATACTGGGGAAAAGATGATGCTTCCGTCATATTTCCTAAAGACGTAAGCTTCCATGTATTTCTTGATGTATGATAATGTTGATGCTCACAGTTTATAGCTTGGTATTGAGGTAGGAGCTACGAGGATCGAGGATTACATCAAGAACGAGGATTGGTCAGAGCTGATCAACAGGCCTGTACCTGGCTCTTAGAAGCAGCATAGCAGCTTATTTCAAGCAAATGTTGTAGGAGTATCAAAATACTGTGCATCTCTTGAGCTTGTCTCACCCGTGAAGTTGTTTATACTCTTGAGCGTAAGCGAGAACGAATAGCGGCAACTGCATGACGCGAGTAAACCAGTCTCAATGATCGAAACCTAATATCCAACAAGTACTTCGATCGGAGGATACTGATCTTGCGATTTGTCTGTTATTGAAGTGCTATAGTGCCATACCTTCACCAAGTAGCCGACTGGGAAATAATGCAAACCACTCAAGGATCAAGATATCCTTTGTCTCTCATCAGCCACCTGAAAACTATAATATCACATCGCACCTAATACTGGAAATTTCTTGGAAATTTGTCAAGATAGCTTTAACTCTCCTTCTCCCATAAATCTGTTTCACATTAGGATATAACTCCCGGGAGATGTAAGGTTATTAAGTGCAGTGGATCTTCGCCTTCTGAGCGAGGCTCGACGGGGTTTTGGTTGCCTGGGATCATCTTAGAGGACATGAAAGTTTGAACGGAAATCGGACTAGAGAACGGAAGAAAGCTGATTCTAGTGGGTCGAATGGTATGAGGACGAAGGTACTTGAGATAATGCGTGAGCCTAATTGCGAAGCAAATCAGAAATGCAGATTGGAACGTGGATATTTCATTCCTTGAAATGGCCGGCCAGTGCCCTTGCCTACCCTTTACGGCGAAAACTATGAAGAACTACAACAATCAAAAGTCACGGCGAGAAAAGCAGACATTGTAGAGCGATGTGATGTATGAGAATGCATGGGTATCATTTTCTGATCCTTCACATGCCATCCTGATCTATCTTACCCTAGCCACCGAATCCACCGCTTATTTCAACCATCTAAAGGAAAGACACTACACAGATCCGTTTTATACACATAAACATTGTTCTCTTCGGCTCCCATATCTCTTCCTCCATGAAATGACCCAAGAACGCCAGCAATGCACGCTAAGATTCAAACACTCTTGTCTCTCGGCTCACTCTCCATGTCCTCTCCAATCAGCTCCCCATTATGTATTCGATCCTTAGATAGCTGTATGGCTGTAGGGCTCATACGCACCATTCCCACCCCTAGCCATCGGCTTAACATTGTGCATGGGGACACCATATTCGGTACTCTGCTGAGGATTGTAGATTCCATGTTGTTGTCCAGCATATCCCTGATTGAAATGCGTATTATCATCCACACGCTGGTAGGCACCTGTAGGAATCAACTTCTCATGATCGTCAACCCCACGACTCTTGCGCTTGCTGCTACCCGAGTGGTCAGCGGCACAGCAGCAGATAGTCAGCATCCAGAACATGCCAGCGCCGACACTGAATGCTGCTGCGAGCCAAGTCGTAGCGAGGTATGAGGTGTTGAGGGAGCCCTTGACGCCGTAGGAGCGTGCGCTGGCTCTGACGGCTGCGATGACGAGAGAGGATTGGACGGTGGCCAGGATGGAGGCGATGACGATGGTTGCGGTTGAGAGGCCGGAGATGATGAATGTGAGACAGGAGCCGGCACGCGAGCAGAAGCCGAAGAGGCCTAGGAAAAGCTCGGCGACACAAGTGAAGAAGGCGAGGATGTAAACGACCTCAGTCCATTTTGAGAAGACTTTGAAGGTCTTGAGGGCGGTCTTGAGCTCCGAAGGGAGACTGACGGTTGTTCCTGTCAGAGCAGTGGCTGTGGCTTCGATGGTGCTGGTGTTGAGTTTGGAGGAAGCCCAGTCGAATTCAGCTTTGGTGCAATTTGTTTTGCTCCCTGTAGTTGCGCAGTAGTTCCACAGAGAGACCTTGTACGAGTCTGCGAGACCGAGATCTGCTGCGGTGATGTTGTCACCAGCGTTTGGGGACAGTCCAGCGACCGTCAAGGCGGAGAGGGAGTCGCCTGGAATGGGGGCTCGTTTCGCAATGTCAACGAGGTTTGCGAGAGAGGATGAGGATATCGAGAGGTTGGCTGTCTTGATCTCGAACATGTCGAGAGACTTGTTTGTAACACCAGCCAACATCACGATGAGGATACAGACCAGACTGGCCAAGCTCAGCCCGAAAGGGACAGCGACGCAAACGAACCTTCCTGCGCCCATTGTGTTGTTGTTATTGTGTATGTGATCGATTGAAGAGGCCCTAACGAGTGTGTTGAGATGGTATGGATATCGGTCGAGATGGTGGAGATGGATGATGTGGTGTTGTTGACGGGAGATGGAATGAGAGGTATGAAAGCTTTTCAGGGTCGGCGAGTTTCAGTGTTTATGAAGGAGTAAGGTTCTCTGTTGGGAAGGGAAGGGATCCGTGTTGTGGCGGAGTACGGAGTAAGCAAAAGTCGTTCAGTAGTAGTGTCGCCAAAGAGAGGCAGGGCAGGGCAGGGCAGGGCAGGGCAGGGCAGGCAGTCTTGACTCTTGTCCCGTCCAGGGGTCCGCTGTCCGCTCGCTCTCCTACGGTGGCTGATGATGTTGACCAGCAAAATTAGAATGGAATGGAATGTTATTTGGGCAAACTCCGGGGAAACAATACGAATGCTCTGAATCAATAGATAAACCTGTGATTCGGATTTGTGATGGATCTGAAATTGAATCTTTTTGCGGAACTTTTGTCATTGTTATTCTTCTTCAACCAGATGTCCTCGAATTTGCCGATTCAACCCTTCCTTCACACGAATGGCACCAAAGGGGCACACCACACCAAACCTCGTCACCCTGCATCCTACCCCTCGCCTATCGCCCCAAATGCAGTTAGCATTCTTCGCGGTCGTGCCTGACAACGACCTTAATTCTATTTTTATCCTTCCGCTGCCCGTATCCACCCCTCTCCGCCACAGTCCCATATTTCTCTTTATCCGCAGCACCTGAGTGGCCAGCCCTGCATCTTATCGGGGGGACTGAGCTGGACATGGTTGAATCCGCGTCATCAAAGGAACCACCAGGCTTGTGGATCTTCTCGTTCGTCGGTACTGCTGAATTCAAACTCGATTTCTTGTGTGTTTAGTAACATTGAGTAGGTAAAGGTTAGGACGACACGGGGCTGAGGACAGAGAGATACGCATGAGGGAGACGCAAGGCGGCACCAACGACGTGTTTCAGGATCCTTGATCGTCGAACCCACGAGTCTCTTGGTTCGCTTGCAAGTGCTTGGGATGCAGGGGTGGAGATTTTGATAGACACATATGAAAGAAAGGGGCATGTTACTCTTCAGCTACTGGGCACTGATGATGTGTATTTTGTTTGGTTTAGCGATGGATGGTGGGTGAGAGGATTGACGAAGAGTAGGAAGACGTCATAGTTGTAAAGTTACAGCTATCTTCCTTGGAGAGATGGAGTCCTTTTTGAGCAGTAAGGAAGCTTGATTATGGAAAGGTTCAACACTTGAAAGTAGTTAATGCTTACAGCTTTTCTGATGGTATGGTCTTTCTACTTCACCCATTATTGATTTGGTCTCGCAGCGCCTTTACCGAAGCAGAAGTGGTGTTAGCATTTTGGTGTCTTCAAGTATCTCTTTTCTTTTCTGTGCATGGAAAAACCCCATGCCCAGAATTAAGGGACATTACGTTTCCTGGATTCGGAAAAGTGACTTCATCATGGACATTTCAGATTCCACAGCTATTTCGGAGTTTTAGCTTCCCCCGTCTCGCTCACCGATCTTCTCGCCTCTGCGCACAACCACTACACTCCACAAATGCTACCTAGCTACCTTGTATGCTTTATGCTTTGTTTCCCATTTAGTCAATCCTTTTTGAACGTCCTTCTTCCAAGTTTCCAACATCTACCGGCTCCCTTTCTATTCTCAATTCTTCACCCTTCTCTCCCACCTCACTCTGGCACCAGGCATAGGTCTAGAGAACAGACTCGAATAATCTGTCCTCGGAACCTCATCAACACTCCACCTAAACTCCCTCACCAGCGTACCAACAATAGTACAAAGATTGACATACGCAAACTTCTCCCCAATACACCTATGTCTGCCTGCACCGAATGGAAGGTAAGGACTCTTAGTTCCCTTGTTTACGGTGCCACAACCGTAGTCGACGGTCTCATCTGCGTTCACATCTCTCACTGCGCCTTGCTTTCCAGCTGTTTTATCTTCGGCATCGGTATTGGGGTTGAAATCCAGGTCGGCGACGATTGTATCCCAACGATGCGGATCCCATACCCCCGGCCTCTCGAAATACTCTTCGGACATATGCGACACAATCGGCGACGCAACGAGGACTTTATCCTTAGTAACAACGTAGTCCGTCCCTGGAACCGGGAGATCATTCTTAACCTTCCGCATCAATGAATGAATCGAAGAATGACACCTCAGCGTCTCCTTGACTACATTCCCTAGCAGTGGTAATCTCTCTAAATCCTCATATCTCAACCCACGCCCCATATCAAGATTCGCCTGCTGCTCAGCGTAAAGCTCCTCCGCGATGTCAGGACGGCTAGCGAGGCGGAGCATGATCCAGGATGAGGAGCTGGACGACGAGTGTTGCCCGGCCATGAGAAGTGTAATCATGAGATGCGCAATCTCGATATCTGGGATCGGGGCTCCAGATTTATACGTGCATCCCATGAGATTATCAATCATATCTTCCTCGCTTTTTCCCTCTAGCCCTCTTCCCACTATCTCACTCTTCACACCCCCAACTCTAACACTGCGAGCCTGTCGTCGTCGCGAAATGATATCCATATACACGCCCGTCATTGTCCTATGCGCGCGATCCCTTTTCCAGTTCCTCGGTAACGGTGCCCATGGCATTAAGAAATTGATAGGTCGAAATCCCCGATCGAGGTCATCATACAGAACGGCAAACTCATTCGTGAGTTTACTTCGAACTTCTGCACCTTGTAATGCCCTCCCAGCTGTGAAAATTGTAATCTCTGCCATAGCGTGCGTAATGTCGACGGAGCCTTGAGCACCGTGGAATGGAGTGTTTGGAGTGGAAGCCGGGCTTATGTAGGAGAGGACTTCGTGCTCGATGAGTGGGACGTGTTGTTCGAGGGCGCGTTGGGTGAGTCCAAATTTGACGAATTTCTTTTGTTCCATTAGTTTGCTGTTGGGGCAGTCGTAGATGATGTTGCGGCCGAAGACGGGGGTTGCTGGGAGCAATTGATTGTCAGTATACACTCTATTAAATATTTAAAGTTTGAGGAGATACAGTTCAGAGATATAAGGGTTTGAAAGTACTCACTGAGAGGGCCATATATTTCCTCTGCATTAACATCTTGCAGCCGTCCATTAAGGATGAATTCATTGCCAGCGGTACCCAGATAGACGGTCATTTTCTTGCCGAAGAGGACGTATGTGAAGATTTGGCCATGGAGACGCGCGGAGCTGGTGTAGAAGTTCAGGGGGTCGGTGCCATCTGCAGGGTGGAAATCTTAGTTGCGGATTGACGAGGGAAACCTAGGAATACTGATTGAATGTCGATGATACTTTCGTGACATTGGAACGCTAGCTGAGCATTGATGGAAAGAACCATTTTCTGAGCCTCTGAAAATGTAGTGTGATGACGAGGCGGAGAGAAGGAAGAAGGTGAGAACTTACATTCAATGGCATTTCCAATGAACGGGATCCAATGCCAGACCATAGGAGGTTCGGACTTCTTGGGAAGGAGTTGATGGAGGGCATTGAGGACGATAGAAATCACCAAGAGGGCAAACGCGTACAGTCCATATTGGATAATGGAGTAGAAGTCCAGCATATTGAATGCTGTGAATGTTGCCAGTGAAAGACAGAGGCTATCAACGCAGACCGGATCCTTAAAAGTCAAACGAGATATGTTGATGATGACAGAAGATTGAAAGAAGGAAGAGGACAATATGACGTGAGGAATATATAACCAAACCGCATGGAAGCCTAGCTTCGAGCATTACCTTCCCTGCCCTACTCCTGTCTCTCACTCGCCGTGTTCGTCTTTCCCTGACCACATTCTGCCCATCAAAAAAACCAATCAGACCACACACTCCAACCAGTCACAGCCTCAATTAACACGATCTCACTCGGGGAGCATTCCTAAAACAGCTCATCCACATATGAACATGGCATTTCAGTAGTAAATTTTTACCAAAAAGATACAAATGCCGTCTATGCAAGCAAGCGACTGGCACAGTGCTCCCCTTTTCTTGTTCTCGCTAAGCGTATTCGGGTTGAGATGTGCCCAACTGTTTGCCAAGGAGGACCATGTGATTCGTATTCGGGTTGGGGAAGAATAAGTAAGACGCCGGTCACTTGGGGGAATGGAAACTGGTACTGAATAGCTGCAGCTGCAGACATACTTCACATGGAGAAGAGGCGGCGTTTTAAAATAATCTCCGCATGGTTGACGAATAAGAGAGCTGGTTGCGTTAAGAGATGAAGTTAAGTGATGGGACATTGGCTGTAGACACATGAAAACAGCACACGTAAGGAGTAACTTGGTAGGACATAGACGATGGAGATGTACAAGATGCATTGCAAGCACAATTGTGTGGGCATACCGCTCAAGCATCATGTGTATGCTCACAGCCATTCGTATGACAAGTTGAAATAATAACATTCCTCACTCGAGGTGATCAAGGGCATGTGTAAAGAGTATAGAGTATAGACCGCCAATCAACAGTACCATCAAATCAGTGAATTCATCATGCTACCTCCTCGGTATCCCATTGAGCTACCTGCCAGCCCTTCAACCAGCACCTCTTAGCTGAACGCTAGCAATACAAATACAGATATCACATATGCCCCTCCTCTCCTCATCACATTCATTCGCAAATCGATATCGTCTGTCAACGCATGCTGCTCAATCACTCATGACATGTCAATACTCCCAAGAAAGGAAGGGCTAGGCCCATGTCGTGGCCAATTTCAGAAAAACGCCAGTATCGCCCAGACCCAAACCGATGTATCGCGCACAAAAAGGAGGAAGGGGAAATTTCACCCGGACGTCATTGCTCCTTAGCCGACCTGAGCATGGTCAGAGGCGTCCAAACGGCGCAGTTCCCTCAGTATTTCGATATTTTTTCTTGTTGCTCAAGAGTCGCTTTACTCTTTCTCCGACGATTTCTCGCTCGACCGTCGCGCCAAAATTGTCAAACACGGCATTCTCAGCAGTGACTATACGCGGTAGATCATTCGATATGATGAAAGCGAGTTTGAGGAGCCTCCATACTAGATCTGCATCGTCCTCATGCACCCACGAACTAAACACTTTGGGGGAGGAATCCGGATGGTGGAGGACTGTTGAGCATGCTGTTGCGCTTATTTCGGCTCTTCTTCATCTGGCTCTTCAGCGCGCTCGAATCCAATGGCTTCAGAAGCTCGAAGCTGCACAGTAGTTCTGTAGAAACACTCATTACAGCTCCGTAATTGTCGAACTCTCCACAGTAGTTTGGTGCGGAGAACACAGTGACCAGGATTCGGTCCTCGAAAAATTCATATCCATCCTCTACAACCATGTGTGCTCGGCATACTAGGTCGAAATCGTGCCTTGTGAGGAAATCGACAATGACTTTCTTTCCGAACGAGTAGCTCACGCCTCTCTCACTGCTTTCCCAGTCCTTTTCTTGGTCCGCTGGATCTGACCATAGTAGATCGTTGAGTAGTCCAAAGTCTGGTACGTCTGTCGGACGGGCAATATTTCTGATATCGTCCATGTGGCTCAGAGCTGGAGAGAGTCCCCCATGTACACAGAAAATCTTCCCGGCAACAATCGCCGCGATAGGGAGCTATAGCATGTTAGTAAGTTTGATACAATTGCAACTTTGGGAACGTACACAGTTGAAAGTGTCCACAAACGTCTTCCAGATCTTCACGTTGCACCTCCTCTTGCATTCGTCGTAGAAACCGTATACTCTAGTGACATTTGCGCACTCGTGGTTGCCTCTCAACAGAAAGAAATTCTCGGGATACTTGATCTTGTAGCACATGAGCAACAGAATCGTCTCCAGGGAATGCTTTCCTCGATCAACATAATCGCCAAGGAACAGGAAATTCGAGCTTGGCGGGAATCCGCACATCTCAAACATGCGAATCAAATCCGAGTATTGTCCATGAATGTCGCCCACAATCTTGACGGGAGCTTCCAACTCGATGAGCGGCGGCTGGGCCAGGAAGATCTCACGGACTCGAGAGCAGATAGAACTGATCTCGGCGTTCCTCAATACAACTCCTTTGGTGCTTTTACCGGCATACCCAGCATCCAGAAGGCGCTTGATATAATCATCTACATCAGAATCTTTCATGTCTCCCATCACCATTACCCCTCCAGCGCTTGCATCCTCTCCTGCTTGAGCTGTGCTGACAGCCTCTGGCTCAATCGGATTGATTTCCCCTTCTCTCTTCACTAGAATCGACGCACCTGCGCGTTGCAGATGTGCGTGTGGGTTTGTTTGTCCAGATGGAGGCTGGTCGGAGACATTATCGACCTCACCGCTTCGTTGAGCAGCGTCAACATCGTGGTGCCCTGCTCGCATGGAGGCAGATTGGATGGGAGATGGTGGTGGCTTTGGGTCATCGAGCGGCGATGGGATATCTTCGGAATCTGCAGTAGGTGATGATGGCGATGTTGGATCCGAGTCAAGACTCGTTCCCTTCAACGCTGATCGCGAGCTCTTCCCAGACTTGACGGATGCCCCATCTGATCTATCAACTAGTGTTTCTCCATTGCTCAGGTTTGATGTAGAATTGCGTGGACTATCTGTCTTGCTGCCTGGGATCTTGGATCTCAAGCCCCTGAAGGATCTGGTGGATTCCTTGGTATCTGCTTTGCTGAACGAGGGGTATGATGAAAGATTATCTGCTCCTCTATCCAATGATGTTGTGGATTGGTTGCCTTTTGGCGTACTGGCCCCAGAGCCTTTGGAATTTTGGTTTCCCATTTCCCTTGTGCCCTCGTAAATTCCCGGATGAAGGGTATAAAGATAGCTTCAACCTCTGCAGGTTCACATATGCTTCCCCTTTATAAGTCTGGTTAAACCTGGCGTTTGTGTCCCCCAAGTTGGGTTCGGAGATGGACTTATGGACGGGGAGGTAAGCCCTCGGAGATAGGGATCTGAGTTAGACTGTAGGTCGCAAGCTCTGCTTATCTTTCGTAGCGGTTCCGGTATGTAGACTCGTTGATAACGACTGGCGGATTTGGTTCAAGTGCAAACAGACTTTGTAGTATCGACCTTGTTGACGCTGTCGATTCCGTCGCTCGGCTCGGCAGGAAATGGATATATATCTGACTGAGTCACAACTTTGGTCAGCACGGGACATACGACAGTGAATCTGGCTATGTAGCGCAGAAGTTGAAGATTCAAAGAGCAAGCCCAGAAGCGCAAGAAAGTGTCTGAGGCTGAAGCAGTTCTCGCCGAGCAGACCAAGAATGGCGAATGCCCATGCGGGCGAGGTCAGGTGTAGAGTATCGGGTCAACGAACCTTTTGTGGACGGAGAAATCGATCAATCACGGAGAGTGTTCGATAGCTTGAGCTCCGTCTGCCAATCGCACAACTTGTGAGGGTATCGTCGGTGAGCCTTTGGGGGAATGGAGGGAGCGGGTGTTCTCGTGCGGAGTTGAGTGAGGCTGTAATCGACTGCACCAGTCTAGAAGCAATACAATTGTGGGGATTGTTGTCAGATAGGTGCCTTATTGTACAGGACAAAAGGCTGAACTGGATCCTGGGTCCGAGTGGTGGAACCGTAGTCGGGCGTCAATTGTGGGGAATGTTATCGTATTCGTGGTGGCTGCTGTCGTCGTTCGTCGCCGTCTCGAATTGTTGATGCAATCGAGGGGAGTCCGCAGTCCTGACGATTCTTGAGGGATCAACCTGGGAATAGATGTGGTTTTTGGCCAGGGGTATCGCGATCGGCGAGTCGAGGCTGAAGTCGAGTGGCGATGCCAGGTAGTTTGTGTTGTGGTTTGTTAGGAGGGCTGCTGGTGCTGCGATCGATGGTTCGTCGCCTGCCCTCTCAGCCAAGCTATCAAATTACATAAGCATTCTCGCTCGAATTGTCGCGGGAAGACCTAAGCTTAGAAGGACTTGACGACCAAATGTAAAACTTCTCGATTTGAATGATACGATGAATTGCCAGACTATTCAAATTATGTACTCATTATCTTAGGAGCAATTTCAAAGATTTCAAGTGGCGATAAAGTATTGAGATAAGTTTGGATCCCGTGTCAGCCCCAAGGCAATGCATCATTCAGAAGGTCAAGTCACAGCGAGTGGAACAGCAAGATTGGTTCTTACTGTCCATTTCCCTGAAAAGGCTGAAAAAAGCTCTAGTTACAAGTGTGTGTGTGTCCCATCCACCGTCAGCAATTCATCTCGAAAGAATAAAGGCAGGTCGTGGAGTTCTGTCCGGCCTTGTATCAACAACCAGAAGCAATGCCACCCATCCGCGGATAGAAGAAGGAAAGAGGAACTAATAATATTGGTAATGTGTCACAGGCGCATCGGCCCACCCACTACTCAGGACCAGACATCGGAAAGCGATGTTAGGCTTGACGTGGTGGGGGAGTGAAGACCTCTCTTGAGACGGCAGTCTGTGCCATCAAAATAAAACGCATTTGCAGAAACCAGATGTTTTTTCTTTCAAGGAAGGGGGCAAGGTACAAATTTGCACCAGGTGTCTAAGGTCCACCAGAAATCCTCTCAGGAGGGAGATGGATGTCAGGAAGGAAAACAGCCTGGGCAGGTGAAGAAGCGAATGAGCAGATATGTGCGAACACAATATGGTCTGCTCATGAAGTATTGAAGTGAAGTAATCCATTTGCATGCCGCAGAAACAAGAAGAAAACCACCGTTAAGGAAGAATGAAATGTGTTGGTCCAAGGAAATTTGTTCAGAATAAAGGTCTATGTCATCCGCGCCACCTAGGTACAGGTACAAATCGAGCTTGCGCAATCACTCGTATTGTACCCTGCGCTGAGGAATTTGTCGTTTCGAGTCATGCCGAGATCTTTGTGTGATCGAGGAAGCTGGTGTTGTACAAGTGACAGCTGGAAACGGATCAAACGCCGGCATGATGCATGTGATGATGTTGATAGTTGGAATGCTAGTGTAACAACAAAGGGCCGTGAAATTCGTAGTGGAAAACAGTCGAGGACTTGGCAGAATATCCAATGATGGCCAAAGGCATAATGAATAGTTGCATGGATCCAACGACTCGAAAAGATCATTCCTCGTACCGTTACAAGCGTAAGGATCATATCGTCGTTACGGGATATTGAAGTTACAGCCAGTTGCCATTTCCTGTCTGGCCAGCACCCCCTCTACCATAAGCGTATGGGAATGGTTGTTGCTGGGCCTGACCAGAAACGAGTTGCTCGCTGGAAGGAAAAGAGCCGCCTGGTTGGGGAGCAGGGCGGGTTGATCCAACGCCGTTGGCAGCGATAGCAGCTGGGACATAGCCATTCGAGTAGCCTCCAGCAGGAGCAATGTAACCAGCAGCAGAAGCATTGGAAGTAGCACGCTGATGGCGAAGAGGAGTGTGAACTGGCTCGACCTCGACTGGTGTAGCCTGGCCGCTCGAAGAGCCGCTACGACCCTCGTTACCCTGAATTTTAGCTTGGATTCTGCGACCATATGGGGTGGTGCGGATGGCTGGGAGATATGGACGAATGGCCTCAATGAGACGAGCTTTCATTGGGGGATTGGCATAGTCAAGAGCGGTCTGAATGACGTAGTTGGCGAATGAATCTCGGAGGAGCTTATCCAGCTCGGCGGGCTGCAGCATCTCTTCGATCAACATATCCTTTGAGGGCTCTTGGGCGCAGCGAAGACACTTCTCGATGACGTTGGAGCTGAACTTTTGCTTGGACAACTGGGGAACTCGACCGGCGAACATGCCGACCAGAGGCTCGGTGAAGACCGGCTCGTTGAGATCAAGAATATATTGAACAACGTAGTTTCCGAACGGATCCTGAACCAGAACATAGGCATTGTCAGAGATCTGGCGAATCAGCCAAGCCTTCTGCTCACCAGAAGCATGGTCAATGCAGCGTTGAAGAACGCAGCAGCCATGACGGTGAGTTCCCACATCGACGCAGTGAGTTCCAACGGCATCGAAAATGAATTGGGCATCAGTAGAGGAGAGCTTGTTCAGGCACTTCTGAATGACGTGATTGCCGTTCAAGTCTTGAATGAGTTCCACCACACGGTATCGAAGGGCTCTGATGATGGTCTGGACCTGGCCTGGTGTGGAGATGAACTCAATCATCTTTTGAAGAGCTCGAGTTCCATGCTGGTTCAGAGCAATGCGAACTAGCTCGCTGGCAGCATTCTCAATGAGGACTGTGCGCTCCTCATCATTGCAGTACTCGAGAAGCTTCTGGCAGAGGTAGTTTCCAAATGGGTCGGTCATCAACTCGATAACATGTTGGTTGGTCTCAAGCCAGATCATATGGACCTGATCCGGGTTGCGATCCTCGAGCTTCTTCTGAAGGTATCGGCAGCCATGTTGATCCTTGCATAGAGCGTAGATCTCTCCTCCAAGCTGTTCGAGAGACATGTTGGCAAATCGATTCATAGCTACGTAGCGTTAGCAAAGTTCCGAGAGATGTTGATAAGATCTGATGTGAGATGGAAATATATGTCCCAGAACCATATGAAAAATGGAAAGTAATGTGCCCAAACACCGAGGTGAGAAATTTTCAGGTGAAAAATCCAGAACACGACATAGCCTCGTGAAAGTTGTCCTAAAAATGAACAGCCATAATAGAGGTCCAAATTCGCAAAGCTCTCAAAATATCTTGCGACCGTTGAATTGGAATAGAGGCTACGTCAAAGTTGACTTGAAGGGAGAATCAGGAAGCATATCAGAAACATGGAAACGTACCTTCACCATCATTTTGTCGGCGCTGCTGAATGACACGAGCTTGGCTGTCTCGAGGACCGGCTTGAGTATAGATCTGCGGAGTGTATTGAGGAGGAGCGTAAGGGTTGTGAGCAGAGTAGAGTGGCTGGCCAACGTTCATGTTCTGCATACCCATCACCATTTGCTGCATGCCGTAGTTGTTGTAGTAGCCACCAACCGGGTATGCTTGCTGAGCGCTGGGAGAGGCCATGGCGGGTTGCAACGGGGTTTGGGCAGCACTTTGGGAGAGCGTGGGGCCAAACGGAGGAGCGCTGGCGTGGAGTGCAGATTGAATCGATTGGTAGCCACCGTTCTGAGCCTCACGAAGGGTATTGCTCTCAGCAGATGTCATCTCACGACTGAGTCTGTTGTTCATAGCACTCGGTGGAATACGCCCTAAGCTGGCGTTGTGGTTGTGGAGGTGTTGTTGAGCGTGGGAGTTTGGGGTGGTATTGGCCGAAGGAATTCCGTTTGTTGTCGATCTCATAGTGGGTACATCGTTAGCCGAGTAGGAAGACTGCAGCTTAGGCGGAGTGGCTTGATGCTTTGGAGAGGAAAGCTGAGCAGGCTCTTGAGCACCACCGTCATAGTAAGATTTGAGGTCCAGGGAGTGTCTGTATGAAGGACGACCACTTAGAGGTGATTCAGGACCGTTGGTGATGGACGACGAGGATCCATTGGCTTGAGAGAGACCCTGACCTTGGGAATTGTTGGATGGGAGGCTCTGTTGCGATTGGGAAGAGCGGTGTCTCGAAATTGCGCCCCAACCATTGGTATCAGGTCCAGGAGATTGTGAGAGAGCTAAGTCAAGAGCAGCGGAGGAAGCGGAAAGCTGCATATCTTGTTAGCAAACAAATTGCAGAAGGAACGTGATGAACTTACCACGCCGGGATATTCATCTCGACGGACCAGAATTGGAAACTTGTTCTCAGCGCCGTTCATGTCCAGGTATTGGTTGATGTCAGGAGATTGACCGCTCTCGTCCTCACCAAACAGGAAGCGGGCCGTGTTGGTTTGATCGAGAGAAAGCATCTCTTGCATGCCGTTTCGAGACTTGGTGACTGGCATGGAATATCTGTTGAGGCTTTTGGGTCGTTAGTGACAAGTAGCTTTACAGAGCTAAAGGTGATATGAGATTGCAAGTGTAGTTGGATATTGCTCAAGGCAAATAGATGCAGCTGTTGTACAGGCTCAGTTGCAATAATGCAAGCTTTTGCAAGATAACAAAATGGTTAGGGTGAAACGTTGTTGTGGAACTGGAGGAGATGGAGGGGGGAAGGAGGAGGGAAGTGTCAAAATTGAGTTGTTGATATAGAAAAATTAGGCTCTCGCTAAGCACAGTCGACAGACAATTCTAAACAAGAAGGAAGATAAATCAGGCAGCCTCATAATTCAACTACCAACAAAGGAGTTGGTGAATCAGAGTTCCCAGATTGATCAATGGCTCTTTCAACTTGGTTTTGAAAGTCGTCGATTTCACTTTGAGTCAAGCTCGAGAAGTGATTACTTCGAACGAGAGGACAGTTGCCCGGAAAGCCTACCGACTGTAAAGTCCTTTGCTTCATGAGAACGCACTGGAGCTCGCTAATAATTACAATGCACTCTAGACGAGGCTCGCAACTTCACTCTCCTCGACTCGAAGATACACATCAAACTCCCGATACTAAGAAGGGAAAACTTACGCATTGGTTGATCTGTGGCTTGTTGGATCTTGTCGAACAGCCTCTTCCTTCTCATCCTCATCACTATTGCGTCGAGATCCAGGAACTGACTTGGAGGGGAGCTTGTCGTCCATCATGAGTCTTGACTGTATGATGCCGCCTTGAGGAGATGTGAGTTGAGAGCCAGAACGACCTGGTCTGTTGTAGATTCCTGGAGGAGATTGGAGACTTGACGTCGAGTATCGGTTTGGTCGAGAGAAAACAGTTGGAAATCCCGAGTTTGATTCGCGGTACTCGGGTGGAGTTGTTGGTTCAGACTGGTGGCCTGCGTTCGGATTATTTCCACGCCCCAGGTCTTCTTGCATCTGGGCAAGTTCTTGTTCTTCACGTCGTTGCTGTAAGTCCAGCAATTGCATTTCAGCCTCAAATCGGCGTTTCTGCTCGCGCAGTCTTTCGTATTCGAGTTTCTTTTTCTCTAACTATGTGGTGTGTAAGCCAAAATTTGAGTGTTGGGTTTTCCTGCAACAGTTGACAGAATAAGGCAATGGACTGGAGGGAGAGAAGACACGAGGAGGTTGTCTCTTCGGGGACTATGTATCTCGAGGTTTCTAGGTGGAAAGAAGAGTCGATTTGCTTACGAGTTGAACTTTATGGTAAGTCTGTCCAATACAAATTAGCTGAGGCTCTTGATCATGCTATTGTGTCCAACAAGCTATTGTCCTTTCTGGCTTTTGTGCGAATGAATTTAAGATTTCAATTCAAAGGAACACAATTTGGCGTTGGGCACAATAGGAAGAGAACAATTGTCGCTGGGTGAAAGCTTACAGATGGCCCATAATCTTGTGAATCTTGTCCACCCCGCTGGGTGGTAATTGAAGCAATTGTTGGTACACGGCCGGAGTCTGTTGTAAACCTCCGCATCAATCCTCCTCTCCCGTCCTGGGTGTGCAGTGGCTGCGGCAGTCTGGTGCCATTGCCATTTCGCGGAGGAGACACGAGCCCAAGGAGGGACGAATCGTTCCGCGCCGACTGTTGGCTACGGTAACGCAGTTCGTCCATTCGATCGCTGGCACTGTTGGAATAAGCCATATTGGCGAGATATAACACTATTCACAGTCAAAATCTATTCGAGGCTCGAAGAACAAAAGACGCGCTCTGCGAGAAGCCTTTCAAGGTGGGGGGTTTCCGCTGTTCTCGCGGTGAGCGATCCAAGTGGATCTCGGCCGCCTGCCTGCCAACTGCAGCAGCAGCAGCAGCAGCACCGTTTGTCGCAGCAGCAAAGGAAGAGCGAGGAAGGGACAATTTGGGGGGAATTACCGAAATAATATGCAGAAGGGAGCGTGTGCGTGCGTCCTCCAAGGACGCAGGCGCTGAAAGCGAGATAGAATGCAGCAATCGGTACCTTAGGGTTGAAGTTGGAGCGGACAATTCTCGAGCAGAGCACGAAGGACGTCCAACTCCCTGCACCCGCTAGTAGTAGCTTAGCGGGTCGAGTTGGGTTGCACTTGCAGGTGGGTTGGTGGGTTGGAGAGGAGGGTTGGCTGTTGGCTGTTGGCTGTTGGCTGTTGGCTGTTGCTGTTGGCTGAAAGGAGTGGCAGGGACCCTCGCCTGTCCTGTTCCTGATCAGTACAGTGCAGTGCAGAGCAGAGCAGTGCAGTGCAGTTTCTCGTGAGTTTGTCCCTCTTAGGGCAGAGCCGAGTCCTACATTGACCGGACAACCGAGACTACCTAGGTAGGTATGGATCAAGCGAGCATGTCTAGAAGTACCTAGGTAGGTACAGTTTCTTATTTTACAGCAGTGGTAGAGGGAGCGGTGGGCGTGGGCGTGGGCGGAGGCGGAGGCGGAGGTAGAGGGAGGCGAGTGATGGGCGGTGGGATCCTTCCTGGAGAAACAAAGGAGGGCAGGCAGGCAGGCAGGCAGGCAGGCAGGCAGGCAGGCAGGGCAGGAAGGAAAGAAAGAGTCGAAGCGAAGCGAAGCGAGACCAGAGGGGAAGAGGCGGGAAGAGGCGAGCGAGGGCGAGGGCGAGGGCGAGGGCGAGGGCGAGGTGAGGCAGAAGAAGAGGAAGAAAAGGAGGGAGAGGCAGGTTACCTACCTACAAGCCAGGCTGTATGTTTATGTAAATGAGTGCGAGTGTCAGTGTGATATGCTGTCTGTCACTTCATCTTCCGTAAGTTACAGCATGCATGCAATGCAGCCAGGGCAGCACCACGGAACAGGGACTGCAGTTCGGGGAAGACAGCACGTAGCATCCTCCAGTTCGTCAGCGTCCACCAAGGGTCCCAGTCACTGTGGCCCCTCTGCCTCCTCTCCTCTCCTCTCCTCTCCTCTCCGTCTAGATAGGACGAAGGGGCCAATATCAATTTACCCGGCTACCGCGCTGCACACAAAACTGCATTTCACAACGGCCTCGCTCGTCCTCTCCCCACTCCGAAGCAGGGCTTCTTTGCAGCAGAGTCCATGTCCATACCGTATGTTCTGGCGGCTGGAGGTTCATGTTCGGCGCCCTAAAAGACCCTGAACTGGCGACGGCGGGAGCTGCACCTCGGCAGCCCGAGACCCTATTGGCTGTCTCTCACCGTTTCTTCCCCATACAAAACATGAGGCGACTCAGGCGCGGCATTGGCCAGCAGCGCAGAGTTGGTCCGCTACTGTAGTTGGATATGGAGAAAACGAACTCCTCACTCTACCTACGTTGCAACAGAGCCCGGGGCAACAACAGAACGCCCGTGTTCGAGTCTCTTGCCGGAGGAATATTTTTTGTTTAGCTAGCTGAACCTTGGCGTTCCCAGCCCTCCCCTTCATTGACGTGACGGCAACTGTATCAAGAGTAATGGTCCGGTTTGTTGCGTCGAGTTCTCAACTAGGTATATCGTACGGCGGATGCATAGTATCCCGATTTTCTGCGGCTATGAGATGTGGTGATCCTGGTGGCAAGGAACAAAAGAGGCGAAGCCCGTCAGCATCGGACAATTTGGGCAGGATCCCCAGAGTTAGAGGTCTCCTTTACGTTCTAGACGCACCTGATCCATTGTGACAGACCAGGGGTTGCTTGGTAGAAGAGGCATCGAACTCTGTGTCTCGTCATTTTATGTGTTAATGTTCGTGCCGGAGATCAATCGGGTTCACAAAATGGGAACATGTTAGTGACTCTTTCTATTAAGAGAACCTAAATCTATTATAGTGCCAGAGTAAGTTTGGTAGCCCAATGAGAAATTGTTGTACACTCAGTCTAGCCTAGCCGCCTTGAGAAAATATAGCCAAGTAGGTAGACGAGAACCGCTCTCATAATGCAGTGAAAGCTAAACAACGTTTAACAAGAACATCTCGAGGCCATTGACTTTCCATCATCTCAACTTACTGTACAGTTGAAACCCTAATTTCTGAGCACCTACTGATCCCAAGCCCACGGTACCCGAGAATTGGATGAATATGCCGGCTCTTGCGTTCTGCTCAGGGCTTCACATCCCAAGACGTTTCGTTATGCGCCACTAGAGAGGCTCGCAGCGGCCGCAACACAACCCAACAAGTGATGAAGCGCCGCCTCGCAGACCTATCTGCGAATCAGAAGACTCGATGACCGGTTTCTGTTGGGGGCTGGAAAGCTCCGGCTTCAATCGTAATCGCACTTGAAAACATCGTCGTAAACAGCGGTGAGAGTTCCGCTAAGAGTTACCTCGCCCCGCCCCGCCCCCTGAAAACGAATCCGCTTGATAACTAGCCGAGGCGATTCCCTTTCAGTGCCAATGGCCTTATCGCCACGTGAGCTCAAAGGTAGGTAGTTGATCCGCGCCGTGCCAAGCCAGAGCTCCGGTCCGAGATTAGAGCTTTGGTGGGGGACGATTCGTCGCATCGCATCGCAACTTTTTTATCAGCCCTGTCCATCAGTTGTTGCTAATGAGCCTCAACCCCTCACAACCCAACAGCTATGCCGCCAAAGAAAACAAAAGCGGCGGCTGGGCCAGTTGCAGCTTCATCTGCAAGAGGAGCTTCTTCAAAGAAGGTGAGAATCTTAACTTGGAAGCACGACGTGGAACCTAATTCGAGTCACAGGGCACTGCTGACCCTCCCCCTCCTTCCGATGCGCAAGAAGAAACAAGCACAGCTCCTGTGAAGCGCAAAAGGGCAAGTGCAAAGGCGAAAGCTGAGGAAAAACCTAGACTCAGAGGACCAGACGATGTAAATAAGACAATGGCAAATAACTTGGACTTCTTGTTGATAACTTCCAGGGCTTTGCTGCTTTGCTTGAGCCATTCTATGCGAACAAGAAGTTGACAGATCCCATAAATACAGCCAAGGTACTATGATTGACCACGATACTTTATGCCTTATCTAATTTTTACAGGACAAATGGAACCTTCTGCCAGCTTTTTTGAAAGTCAAGGGCTTGGTCAAACAACATATCGACTCCTTTAACTTCTTTATCGAGCACGAAATTAAGGACATTGTCAAGGCAAATAAGAGAATTACCAGCGATGTTGACCAGCACTTCTTCCTTGAGTGGGCTCTTCTATGATAATCCATAGGGTCTTTCTGACTCTTATTAGGTATACCGATGTTACTATTGGAGAACCAGACCGCATGGAATTCGATGACCGGCAAGCATCTAACGATATAACACCAAATGAGTGCCGATTACGAGATTTGACATATGCAGCGCCCATCCGAGTTAATGTCAAATATGTTCGAGGCAAACAAGTTATTACAAGGACCGATATTGCCATCGGACGGTTACCCATTATGCTTCGAAGCTCAAAGTGTCGACTTTCAGGAAAGAATGATGGGGAAATGGCACGTATGAATGAGTGTGCTCTGGATCCAGGTGGATACTTCATTGTCAATGGTACAGAGAAGGTCATTCTTGTCCAAGAACAGTTGAGCAAGAACAGAGTGATTGTGGAGACAGACTTAAAGAAGAACATTGTTTCTGCTTCTGTTACCAGGTGAGTTGCGGCCTCTATTCTGCAGGAGAAACGACTGACATTCCAGTTCTACGCACGAGAGAAAGTCCAAGAGTTACGTGTTACTCAAGAAAGAGCGAATCTACCTACAGCATAATATTCTGACCGAAGCTATACCAATCGTGATTGCACTTAAGGCACTGGGAATCCAATCAGACCATGAAATGTTACTTTTAGTGGCTGGTACAGACAGCATCTATCAGGACGACTTTGCGGTCAACTTCGAAGATTGCTCTAAGCTGGGTGTTTTCTCGCAGCACCAAGCACTCGAATGGATTGGAGCTCGGGTCAAGATGGGCGCCAGGGGCAAGACAGCAGGTGCACCTCAACGTAGAAACCCAACCGGAGATGCTTTAGAAGCTTTGGCGAACATCATCATCACCCACGTACCTGTCCACGGCCTGGATTTCCGTCCAAAGGCTCTCTACATCTGCTTCATGGTCCGTCGAGTCCTGATGGCAATGCACGACCCGAAACTTGTTGATGATCGCGATTATGTCGGAAACAAGCGTCTGGAATTGGCTGGTCAACTTCTTTCTTTGCTATTTGAAGATTTATTCAAGAAGTTCAACTCCGATCTGAAGATGAATATCGACAAAGTCTTGAAAAAGCCAAATCGGACTATGCAATTCGACGCATTCAACTATCTACAATCTCACGGCAATTCAATTACACAAGGCATGAACCGTGCCATTTCAACTGGCAACTGGAGCGTCAAGCGTTTCAAGATGGAAAGGGCTGGTGTGACACACGTACTCAGCAGACTGAGTTATATCAGTGCCCTGGGTATGATGACTCGTATCAGTTCTCAATTCGAGAAGACCAGGAAAGTCAGTGGTCCTCGTGCGCTTCAGCCATCTCAATTCGGTATGCTTTGCCCGTCCGATACTCCAGAAGGAGAAGCATGTGGTCTTGTCAAGAATCTGGCACTCATGACGCACATCACCACGAACGATCTTGAGGAACCAGTGAAGAAATTGGTCTTTGTTCTGGGTGCTGAAGATATCGTCTCCATGAGTGGAAAGGAGATTTACGACGTGGGAGCATATGTTGTTTTCGTCAATGGAACGCCTATCGCACTCACCAAGCAACCGAAGGCGTTCCTAAACTCCTTCAGAAAGTTCAGACGTACAGGACGAGTTTCAGCTTTCGTCAGTATCTACATCAACCACCACACTAATGCTGTTCACATCGCCACCGACGAGGGAAGAATTTGTAGACCTCTCATTATCGTCGAAAACCAGAAGTCTAAGGTCACCAGACGGTCGCTCGAGGCGTTGCGATCTGGTAAAATGGATTTTGACGACTTTCTCTACCGAGGATTTATCGAGTATGTTGATGTCAACGAGGAGAACGACTCCGAGATTGCTCTGTACGAGAAGGAGATCAACGAGACAACTACGCATCTTGAGATTGAGCCTTTCACGATTCTAGGAGCTGTTGCGGGACTCATTCCATATCCTCACCACAACCAATCTCCTCGTAATACTTACCAATGTGCAATGGGTAAGCAAGCTATTGGAGCTATTGCATATAACCAGTTTTCCCGGATCGATACCCTCCTGTACCTCATGGTCTACCCGCAGCAACCCATGGTCAAGACTCGGACTATCGAGCTGATTCATTACGACAAACTCCCAGCTGGACAGAATGCTACAGTTGCCGTTATGTCTTACTCTGGTTACGATATCGAGGACGCTTTAGGTATGTTCATGTCTCGCCCTGCTCCTGTGGTGTCACTTTCAATTGCGAAGCAATGTCCTCTGACTCTAGAGACATTTTTGACCGAATAACTACTGACTTTCTGTTCTTTAGTTTTGAACAAATCATCCTGTGACCGAGGTTTTGGGCGATGCCAGGTTTTCCGCAAAAATATGGTACAGTTGAAGAAATATCCGAATCGTTCCGCAGATCGATTAGGGGATCCTCAGCGCGACGAAAAAGACCCAAGCAAACTTATTGCGAAGCACCGCATTCTGGGTTCTGACGGTATTGGCTCAGTGGGCGAACGGATTGTCTCTGGTGAAATCTTTATCAATAAAGAGACCCCATTAAACACTATGTCTACTGGCATTGGTTCTGACTATGGAACCAATGATTACAAGCCCGCACCCTCCACCTACCGCGCTTACGACTACGCATATATCGACAAAGTCATGCTCTCACAGAATGATCGTGATGACTTGGTTGTCAAAGTACAGACTCGGCAAACACGACGACCAGAATTGGGCGACAAGTTCTCTTCTCGCCATGGGCAAAAAGGTGTGGTTGGTATCATCGTCAATCAAGAAGACATGCCATTCGCCGACTCAGGTGTCACTCCTGACATCATCATGAACCCTCACGGTTTCCCATCCCGTATGACGGTGGGGAAGATGCTGGAGCTTCTCTCTGGCAAGGCAGGGGTTCTGAACGGTACACTAGAATACGGAACTGCCTTCGGAGGCAGTAATGTCGACGATATGGGCAGCATTCTCATTAAGAACGGCTTCTCATACTCCGGCAAGGACTTCGTCACGAGCGGTATTACTGGTGAATCTCTCCCTGCCTACATCTTCTTCGGGCCCATCTACTACCAGAAACTCAAGCACATGGTCCAAGACAAGATGCACTCCCGTTCTCGCGGTCCCCGCGCGATCCTGACTCGTCAACCAACAGAAGGTCGTTCTCGTGACGGTGGTCTTCGTCTGGGAGAGATGGAACGTGATTGTCTCATCGCCTACGGAGCCAGTCAACTACTTCTGGAGAGACTCATGTTGAGCAGTGATGCGCACGAGGTGGATATCTGCGAAACGTGCGGATTGATGGGATATCAAGGGTGGTGCCAAACATGTAAGAGCACACGGGGTGTCACCAAAATGACGATGCCCTATGCGGCGAAGTTGTTGGTGCAGGAGATGCTGAGTATGAATGTTTTGGTGAGATTGAAGCTCGAGGATGAGTTTCCTCACGGCAAATAAATCTCGAGGGATCTTTTGGGTGGGCGATTTGGGATATGAGGCATAAAGGATGAGATCTGGATGAAGGACGCATGAATGACGAGATTGCTGTATAGAAATGCATTTCTGGCGTTGCAAGGGCGCAAATAGGAGGGTTGCATAGCCTTGGCGTACTGGAATATCTTCTTAGACAAAAAATCAGGTCAGGCCAATATGTCTTAAATGATAAATGCGAAATAATAACCTGGTCATACGAGGAAGTTCTTTTTCTGTTTTCTGACCTCGCTTACAGATGAGTGATTGTTTCTGCACTCAGTGGACTTCTTGGCTCGCGCAGCTCAAGGCAGTATCGATGAGAGAATATGTATAATTTCACATGAGGTCCTTGGTGTCATAGAATGCTTGGAGTTGATAGAACTCGGAAAGTACACCTGGACTAGTTAAACATTGTTCTTCCCAGTGAGCGAGGAGTTTCGTTCTAATCAAGAAAGAAAGGAAGCGAAACCCCTGTAAAGTCAGCTGCAACTTCGCGGCACACCGTTCGTAGGTATCCTCCTAGCCTCCTCTCAAATCATTCCCATAACCAGTCTCGAAATCCAAAAGACAATACAACATCCCGGAACATTTCATGTTATCAAGCCTAAAGCCACAAGCCACAGGAAACCATTTTCGTCATCTGGATATATCTTCTCAAACTCCGCCTCCAACCCCTCAATATCAAAATGACTGCAACCCCGCCTCCTCCAACCTCAAACAAACTTTCTACAACCTTCACAGCCACCTGCCACTGCACAGCCATCACTCTGACCTTTCCAAGGCCCACCAAACCGCTCATAGAATGTCTCTGCTCAATCTGTCGACGATACTCAACCCTCTGGGCGCAATTCTCCTCTTCAGACGTCCAAATCACAGGGGATACGGAATTTTACGTCTGGGGCGCTAAGGACATCCAATTTCACCGTTGTAGGGTTTGTGGATGTGTGACGCATTGGATGCCGAGGGAAGGAGTTGAGGGAGGAGCATAAGGTTGTGAGTGTTAATTGTAGGATGTTAGAGGTAGGGGAGCTGGAGGGGTTGGAGAGAGCGGTTACGAAGGGGCCGGCGTGATAGATGGGACTTTTTGTTCTTGAAAGGTCCTGCTTATAGCAGAGATTGGATGTTTGATGGGCATACATGAAAAGAAAGTGTTTGTTTGAATTGCGTGCAATATATGACTTGGTATCAGATGTATCCTGATTAACCCATCTCCATCTCCACATCCACGTCTGCAACTAAACTGCTTCTCGCTTCCTCCTCAATTCATCTCCTCGCCATCCTCCTAATTCTCGACCCCTCAATCCTCTCCGCCTCCTCTCAACTCAAACCCGCACCCGAATCTATTAACGCCCCGCACCTAACTCGCCGCACGCAACTTTTACACTCCAACAACCTCCTCCGCCCAGGTCACCTCTCCTCCTCCTCCTCCACACTCAAATCCTCCAAATAAACACCAAAATCCCTCATGCGCCTTCCATTTTAACCTCCACTCTCACTCGCACTGCAATTCAGATTCAAACTCCTAGCACTCGTATACTCTCCCTATGCATAATCTAGAACCTTCAGTCCAAGGTTAACAAATCGATGCAAGTTCTCCTTGAGTATGAGGATCGAGCACTAACAAGGGCAGAGATACGCTTCTGGCCCACGACCTCTGTTCATCCTATCACTGAAGACCAGGACCAGATCTCGTAAGTTGGAAAAAGCGAGGAGAGATTCGAGCTGAGGAGGTGAAGAGTGCATTGCTTGTCAGCTACACCCACTGCGCAAAAACCGCATCAATTCATTATGCTCCATGGTGACATTAACTCTTAGCGCAAACCAAATACCCCCATATCCTGTACACGGGAACCTCAACTCCTAATCCAATATCTATCGTGTTCTTGTTCAGTCCTTGTCCATATCCGCTAGTAGCCTCGCTTCACCAATTTCCCTGATCTTCTCGCCCAAAACGTGCCTCGAGTACCGCTCCGCTACTTTCCCTGCAGCTTCAATCATTCTGCCAGTCCGATCCCGCAATAGTGAAACCATCTCCAGTGCTCGCATACCCCGTTCTTCTCCTTCCCTACACTCCACGGCCATCATTTGCAACAAGGTCTTGTCAATCTCCAGTTCCATCCTCGCCAGTTCTGTACGCTGAGAGTGCGTGCTTCTCGTGTTGTCAATGAGGTCTTTCTGCTGAGCTGTCAAGAGGCTCTTGAGAACAAAAGCTCCCTCAAGCTTCTTCAGCTCATCACCTTCGTTCTCCTCGTCCATGTTGTCCACGTCGTTGTCTGCCTTCGACTTTGACGATAGTGGGATCTCAAATTCAAACTCGGAAAGCAACGGTCGCGGGAAATATGGGTATTGATCTCCACCCTTCAAGATGATGCAATGAAACTTGTTATCTGCCACAGCGACTGGAAAGTACGTTTCCGTTTTCCGACCTGAAGCGAGACGGGACAGGAGTTTGGTATCTAAAAGAGGAACCCACACAGCTTGCGACGGCTCACGCCAGTGAAGAAGTGTGAGAAGGGTTCCAGTCGAGTCGTAAATACAAGGATCCTTAATCACATTAGCTTTCGACCGGGTTTTCAGAATCTGGAAATACTTACCCCATTGTCTGAGAAAAACACACTTTTCAGTGTTTCTCCATCTGAGAGGGCAACGACATCCTCACTCTGGCAGGTCTCATCCCTCTTAATATTCTGAATGGTGTATAGCAAGGTTGCATTCCCATCAGCACCAACGGGACCATTCCCCAAAGTGAGAACGTAGTCTCGCCAGCTTGCACAGGTGACTACAGGACTGCTCTTTTGTCTGTAGACTCTGTACGGTACCCCGAACAAGGTATATATTCGGACATAATTGGCCGTGGTAGTGACAGTAACAAATGAATCGCTCAATGATATAGCGGTCACTTCTTCGCCTTTCGGCAAGGGAGTTCTCCAGTCCGCTCGACTTGTCCACGTCTCATGTGGTCGATAGAATATGGTTGCTGGCGAATCATCATTTGCAGGGCATGAAAACAGAGTACCATTCTCGTTGAGACAAGCCTTGTCGTACAAAAAGCTGTCTGTGAAATGGTAGTCACGATGAAACTCATGGTCATAGAATTCCACGGTGACGGTGTTGTGTGTATCCTGGTCTACCGTCCATACAAATCCAATGAGGTTGAGGCATAAATACTTCCGATTTCCACGCCAAGGGGTCGAACCAGGTTGAAAAGACTCGTGATATTGTGGCTCCCAAGTTTGAGTTCGTCGCTTGCTGATGGGACCAGACGCATCAACTCCGTTTGGTCTCTTACCATTACCATTCAGTCCCAACGCATATCCAGCTCCATCATCGTCGACAACAAAGTCATCTTCATCGCCTTCGCCCATTACTTCCGAGCCGAGGATATCGTCGAGGCTATCAGGCGTACCTCGTCGCACGCCACGGTCGGGAATATCTTTGTGACCATTTGCCAAAGGCCTTCGGGCATTGGCAGAAATCTCGGAAAGAGGATCATGAATGAATGGTGCCGGCTGGAGAGGGAGACGGACTAGATTGGCGTGCTCTGCTGGTACGAAGTCATTGTAAATGTACACTTCGCCATCAGTGTTGGTGAACGAGAGCAAATTCTTGGTAGGATGCCAGGCGATGTCCATGACATTGGCATAGTCATAAGTCGTTAAGATTTTCTGAGTCTTGGTTTCCCATAGGATGACCTTCCTATCCTTCCCAGCAGACACGAGCATTGCTCCGTTAGGAGACCATGCCAGCGCAGTTATATCGCCATTGTGTCCGCTGGTGAAGGATCGTTGGTTTTCCCAGTCGCCTCTAGACATGACTTGAATGTCTCTTGTAGCTGTTGGAGCAGCAAAAGCTCTCCCGTCTGGATGCCACACAACTTTTGTCGAGACTTCATCCTCGGTCTCTGCTAACCTGATCAGGCCATCAATCTTTCTAACAAGATCTGGGGCATCATCCACAAGAGAATAGACGTAAACAATTCCATCTGTGCATGACAGCGCAATGTGTTCCCCACTGGGATCGAAGGACAGATGTTTGACAGGCTTCGGTTGCTCCCTCAGGGACATGACCGAACTTGTGTCGTTTATTCTGATGATCTTGACGACAAGCTCGTCACTGGACACAGCACACCATTTGCCGTTCGGAGAAATCGTTACGTCCCGAATTGGGAGAGAGCATCGTGTAAGGTATTTCTCGTAGGTCATATTCCCCAACGAGAATTTGCTGATATTGCCGTCCTCGGAACCAATAACGAAGAAATCATTCTGTAGACACTGTTAGGAGATGCTTGGAGTCTAATCGAGGTATCCTACAGTTGCAGCCACTCCCGTGTTCTGCTCAGGGCAGTCGTCGATATTCGTGGGTTCGCCATCGAATCCGGTCTTGTACACACGCGTTGTATTATTGGATCCGACAGTGATCAATTTGGTGCCGTCTGGAGTATATGACAGATATGTTGGTCCTCTCGTGTGGGCAGGTCTACCTCGCATGCGAACCTGTGTAGTTGTCGCCATGGTGAGTTGATTTCTATGCGATGGGGTTGGTGATGTTGCGCATTTCAACGAGCGCTGAGTTTATGTAACAGGGAAGACGCGTCGCGACCTGTTTCCACTCAACGCGTGACAGATCCCTGCGCAGCAAAATGGGCCCCCACTTCAGCCGAGCAACCCCACGCAAGGCAGAGCAAACATCGCAACAAGGCTGACGAGAACGAAGGAATATTTCCAGATAGGAGGCGCAGAAGCTACCTACAACGCCATCCATCCAAGCACAAAACAGAAATGTCACGATCAACGGACCCAGGTCACTTCTTCCAAACCGATGCGTCCGAGGCTATTCGTGCACGGAGAGCTGCAAAATCCGGCAACAAACATGGCAACCCAATTGTCCTCCAGTCAAAGATCTTGAATTGCGTTCCTGATCCATTCTCATCTGCAGCTATCTATATAGCAGAGAGCGCAGGATGCGTGCGCAAGGTCAATATCGAAGTCGGTGAAAGATTCCCAGTTTTTCAGAATACAAATAGTTAACAAAGTGCCAGACCAGAGATTCCACCATGGTATACAGAGGCCCCAGTGCTCCCGTTACATCTGTAGCTGTTGGTGGTAAAGGTGGTGCTTTGTTATTTGGAGGATGCTGGGACAAACATATTTGGAGTTGGGATAGGTCAAGTGGGACTCCAGGAAGGAGATTTAAAGGTCACTCAGATTTCGTCAAGGCTGTTATCTGTGTTCAATTAGAGGGAAGAGATGTAAGTCTACTGTCCCTACATCTTTTTCTGGTTTGACTGATGTCGAGACCACAGCTCCTCCTATCTGGTGGTGCAGACAAGAAGATCATAGTCTGGGATACAGCGACTGGTGAGCGGCTTCATACGCTCCGCGACAAATCAGACACCATGATGGCTTTACAAGATCTTGCAATCGACCCAGAAGAATCGACAGACTCGGAACTTGTTCTTGTTTCCTCGAGTAGTGACCCTCAAATCCGAAGATGGCGTATCAGCCTTGCATCTGCCGGACAGATTCAAGATTCTGCCACAGAAACGAAAGCACAAAAGAGTACTGTCAGGTCCACCATATTGGAACATGAAACCAGTGTATACAAGATTCGTTTCTCTGGGGATGATGAAAACTCGGATCTTTGGACCGCCAGTGCAGACGGAACTGCCAAGTGCCTATCAAGGGCAAAGAACTGGACCGCCGAGGAAACCTATGAGCACGGTGATTACGTTCGCGATGTCGTTATTACAGGAGACTGGGTTGTCACAACCGGGCGAGATGAGAATGTAAAGGTTTGGGACCGTGCAACTGGTAAGCTGTGCCATATTTATGATGGCCATTACCAGGAAGTGACCGGATTGCTCCTCCTGAAAGGAGAGAAGCGAGTTGCAAGTGTCAGTATTGATGGCACAATCAGGATATGGGGTTTGTCGAAGCTGGATTTGGAGCTGGCGAAACATGAAGCGGAGGCGAGGCAGAAAGGCGAAGTAAAAGAAGAGACGGTGCAGCCAAAGAAGGGTCTGCTTACTGCAGAAGAAGAAGCGGAGCTGGCCGAGCTGATGGCCTCCGACGACGACTGAATGTCACCTGGAGTCGGGATAATTGCCATGCGAGGATTCACTGCGCATCCACGTGCCCTACACGACGGTGTACATGCGGGCATCAGGGTTCTTACACGTCCCTTGACGTTGGGTGAGTGCCTGGCCTCGGCTGCAGCTGAAAGCATAATCAAGGGATATGAAAACACTTTGGATCTGCATATCAATCATATATTCCGTCGGTCCCTAGCACCTATCATACCACAAGCACTGGTCTGTGACTCCGAAATTTGACAAATTTCCAACGGCGTAAGGCCAAGTTCTAGCACCACGTTTCAGCCGCTCATGCTTTCCAAACGTGGGAAGCTATTAGGTCGAGATCAGTCGAGCCACAGTTTTCCTTCCCAACCTAACAGTTTTCGCGAAATTTGACAGCTTTCAGCCCCCTCCCAAAAGGAAAATAGCAAAAGAAATTGGCTCATCAGCACATGTCCATGAATCTTCCCCTAGAATTGCTTCTGGTGCCGATGCCGGTGCCGCAGAAGTAGGCAGCCGCCAGCCAGAGATGAACCTGCTTATTTTCTCGACCTACGACCGAAGTCGTGGTCGTGGGATCTTCACTTACAGTAGATCTCCTCACAAAGAGCCCGCAGTGGGCCTGCCTCGTTTATGCCCGCTCCCTCCCGTTCGATGCAGGGGGTTAATTCTCTCCACCAAATAACATACTCGATTTGACAAATCGACACTGTTTGGTTCTTGGACGTCCAAGTTCCATTGCTGAGCAACTTGCAGGTCTTAGCTGCGACTGATCTCAGACTGATTGATCTTGGGCCAACTTCCAGTCTGTTCCGTCTTGAAACACAGACCATGCGGGAGGCTTAGTCCAGGGAAGTAAGGAGCACTCAGCCAATGACCAGCTTGAAGATGGCCGGAGGCTTCCCCAACGTTTGTTGCACAGGCCATGTATTGGCATTTGGCACAGGCATGGCATGAAGGAAAGGGGCACGGATTGAGCTGAGATCTGAGTGTCACTTTTTCATGCAGGATGATGGGATGACTTGTCGCTTTCTGATACTGTACCACGACAAGCCTATATATGCTCCTTCTTCTGGAAAATCCAACGCTCGCCGTCCTCGCAATACCTTCTTCGTAGCAGCAACCGATGATGGTCCTTTTCACCGTGCAGTGGACTTGCCCCTGGTGTCTGGCTGGCTGGCCACAGGCAGAAAGTCTAGATGGGCGTCGACACTTTTTTCTCCTCCTCGAGCTCCTGAAGTTGGTATGAAAGTAAGATCTGCGCTAAGTAGGAGATCTGCGCCAGGGAACCCAGAGCCGGAGACTTGCTTTAAACTCTATCCAGCGTAGTAGTAGTCGACTATTTTGGAGAGTAGCCTGGCCTTCAGGGGTGTTGCCATGCTCACATCGGTGCAGCACTAGTTCATACTAGGTGACTCCAACCCCTATTGCACGCGTAACGACGCCTGGAGTTCTGTTCATGCTCTCGAGTGCTGCTCTAGATCAACTATCAAACAAGTTCAGCTCGCAAAGTCCCCTTTATTATTTGCACTTACATAGCGGATGAACTGGTGGTGTGAGCTCCTTGAGATGTGGTCGCGACCCTCGAAAGAGGCTTTAGTCGCTAAATGTGGCTGGTCTTCCCCAGCTCGCGATTGGTTTGTTGTTTTCCGCTACAATGCACATCCCAAAGCCACGGCAGTCCACCATGCTTTAGACTGCTTAGCTCTATATTCCCGAACAGGGTTCTTCTGGCGGGGACGCAGCTATCCAAAGAAAGAAATGGCGTCAAGTCAACTTTTCGATTCGGGAAAAGTGAGAGCTGACCGGGGCGGCGGCAAGGAGCTGCATTCATGAGGTTTATCTCTTGGTTTAGCAGCCCCCCTTTCTCTTGTTCTCCTCGAGTCTTCGGAGTCTTCGCAATCTTCTTTCTTAAAAGAGCAGAACTGCTGCTTAATTTTCAATTCCTGTGTCATATTTATTGGCTGCATTTGTTTTCCGTTCCTCTAAAGACCCGAGCATTCTGCGAATAACGATTTTACAGTCTCCTTCCAAACTCGCTGGTTCGAGTTCAACTTTGACACGGTTGTATCCGTGAGGGGTCCGTACTATTGGCAGCCATTTTGAAGAGAGTCAAGATGTCAGCTATTGCGGTGGCAGAGGGCCAGGATAATCTGAGCGGGAAGTTGATCGCCTTAGAGGGAGACACCAATGTCATTACAACCCAGCTCAGATTGCTCCCGCCCTCCCAGAAAATACTCATCCTGCCTGATATACCAGAAATTTTGGTCCCGGATGTTGAGAAGACCACTTTTGATGCTCGTGCATTCATTCGGGATCTCCAGAAGGCCGTGACGCAACGCACGGAGACCGCACGTTCATTCCTGCGGACATCCACCCCCACACAACCGAGGCTTGTCTTTACTGTACATGGCAGTGTCAGCGCACGAACGACATGCATTACGAAAATTTCGCAAAACATCACGAATGGGAATATTGAAGAAGCGGAAGCCGTATTCAACAATCTTGTGAAAGATGGCATTGCTGGTTTGGTGAAACCAGAAAAGGTTCTCGAGGAGGAGCAGGAGGAGGAGCAGGAGGAAGAAGACGAAGCTGTTACGGAAGAAGGAAACATTGAAAGCGAGGAAAAGAAAACAGTAAATGACGTTCCTGAAAAGGTATCTACGGATACAAGCGATACCGAAGAGCAAGATGCCGCAGATTCCACTCATGGGGGCTCCGCTTTGGAACAACTGCCATCTCGTTCGAAAAACCTTCCGAAATCTCGGGTCATGGATCTAGTACGAGACATGGAGAAGCCAAGTCCTATCAAAGGGCAAGCCGGATTCAAGACCACGGGGATACCTATATCCAGATTTGCATGTCCCACAAGCCAGCCCAACGACAAGATTATAAGGACTGTCTTGACAGTACCTAACCGTAAGATGCCACTTGTTGAGAAGAGGACAACATTCGGATCTAACCAAGGAGCTATGTGTCTCAACCGTTTTGCTGGAGTAATGTCACATCACGACGTCGAAGACACGGATACAGACACGGACACAGACACCTACACGGACGATGAGTTCTCTGGTCCGAGAATCACATCTCCTGGAGAAGAATCCGTGCTATCTGTTCCTCAAACACCAGGAGGAGTTGAATATGGCGAGGCGTGTCTAGTTGATGTACAGTCTGGTTCTCCAACGAAATCTGTAAAAAGATCCCAGTCAGTTGACAAGCTCTACCCAAGCAATTCCCGATCACAGAACTATTCATCGATTCCCCGTCCACTTAAGCAAAGCAAGTCGCATTATCAGCTGAGGCGCGAAGGTCCTACTTCACCTGTACTAGAGGAGAACAGACAGGATTCTCATCGCTTCCCAACGCTCCCAAGGACGACTTTTGTGAAGGCCTCGGAGACTACCATCAGAAAATCGCCCACGTCGTCCAGATCATCAAGGTCGTCATCCAATTCATCCACCTCGTCCACAGAGACGCCGGATCGTGCTGTTTTCGTGGAACGTGGAACTGATGCTATCGAAATACCCACAAAGGATTCACAAGAAATACCGTTTGTACCAGTTTTCGAGCTTGCGGAAGACCTTGTAATCCATCTTACTGATGATCAACCAAGCGAGATTTTTGAGTCTGTCCTACGATCATACAAGAATGGCAGCTATCCAATCATGCCTACGCTCGCTTCGCACACCCCTTCTGAATCACCATCTTCTCCCTCGTCACTGATCATTCAAGAGGGATCAGAGGCATCAATCAGCCCGAGGTCCATCTCAAGTCTGCAGCTTGAAGTGGACCCTGAGGTTCGGCCAGCATCTTATCCTACGAATGAGGTCGATGATTTCGGATACAATCGCCGGTCATTCGATCCTTATTCAGATGATAGCTACCCACCAGATATCAAGCGACCATCCAGAGGGCAAGTCAGATTAGCCGAGAGCTCCATTTCAAATGTTGCTCCTCCAACACCTCCTGTAGAGGAAGTGCCTCTTGTTGTCCCCGCGGAAGAAGAGAGTCCTTTGGAGAACAGATTCGTTGAGTTCTCACCTGTCAATCCTGGGAATGCCATAAGCGTTCACAACTCCTTCCGGGAACTTTTAAGCATTCTGTTCCCGGCAAGCGAGAATTACAGCCAATACGTATATCCTGTTGCTCCCGAAGTCGACAGGCTGTGGAAGCCAGTGTTCAGGAATGAAGAGAGTGGCCCAATCGGTATTGAGGGCAGGACTGTAGATCAGATCATTGCTTTCGGTTGTGATGAAGGTGTCAAGAAAGACTTTTTTTATCAAATTTCAGGGCAAATCGAGAAGATCGGGACAAAAAGGGATGGGTCCAACCGCAGTGGAAAGATTGATATCAGGTATGTCTCAGCATACTCCCATTGTTCATCGCCGCTTAACATAAACAGGTTCTTGATTTCCAACATCATGCAGAGTTATGTCAACTCGTCAGTTACACCGCATGCACCAAGTCCGATCTCAGATCCACACATCCTCGCTTCCCTACTCGTCCCTCACATCGAGGCATTCCTTGCCAGCAATGTTAGCACTCGTTTACTCATTCTTCACTATTCTTCTGCCGATCTTGCCACCATCTTCGCCCTTCGCAACATTCTAGGAACGAACCTATTCAAGATTGCCGGTATCCTTGATTCTCTTGCCTCTGATCCTCCGTCCATATCTCGTCCGGGGACCTCTATGTCCTCACGGCCTCGCTCACCCATACCCACCAATACTCTACAGAAGGAATCCATCACCACCCGCCAGCAATCCCGCCAGTCTCTCCACCGTGAATCTATCACAAATATACAGCGAAACTCGGCCACTAATTCACCCAAAACGCCAAAAACTCATGCCCCCAAGCCGACAATCTCATTCGCCAAAGCGGATTACCTACTTCCTAGCACAGCCACCGACTCGGAAATCACCACCTTCCTTTCGGGAATGTGGAAAGCGTTGATGGAGAAATCAACCTTCTACACTCCGGAGCCAGAGCCCAAACCAGTCATCATTGAGCGACCACCCCTGCCACCTACACCATCTTCAAACAGTCCTCGAGACCGCGACTCAGGATATCCACCGTCCTCGTTCCAACAAACACCGCGCGCATCCAAAGTATCCCGCCTCACAGGCGGAGCCGTAGCAGGCTCCACCCGCGGCGGTAACTATCCCCCATCAATCAGCACCGTGACGACTCGAGGGAACGGGTATGCCGCATCGACGACCACGACTATCACGAACAGACACAAGTACGCTGCATCGATCGCAAGTACCAAGACTACTGCTAGCGAACGGGAACGCAAGCGTGGCGACAAGGAGTGGGAGAATTTCTACATCGCCGAAGATGATAGTGAGGATGATGAGTATGATAAGATGATTCTGGGGAGGGGCATGCAGAGGATTGTGCCGGAGGTGAGAAAGGTTGGGCAGAAGGCTAACACGAAGAAGGCGTTGAAGTGGTTGGGTTTAGCATGATGCATTTCTTTTGTTTGCTTGTCTTCACTTGTCAAATTCGTCTCTTTTTGCATTCGTTCTTTCGTGGATTTGGAGCATTGCGTTTCTTTTGTTGCAGTTGCGTGTCAGCGCAGGGTTTATTTTCCACACTTTCTTGCCTGGCTTGGGTTCGGTGTGACAAGGTTTTTAAAATCTGGAACCTTTTTGGGGGCTATCGCTGCTTTGTATTAACTCAAAATACTGTAAGATCAATCTAGAAGTAGTCAGTCAGCGATGACGTTTGTTTGTTGTAATCTGCCAGTCAGCCTTAGTGTGGTTTTATGTAGTGTAGATAAAAATGGGTATTAGCTCAATACTACAACGTGCTTCGAGTTCTCTATCTTCCTTCCCACTTATTGTTCACACCTTGCAAACGATGGCGTTCGAGTTCCCGGCAGACATGCTTTAACCTGCAAAGAAGTGACAATAGATCGTGGATTGTACACTACAAATGCCCTGACCATGAAGTGAGTCCTTGATCGTGGCTAAACAGGTTTCCAATCAATGTTTAGTTGAACTCTCTGCAGTGTGAAACGACATATGCACTTTTATCTGGAGCAAAACATGTGTGTGATATATTCGGATTGATGGCCTGACGTACGGGTCTTATTTCCCGATACTAACAAAAATGTTATTTTATGGGATGTTTTGCTGTTTGTTTTCAAATGACATTACCTCGCTTGGACAAGGATCACGATCATGTCCTCGTTGACTGTGGGCAAGTAAAATTGTTCTCGGTATGTGAAAAGCAGAGTGGAGTTGACTATTATTCCTATTTCTGTGTCTGTATCGTTTGGGTAGCTTGAACGTGTTGGATATCTTCAATATCCTGACTGTCGTAATGGCCCTGGATGATTTGACAGAGTCGATGTCCGTAAATACTTGAATTCTTTGCTATCCGCCAAGTGACAAAATCATCTAAAGGCCCAAGCAGGGTTTCGGCCAAGTCTTACACAACTCATGATGAAAAGGTTCTCCTTGGGCAGCTTATATATTATCGCCACGGCCGACTCAGAGAGGCGTATTTCTGATATCTTTACAAATCTTACAAGTAATGTCCCATACCGAAACGCCATATGCATCCAAATCCTGAACTCCAATGGTCAGTGAAGCAAATACGTCCTACCTGTGCATTTCGTTTTCCCCTCCATCCACATAACAAGCCGGACAAGGTGCGCCTTCGTCGCCCCTCCCTTTCCTCATACCTCCAAGCAACCAGTCCGTTAGACCAACCACCCTAGCTCCCACACCTCTTTCCCAATTACCTCCCTCCTGCACATGCTCAATAGTATGACTGATGATCCTTCCCTCCTCGTCAAACTCGAAAATGAACAATCCTGTAAACTCCTTGCTATCATCTTCCCCCTTCCCACCACCCAGCCACTCCGTGATCTTGTCAACACTCTCCCTCCCTCCTATACCCTTATACAATGCTCCAGTTCCCTTTCCCTTTGTCTTCCCCACAGTCCGCCACCGTACAATGAGTTGTTCTTGTCGAATGAGTGACGGAGAGCGAGAATTCGAGGTAGACTTGATCATGCGTTCCGAGAGTATGGTAAGCTTGACATTTCCCACTAGAGGAACGCGCCCCCATGCTATGGGCGAGGTCCACAACGCTGCTGCATATGCGACTCGTCCGGATACTGTGGGGAGGTGGGGATGGGTTGAGGGGAAGAGGTGGAGAGTGATATGCGGGGACAGGATCTCTTGAGGGAGAGGTGATTGCAGAAGAGTTGACAGGCGTTCTTGGAGGACTCGGAGAGCTAATAAAATCAATCAGAAAGGCTGCTGTAAAGTCTCGTAAGGAAGTCTTACTCTTCCCCAGTTTTACAGTTCGCTCATCGGGCTTGCGCGGTTCAGAAGGGTCATTGCGACTTGGCAGGTTGTGGCGAGGTACAGATCCTGTGAACCAGACATCTGGGAGCACTTTCTGACCTTGCTCGATTGTTGCTAAACATCGTGAAGTGACTGGTCCTGGGTATGCTGGGCGGAGGGGCCGACAGCTCAGGGAGAGAGGGGAAAGCTTTGTGGGGTGTGGTGCAGAACGTAGGAGGTTACAAGGCCGCGACATCAGCCTGTATGTTTTAATCTGACGGCAAAGGCATTAAGAGACCAAACAGATTATCGTAGTACGTTGCGCGAGGTTGTGCTAACGAGGTACCAAAACGAAAGAGTTACAAGCTGCTGGGACTTGGTCAGGAAGCTTTATCGGCGATTGGCACAAAGTCCAAAAGGGTTAGCGGTCAAGCAATCAGAACAATGCCATGTCCCAGTCTCCGGGTACAGCGAAGTTGCCAAACTCCAGAATGTTCTGATACATAGTTCGTAATAAACTCGAAGTCAATGACTCCGAAATCTGTGCATATCTTCTTGTATAATTCACAAAGGAATTCCCCGGCACTCTTCTCTCTCCCATCAAGTTGCCTCGAACAAGGAATCCCGAGTCATCACGTGGACATCACTAGCGGCGCTTCAGGTCGGAGGATCCTAAAGACGTCGTTGCAGGAACGCAAGCCGCGATACCTGGACTGAACCTTGGTCCACTCTATCTTCTCAGAAACCAAAACAATACAACGTCCAACGTCGCCTCCCATCCTGGTGATACCTCGCACCATCGAAAATTTGCACTCCGAATAGACAACCGCCATCATGAATCCAGAGTAGTGAGTCTCCCAACTAGGCAACGTCATCTTCAACCGCCCCCCAGACTTCAGAAACCGCATTTATTGGAATACATACTAACTCTACTATCTGCAGAGTACCCCTCGATGGCTTTTGACAGGCGCACGATCGGCGCGAGTTCTCTTCAGGTGTTTCCCAAAAACTACGGATACATTACTCACGATCTGGGCAGATACGATTATCTCTTCAAGCTTCTCCTTATCGGGGACTCCGGTGTTGGAAAGTCCTGTCTGTTGCTGCGATTTGCGGATGATACATACACCGAGAGCTACATCTCGACCATTGGAGTAGACTTCGTATGTTGGAAATTACAGATGATTCGGAATAGGAGCTGACGCCTTGGCAGAAAATCAGAACAATCGAGTTGGATGGCAAGACGGTGAAGTTGCAGATTGTAAAAGCTACTGTGGGATTCTACGATGGGACATGAATGCTGATGGACTTTAGTGGGATACCGCGGGACAAGAGCGTTTCCGAACAATCACATCATCCTATTACAGAGGTGCCCACGGTATCTGCGTTGTGTACGATGTTACGGATATGGACTCGTTCAACAACGTCAAGCAATGGCTTCAGGAGATCGACAGATATGCCACAGAGGGTGTCAACAAGCTCCTCGTGGGCAACAAGAGCGATATGTCAGACAAGAAGGTTGTGGAGTATACAGTTGCAAAGGTACGTACTGTCACATGCACAGCATCAGCTGTTTGTTATCTGGTGGTCAAAGCATCATGCGCCTGCCCGTTTCTCATCACCTCACTAACAAATTTGCCTAGGAATTCGCTGACAGCCTCGGCATCCCATTCCTCGAGACCTCAGCCAAGAACGCATCCAACGTCGAGCAAGCATTCTTGACAATGGCCCGCCAGATCAAGGAGAGAATGGGTACTACCACAGCAAACAACAAGCCTACGGTACAAGTTGGACAGGGACAAGGTGTGCAGTCGGGATCGGCTGGTGGCTGCTGTTAAATAACTCTCCTGTCCTGTTGAACGAACGGAACGACTGGTTTTTCCTTGCCTTTCTGTGCGCGCATTAGAATGACTGTCATTTGGATCGGCCTCCTGCATTCCCGCCTTATTCTCACTCTACCTTTCTCCTCCGGAGTTCGGAAACAAACCATACTGCAAACACGCATGGGGGGATAGATGACTGTAATGGCTGATGGAGAGAGATTGTGGGTCTCAAGATTGAGGGAGAGATCATTGCTACTGCTTTGGCGTGTGAGGGGATTTGGGGGATCGGGAATTTGATACTTTTGCTTTCTTTTGCCAGGTCTTTCTCGAGTACAGGGTGCTTTGATGCTTGCTTTGCTGCGTGGTTACTTTCATCTTTGTTATTATGACAGCCTGGGTTGAGCATGCAATCAAGCAATTAAACCACACTTGTACATCTTTCATGTGTTATAAGCGTGAAGCGGCAATGATTTCAGTGCTTTCTCAAGATAGTCGAAGGCTAATGTCCAGGGCCATACATGTCGACTTGGGGAACAGTACCTCTTGCCATAAACTTGAATTTGCTCTCCATCAGACAGCCTGCGTCCTTTTCTCTGATTGCCTGGACCAGTATGAGGCCCTCAAATGGTCATTCTACCGGTATCCCACCCCCTTCTATCTATATATATCGTCAAATAGATTCATCTTGCTCGTTCTTCATTTTGCCCTAGCTTTAGGCATTTGCCCGTAAGAATCCCCGAAAATCCATAACTTTTGGCGGCATAGATGTGGGCTTTACCCGAGTCTCCTGGTCAGTGTTTCCCTGGGCAGACTGAAAAATTACCACAAGAGGCCGACAGTTTCTCAGAGGCGCTGTCTTGCTCACAGGGTGAGACTTCTTATGGTAACGTTTCAACCGTTCAATATTTTCCGTCACATTGATGTGCTCTTCCCAAGTTTTAACTGTATTGGGTGAGTGTGCAGTATAGTGCTCTCTTAAAGAGTCCACCCCGCAGGTATTGGGAGTGAAGTTGATGGCAGATAGCTAAAGTTGAGTCAGTTGACGGCATTGTAGAGATGTCAGGAGGATCTTCGCACTTTTGTTACGCGAGCGCAGGTGTCAACATCGATGAACAAGGAGCTTTTTCCTGAAGCGATGTCAAGCACCTTATATCCGTATCTTCAGCCAAAGCAGCCAGGTAATCCCTTCTATCCATCGCCACCTACCTAATCTACAAGGCCAGTCGTTGAGCCTCGATGAACCATGTAAACAGACCACATGACAGCCACGTACCCATCACGTGTCCGTCTCATTTTTTGTGTCCCAGCTGCAGACACTTGCATTTGAAACCACCAGCTCATCTGATGACCACCTCAACAGATAGATATCAGGTGAGGTGAATGCCAGCTTCAACACCGCCTTACCTCGACACCTACGTACACTTTTTGAGCTTCTCGTCACCATGATTCATACAGGGGCAAACACTTTATGAACATGAAACCAAGGGTCAAACCTCGAACTTTGAATAACGATAATTTTCACTCATCTTAATCTTACTCTTATCATCCCACTTTGACATCTTTCTGAAGACGTTCAAACGAAAGACTGAGAACGACGAAATGGGCGTCTGTTCCTTCATTTTCCTGGTTATATTTGCCATCATCTGTAAGTCCTCCTCTCCCTCCTCTCCAGATTTTAGGAAGAGAAGCTAATGAGACCCCAGTACCGCCCATCGCTGTCCTCATGTTAGCAGGCTGCGGGCCAGATTTCCTCATCAACATCATCCTCACACTCCTTGGGTACGTCCCCCACTCCTTTCCCCTCTTCCCCCTTCTTACTTTCCTTTTCCCTTTTCCCTTTCATTCCCTCCCAGGTATTCTCCTCTTCCATCTCGTCTCGGCTTTTCAAGCTTTGAAGTTCTTGGAAGTGGAGTTCTCGTCTAATACTTTTGTGTGCTACTAGGTATTTCCCAGGACATCTTCATGCGTTCTACCTCATCGGCGTGTATTATTACCGTCGGGATCAGAGGAGGAATGGGATTTTTATCAGCCGTGGTGCGCCGGGGATTTTCAGTCGGAGGGTGCAGAGTGGCGGCTTGCCTTATTGAGAGTTGACGTGACGGTGAGGGCGAGGGCGAGGACGAGGGCTCTGGATGGGGACTCGACTTGTAGTTGAGGTTGCAACTTGGATTTGATCTTCAGGCATGAAAGAAGAGTTGTATTGATTTGATGGAGTGACTACAAGTAGGTATGCGGTTGAGAATGCATCCACTATTGAAAACACTACCAGTGAATTTGAGTGTAATTCTCATTTGGTGCAAAGCAGTAGATACAGATTTAAAGCGAGGTTGGAGAACTCATTGTGAAGGGCAACATTCTTGAACCTCAAGAAAATTCCTGCACACGACTGAGCAGTCTGTTTGGTCTGCCCCTCTTTCTTCTTGGTACTGTCAATTCGAGAAAACACACTCGTGATCGGTATCTCGTAACCTCTTCAGACAAGGACTCTCAACAGGATTAAGATCTTGGAAAGATCGCTAGAGCTGTGGAGAAACGATGTTTACTTCGTCTTTACGACTTCAGTGCAGCGGCAACAGGACAAGAGTCGATAACAGTAGAATATGAGCCCCCAAGCACGCCGAACCTGTCGAGTACAGTTCTATATTGGTCTGGTTGTAGTTATGACTTCTAGCCTGCATGTTACTATTGATCATCGCAGACAATACACCAATGCTAGCAGAACATTCTTTAGTCCATTTCTGCGTGTCTTATTCGAAACAGCTGTCATTCTGTTTCTTGTCCCTGTAGTCCTATTTATGTATGGATGGAAGCGAATTACCTGCGTGAAGAAGTTGCAGTGAATAGACAACCAGTAGGGAAGGCACGTAAAAGACAGGACAGATCCCAGCTCTTGAGACAAGATATTCATTAATAACATAAGTTGTAAATCAATGGCGGAGGTAGAGTTCCTCGATGCGTGAATCCCATGTGGCAATAAGCATCGACTGTGGCAGCCGAAGTAGCGCGTCAGAGCAGTGTACTTGACGGGGATACTTCTTTGAGACTATGAAATGTGGGAAGGACAAAGTCAATGAGGAGGTACCCTGTAAATGTCACCTCGGCAACAAACTCTCGAGAACTTTCTCAAAGGTTGTTGACAACAAATAAACTCTTGACAGAAGAAAACTTCGCTGACAACTCTATGAAAAAATCAAACAGGATCATGCACGTAACCTTCACTTGAAGATCATGTGCTGGTTAGTTGACGGCTTTACAAAGTCTCATCCATATCCCTTGACCATATAGATAATGCGGCACTCCCTCCTCCTCTTGATGAAATATGATGAAAAGAGCTTTGAATTAGACGATTTCGCTCAGCATATGTGGGCTGCAATAGCGAACTACGAGAGCCCAAGGAGGCGCTCCAGGGCTAAAAATTGAACAGACGAGATAACATCCCTTGGAGCTAATCCGTGCCTTCTCAGCAATAGTCCAATATCTGTGTAACCGCACTTAATCATTGGAAGAAGTTCATATTCCGAAAGAGGGAAGAACTCACCAAATCATGTCAGCTGTCACTCGCTTCCCTTCCTTCCAAGACCCGACTATCAATCACCAACGACCCCTCGTGCCGTCCCCCACCTCAGCTGAGCTACCTTACAATACCTTCTTGTCACACACCTGCAGACCTGTCCCGACTTTCAAATCTTCGATCTTCGATCTTCGATCCTCGATCCGGCACGGTGCCTCGGCCCTCGCTCACCACTTAGTGCTACCGGTAGAATTCTCACCATCACGACCGAACTCGAAGCGCTTGCCTACCTATCTACCTACTTTAGAGGTATCAACCCCAGCTAGTAAAGTCTCACCACTGCCTAACCACCACCACAAGCCTGTATACTAAAAATCGCGACGTGCAACACAAGCTGCGCAGCATTGCAAACTGATTCCTAAGCTCGTCCTCTGAGGAAATCTACCTTCACCGTTCTGTGTCTGGTTCAAGCGTAGGAGAAAATAAGGCTTGCCGCGAATCATGGCCATGCGGAACAGCCACTGCCTGCCGAGTCGTGTATTAGACGAGACGAGTCGGGACGAGATGACAGGTTAGGTACTGAAAGCGAGGAAGGCAGAGAGGCGGCGCAAATGAAGGAGTAGTAAGTAGAGCAGCGAAGCGCAGCTGGTATTTGTGAAAGACGACCAGCAGACATCCTCTCCTTCCGATTGTGCTCAACAGCAAAATCCCGACAAGTGAAATAGTCTCCTGCACGGTACATTTAAACAAGCGAGCACCCGAGCGGCATCCCATGATTCTTATCCCCGCTGTCAAACGAGTCGGAACATTTTAAGATTCAACGGGATCGAGTGGCGTGCTGAAAATGAGATGTGCAACAAAAGCCATTTCTCGCAAGGTGACTGGGGATGATTGGGTTGTTTGTTTCGACATGTGAAGGGCGGTGGGGGGGGGGGGGGGGGGGGGGGATCATGGGCTTGTGCCTTGGAATAAAAGGAGGGATGGGAGGGATGGGATGGAGGGTTGAGTATGGGAGGGAGGCCGGAGGCCGGGACGAGTCATGGGTTTGCGAGGTTGAGACGCCGGTGTTTTGGGACGCTGCAAGGGAACGGAGGGTGGACGAGGGTGGAAGATTTTGCTTGCGAGTGCTGGGAGTGTCACTGTTTCGTTTCGGTGGTTGGCTGGTTATATCGACGGTAAAGAGAGTGGTGATGTTACCGGAGATGATTAAGATAAGCCAGCGGTTTGGAGGAAATTTAGTGTTGTCGCTGCTATGCTGATGTTGAGAACGCTGGATGGGCTACAGCTGATCAAGCACTGACAGCGCTTGTGGCGCTGGACAGGGCATGCCTGCTCGTCTACTAGGTGTGCTGAGATATACGCCACATTGCGTAATCCCTGGAATGGCGTTACCATTCTCCGCCTGGGGCCCTATCACACGATTAGGTACGATACAGTCACAAAGCCCGGAACACGAATGGTTGAAGAGAGCATTCTTCATTCCGAGAATAGTCAAAAAGAATGCGATCTATATCTCTTCATTGCCTTCCAGGAGATCTCTCCTTACACCTTCGCCAAAATGGATTTCCTGATCCCGATCCTGCAGTCTAGATGACACCGCTGTTCGCCCCCTAATTTTTCCATCAAAGAGAAAGTATGTACAAAGAAAGTAAAGCTTTTCTTGTGATCTATCGATCATGCTTCTACAAAAGGTAGAACAAGAAAGTAGGTGAGGAGAATCAAAGGCCGTTATCTCGTGTCGCATCTCGCCCATCACATCTTGATGTGTGGGTGCTTATGCGGACGAAGCGTAAGTCGAGCCCAAGGAGCTGAGCGACTTGCCGTTGACGAGGTTGCCCTCAGACACCATGAAGTAAGCGTAACGCTCGACGTAATCAGTCTCATCCATCCAAGCCATGACCTCGGTCAAGAAAGCAGCTTGCTCGGAGTCGGATCCGGCAGCCTCGAACTCAGTGATCCAGAGAGGACGGTTGCCGCCAGCAGTGTAGGCCTTGGCCATGTACTCCTTGAATGCAGCAGCATCTCCTCCGTTGTACCAATGGATGGCAACCTTGTCGATGGTGCAGGAGGAGCACGCGGAGATGAAGTTCGACAACCAAGTCAAGCCCATCTCGCCACCTCCGTTAGTGACAGCAGGGGAAACGAGCTTGGCCTTGGATGCGTATGGTTGCATGTAGGTGAGGTATCCAGTGGCAGCTGCGGCGGGTGCAAGGTTGGCCTGACCAGAGTAGTCGGGCTCGTTGAAAGCGAGGAGATGGGTGGAGCCGCCTGCGAGGGCAGTCTCAACAGCGTGTGCCCAGTTGCTGATGTCATCGGGGCGGAGACCCCAGAGCATAGGAGCGTATTCGAAGTTGGAGGGGATGGAGGGTGTGGTAGAACCCCAGTTGTAGGCCCAGGTTACGTCTGAGGCGCTGGTGAATGCTGAGAGGAGGCTTGCGTCGTTGTAAGCAAGACCACGCTTGCCGGAGGAAGAGCTCGAGGCGGGGGTGGTAGCTACTGGAGCTGCCGAAGTGGTTGTTGGAGGAACAACAACGCTCTCCAATGTTGTAGGAACAACAACTGGTGCTTCGGAAGTGGTTGGTGCGACATAAACCGAGGTCGAGCTGGGAGTCTGCTCAATGAAGACAGCATCTGCAACAACGCTGGAAGTAGTTGGCTCAGGAAGAGGCGTGGATGATGTGGAGGGAGTAGCTGGGACCTCGGTGGTTGCAGGAGCCACGGAAATTGGTGCTGGCGGAGGTGGAGTGGCTGAAGGAATTGGCTCAGTGACGAGAACAGCACTGCCGTCAATGGTGATTGTGCCCACAGCAACAGGTGCTCCGGTGGCATAGGATCCGTCAGGCAACTCGGTGACCCAAACCTCCTCAGTCACGATGACATTGTCGGTGTCCAAGTAGTAGTCTCTTGCGCGGATGGCTGGAGCTGCGAAAGTTTCCTTGACCAGCAAAGACGAGGCCATGACGGCGAGGGTGGAGAATGTGGTACGCATTTTGGCGAGATCGAAGCTGAACTTTTTAGAGTTGGGTTGATTGTGTTTTCGTTCTGTGGTAGTACTCGAAGGAGTGTGTACGTGAGGTGTCTGAAAGTAGATCGTGAGACGACTGTCTGTGTGTTTGTGCTGGGAGCAAAGTTGATTCAATCAACTGAAGGAGTGTGTATGTGCAAAAGAAGGTAAGACTGAATGAAGCAAGAGCAAGATCCAGATCGCAACGTCAAGTGCGGTGTGTAGTATTTCTATCCTCACGAAGGAAGAACGAAAGCAATCAAAAATGAATCTGGGGACCAAAAAGAGCGGTTGTCGAGAAAAAGAGGAAAGGGAAATAGGCTTCGTCAGGGGATATGCTTAAAATATGTATCCGTCGTCGCCTCCCTAGCGAAGGGTCAGATCGGGGCCAGCCGCTTTTGGAGATTGGCCCAGAGCCTGGCACAGCACAGGGGGTGAATTGAGTTCCCGCTCGGGTGGGTGAATTTTCTGGTGTTTTCGTCAGCAAGGCATTCGTGTTCCTGCATCTCAGCCCAGCCCAGCCCAGCCGCGAATCACTGTCTCTGATTCGTAGCCGGGGGGGGCACCAACCGCCCCCTGAGCCCACAGCTACCTTACCCACACAAATACCCACATCGCCGGGTGTTTGAAACGCTGCCCTCACGCTAAGAAAAGCTTGGTGCTCTCCACCCGAGATGGCGTCTAAACGATCAGATATGACTGGATCGGGATGGGCTCCATCTGTTTGAGGTTTCAAGCGCCAAGAAGGGGTAGAGGAAGGATTTGTCGGTTCATCCCATCGACGTGTCTGGAATCTTTGATCGGCTGTTTGTTCGGTTCGGACGCTTTTGTTTGGTTCGCATCGGATTGCTCTGTCCATATCAGTGCAGCGTTTCGCCCGCTATGCAAGGTGAGTTTCGCGTGCAGAAAAAGCATATGCAGGTTGACGGAGATCGAAAATCCTGATCTCAAAGCTCCACAGAAAGAAGGGGAGACTCAATCTCACCCGGATCCTGGGCTCATGTGTAAAAGACGCAGTATTGCCCGGGGTTCAGATGAAAAGGTGGCTGAAGGATCTGGCCAAGCTTCTTGTACCTAATATGCGCAGGGCAAGGGGGAAACAGCGGCTAAACTCCAATTATACATTGGTCATGTGATCGACGTTGCGTTCATGCAACTACGTAAATAGACTCGACTCTGCCCTGATCCGATTGAAAGATCCCAGCTCCCAATTCATTAAACGTCTTCCTCAAGGATAGTATAAATGGATTCTATATCTGGCTTCAATTCCCATCCAAATCACTGGGCTGGCTTCCCATTTTTGCGTACCTGAGGTAGGAAAATCTTGGCTTGGCGGTGAGTAAGCGAGTGGGCAGTATAATTTTCTAGATTAATTGCATGAGTCAAGACTGCTGTCATATCTTGACTACACATTATGAGTTCAAGAAATTATTACCATCTTCAATTTCAGTCAACTTTCCAAATTCGGCTTCTTGAGTTGCCACGTAGACATCTTCTCATGGGTTCATGTGACAGGTAGGAATAACCTGACGAGCTTTGAGGACGGTGAGGGTTTGGAAGGCGAGTTGAAGGAAGGATTCACGGGGAGAGACGAGATGGGAGAGGTGCATACGGACATGCAGGGAACGAATGAGGTCCATGGAGGTCATGAAGTTGCTGTTGATAGAGACATTTCCCCGCCAACGAAGAAAGGAGGCGTTTTTGTACCGTTGAAAACAACCTTGGAGACAAGGTCGAGAGAAAAGATTGGGAAAGTGTATGTCACGGGCGTGCCTGCTAAGCTGGCAAGTACCGTGCTGAAGTAAGTGTCTATATCGTCTACTCAACTCATTCTGCTGTGTATCTTCTCTGAGTGCCATATACGCATTCCGTAGTAATGTGCTTCAACGTTACGGGCATTTCACTACCTTATTGCTCCTGGCATTTACTGCTCTTTTGTTCACTTGCTGTGGGATTCGTAGTCATACGGTTCATATATCGATGAGAAGAATTCTTTCTTACCAAGGTCACAGTCTCATCCGGAAACTCGTCCCCGACGAGGGAGGCATAGACCTCCAACATCTCCGCCGTTTCGCCAAGCTCAAAGATCTACCGCTTCACGTCCACGACCTACTAACCAGTCCACCCACCTCAACCTCAACATCCACCGCAGGGCCAAGTCCAGCTCCATCGCCGGAGCTCTTCCTGATCGCTGGCCCAGTATCCGCAATCTCCTCTAATGACCTGATCACCTCTCTGAATTCAGTCCTCCAAGATTTTCAATTATTCGAAGTACATGTGTCACTGCTAGCACCAACGTCCCAAGAGCAAGCCTCCCTCTGGACAGCCAAGTACTGGCCCACAGTCTACAAAAAGAGCAATCCGTTTGGTCCGCACCCGAGTATCCTCGAGAGGGCGGAGGAGGAGATGAGAAGTGAGGTGGCAAGTTATATGGATCTTGCGGAGCAGGCTGCGACGGAGAGTTTGGACAGTGAGAGGGGGGGGAGGGTAGGTGTTGTCGTTGTGGAGAGGCGAGAGGGGAGAGGGAAGGTGGTGGCTGTTGCTGGAGATGGGAGGTGGGATGGTTGGGTTAGGACAGGAAGTGGGAATGTGGTTGCGCATGCTATTATGAGGGCTATTGGGATGGTTGCTGGGGGCCTAAAGGCAAGAGAGGATCAGGAAATTGCGGATGAAGAAGGGAAAGCTTCTAGTCCTGAAGATGGCCTGACACAAGCCACTGGAACCGACATCTTCAGAGACACTCCACTTTCAGCTCTCGAAGTACAACACTACGACCCTTCTGGAAACGCAAACGGCTACCTCTGCCACGAGCTCGAAATCTACTGCACACACGAACCTTGCGTCATGTGCTCAATGGCAATCGTGCACTCTCGATTTGGCCGCGTGGTATTCAAGAGACGAATGACAGAAACAGGCGGGATGTGTGCGGATGGAGAATTGGGTCACGGGCTATTCTGGAGGAAGGAGTTAAACTGGACGTTGCTTGGTTGGCAGTGGCTTGGTGAGGAAGAGCAGGAAGATGGGGAGGGCGTAGCAGTATCGTCATACCTTCATGCTTAAGGCTTCTTTCTGGAGAATTCGGATACTATCATACAGACTTGCAGCTGTTCTGGACAGTCCAGCTCAAACTGGCCTCATATTGTCCTTGAATCCTCAAATTATGGGAATCCTTGTGCAGAGCACAGTATGGAAGAGCATACCGGCGATGATATGAAAGAAGCACGGCCAGCGCAGCGATATCAGGACAATCCATACCTGTATGACTTGTGCTGAATCAAGAGAGCTCAGTCGAACCTTCTGCACCAGCTTTGAGACTCGAGCCTCTCAGACTCTAAAACTGAGAGTGGTATTTCAGTATCAGAAGGAGAAGACTTGCATTTAAAGTAATATTCATGCAAGCAAGATTTTGATCGGAAAGCGGACAATACAAGTCACGAAGCTAAAATTGTGCCTCCCAGGATATTTTTTTGGCTTGGGACCGGCTCCGAGACTCCACAAGTAGCTGAATATTATTTCCACGATGCGTGCCAAATAATAATTCAAAGCCAAAAAAGCATGGTCGTAGAGCCCAGCTGTCTATTTCCTATGACATGTTATCCTTGATGCTCCTTTTGTTGGTAGCTGTCTGTATGAATCACCGATCCAACTAAATTCCATGATTACACCCAGCATAATTGCCAAGATGTGCTTTATTGTGGAGGTGTTAGCATATCACACAAATTTGAGACCAAGAGGAGAGAGACACGGGAGGAGAAGATCGATTTGATTTAATGTCTTGACTGGTATCGTTCCAGTAGTCCTACATCCCATTCCTTGAAATGTCTTGCACTCGGGGGTAAACAACAAGCTGAATCCCGCAGAACTCTTCCAATGTCCACCACAATCTCATCTGGGAGTACCAGTTCCTCTGCAGCTCCACCGTCCAGTAATATCTTGGCATCGTCCGCAGATATTGGCTTCCAGAAGACCTTCATCGCAAGATTAGGTGAAGTGGAAGAAGGCCCAGGTGGCGAAGACGATGATAATGTGGACCAACAGCTGTATAAAGCAGACTGTAGCACCCACACAAGCATAGGACCAGGTGTAGACGCAGATGGCGAACTTGACCCAGTCCGGAAGGCGCTGCCATCGGTTCGATCCGATGGATCATTCCATGATGAGCTGGATGACTTTGCAGACGACGAAGATCTGAGCGTGGTACTGAGCCCACCAAACAGCGTTCTCGGCGAAAGGACGAGCTTGGAGGCGCCAGTCGCTTGTGTCGAGCTGAGACATGATGAAGAGATGAATTTGGATAGGCTGGGACTGGTGAGAGCATGTGGATTTGACGACTGGAGAGTAAGAGACCACTTGAAGAGTCGGATTCCGTCCGACTGAGGATCTTCTCGGCCGATACTGCGATGGCAATTTTTGCAAAGAACGGACGCTGGATCTTGTGCGGATGACTGTAAGATCTATAGTCTGTCAGTACAAAGCCTTAAAGGCGCGCAAGACTTTAGTTGTCCCTCATGCTAATCCCATTGCCTTCCAGGATCTTGAGGAAGATATGGAGTGAAAGGCAGAGGCGGATCCTCAGTCAACAAGTAACCCGTAGTCCGAGGAAGAGGGTAGACAGGTATGACCGCTGCAGAAGCAGAATGGAAAGAAGGTATCGATCTAGGGCAGTTGTATCGGTGACCAGACCACTGAACCGCGAAGCGAAGAATGGCCACCTTCTTGATGCCCATTGATATGCCTCCAAGAGGTAAACAAAGTGGCAGATGGAGGCAAAAGGTGCAGGAACGGGACTGGTCTTACCTCGACGTTTGTGCAATCGTTGCTAGTGAGCAAGAACGATGTGAGGTCGATGAAGCCAATACCGTTGCTTGGGATGAACTTGGACGAAGCTCCATAGCCTTTGCTGGCAGCTATTTGACTGTGGTGCACGTGACCATGCTCTTTTAGGCCGTTCGCTTCCTCAGCAGGAACATCAGGCTTGTGACAATGCCAGAACTCCATCATCTCCGCCCAATTCTCACTTGGGAGGTCTTTCCACACTTTGATGGTTCCCTTCTCTAAGATGACTACGCCACAATCGCGACAGGCGAACTCTGCATCGTCTGAAAGCTCTTTGGCAGACCATGGGGCCTCGTTGCTCTTCGCGTCTTCAATGCTGGCCCTGGTGGTTTGCCCGGCGATAGGGATGCGCCAGGAAAGCTCCTTGTTCCCCAGAACAGGCTTCTGCAGTTGTATACGGACTGCCTGTCCAGGGAGATTTAGGGTAAATGTATCTCCGTCATGGTGCAAAATGAAATCTTGTCCATCTGCTGACAGCTCTGCCTTTGTGCTAGGGCCGCAAGGCGCGTCGAGGGCGACAATGACAGAGATCTGACGGATGTTTGACAGAAGCTCAGCATATATCAAGGGCTGAGCCGTCGGCGACATGATGGGATACGGCTTGGATGTGGTGCCGGTGTTTGGAGAACCATTTTCACAGGTGTTGTTGTTTCGAATCTCGAAGTTGGGCGAGGAAGAAATTCAAGCCTCGTCAGTTGAAATATGTCGGTCGAGCTTGGGCCACCCCTCGGCCGCAAGCTCGAGTGATTGGCTCACCAGAACGCATCATTTTAGCGGCCGCTGACCCCTCAGCTTCTTCTTCCCCACTCAGGGTCCGCAGGGTCCGCAACAGCTTCAAATGGCGTAAGAATCTCTTATTATACATTACTGAACTTGGCCAGCATGTCGTCTCCCATGATAGCTTGGGTACCTGTGGTCAACCGCCTGGCCAAGTATCTTACTACCAGCAACTACGCTGCACAGTCTATTGATCTCCCATCCGTGGAGATCCATGACGTGGAAACAGCACCAGAGAAGCGTCCCAGGACACTCAAACATCTACTCAGGGCTAACCACGTCAACCACTCCATCTTGTACCATGATCTGCAGTACCATAACCACATGGCACACTTACTAGGATCTGCGTACCTCTTTGGAGCGGATGCCGTTCAGATGAATAAGATCTATGACGAGGAGTCCAAAGAACTGGAAGAATGGAAGGATTCTCCTGCAGAGGTAACAGACAAGGACTGGCGCGACTTCCTTGGTGACAAGAGATATCAGAGAGCTTTTGTGGATTTCTTTGAAGATGAGTTGGCATTGAAGTATGATTACGAGTGGAAAGAAGTTGCCAATGAGTATTTATACAGCGGCAAGGAGCCTTTGATCAATGGACTTATTGGCGGGCGTATGATCCATTCCCTTCTCTGTCCAATTTTATACTAATGAAATACTCAGTTGGTCATCCTCTCATTCATCTCGGTTATGCCTACGAACTCTCCAGCAAAGAACTCGGCATGGAAGCCCTCGCCATGGCCGCATCCTCCTACAACTACCTGCACAAATACCTTGACTCCCCATCCTATACCCAGTCCTCCACGTACACCACCACATCTCCACTCGAGATCTTTCACAAAATATCAGCTGATACTCGTTTCGATGGGCTTTTCAAAGAGCGTGGCGCAGGAAACTTAGATATTCTCTTCCGAGACCATGAATCGCTCATCTTAGAACACTGGAATGCATGGAAAATCGACGATCCTAAGAAGCAATTCGAGGACTCGCAGGAAGCAGCAATGGCTTTGTTAGTTAAGTCCGTGCAGCCAGGAACACATGCTTATGATTTCTTCATCGTGCACATCCTGACCACATCCCATGCGGTGCGGATTCTGCTACCATTGGTACCGAAGAAGTGGCATGTTAGTTTGGTGAGACAGTGGTGGCTGCTAGCGATTGCTATTTATGTTGCGCAGTTGCGGCCAAAGATTGATGAGAACTTGGAGACGAAGCCTGTGAAGGGCTGGAAATACGTAGAGGAGATGGCGGTCCAGGGACCGTGGGCTACCGATTCTCATTATGTGAAAGGTGAGTCTTGCTTCCCATATTTTCATATGGCTATTGGGTCCGGTTACTCATGAAATCGCAGCCCTAAGAGCAATGAAGGCAGCGGCTTTCACTTGGGGAGATGTCCATGAGCGTTATCTTTCAGCAGCGACTCATTTTGCCGATGATTTTAAGGGTTGGACATTCTAGTTTGATTACATTGCTGGAACGGACGGATGAAATTGGCAAGGAAGATGAAACTGTGTATAATGATTGTATAGTACTTTATGAGGAGTTATACTGGGCTGACTGCTTGACGACATTGAACATAAATTGACACATGAGTTTGGAGTTTTGTAACTATTTATGGAATTTTTATTGCTACCAAAAGCTGATTATCTTCAACTAATTTCCTAATGTACAGACCGACAATACAATCATTCGTTCAGTCATCTTCAATATCATCATCGCTCAATACAAGCTTCTGTTCCTGCTGCAAAGGAAGCCCATTTGCAGAACCCTTGCCTCTCATCACCAATCCTTTCTTTTTCGGAGATTTACTCTCTCCAGGTTTATCCGTTGCCCATTCCGCGTCAGCAGGAGTTGCCTCTTCTGCTTCATCTGGATCGTCGCCAGGCGGGCCACCGATTCCACGGAACGTCACCACCTTCTCCATGTCATGTATTGTGAAGGTAGATGATGTAAATCTTCTAGCTCGTGCAATGCTCAACATGTAAGGCAGTCGTTCTAGCAGCATCTCTTTTCTGGCCGATGTGCCTATGGACATCAATGGGGCAACATCCACTTCTTTTCTGGGTGTTTTGTTTGTGCTAGACGAAGGAGGAGCTCGTGTGCTCTTCCAGCTCTCGACAGTACCGGCCTTCGGCCTTGCAAATGCAGCAGCTCCAGCTGTCACTGCGCTCAGATGATATTCTTCGCCCTTCATCAAATTTGAGACCCACAAGTCGATATTACTCTCGATTTCCTCTTTCATTCTCCACAATTTGAGACTGGTAGGGTAGAACATCTTGAATGCATCACCGCCTTTCCCGGTACGTAGTCCGGCAGCCGCTGGAGCCTTTCTCTTCACAGGAAAAGGGAGGGAGAAGAGAAGGCCCCGGACAGCAATCTGGAAGCTGATTTCGTCTTGACGCATGATATCGCCGCCAGTTCCTTTGCCGCCAAAACCACCTCCAAAGCCTGAGGAGTTGAAAGATCCGTCCCAGGAGGGACAGAGAAGATCGCTATCTGACAAGGCATCGATACAGCCACTAACATGATCCAGGGATGTATATTCAAAGGATGTAGGTGGAGCATCGCAAGACAAGATGTAATTCTCGTGCAGTGCTGCAACAAACGTCTGAGTGTCAGTACCTGTTTCGTCGATGAGCTCATCGACCAAGATTTGAGATCTATGTGGCCGAGAGAGGGTTGACATAAAGTCTGGTAGCTTCTCAACGTCCGGTAGCTCTTTACCGTCCTTGTCAAAGTATTTATTCTGTACGGTTTCATCTCGCTTATTGTAGACCACTTTTCCGACTGCGTGAAATATCCCTAAGCTGGCCTCTCGCCTTGTCACCAGCTCAAGACTCTCTCTTTCCATAGTCGTCAAAGCGGTATCTTTGCTAGATTTCTTGATCTTTCCAAAAGCTACCTTGGCACCCCAGTCTCCGTCTACGTCACCCCGAAGACAAAGAAACTCTAGTGACCCGATGGCACTCCTAATATCTCCGATCTCCCCAATCTTTTTAAGGACCAGTGGGCCCGGCGTCTTCCTTCGACCTGATTTGCGTGATTCCTTTTGAACAACAAGTTCAAGAGCCTTGGCTAGAATTGTGGGCGCAATGGTATTGAACTCAATTACTGCAACACCTGGGTGCTGGAGGATTTCAGGCCCTAGCAATCTGTGAGCTGTGAAACTGTCTGCAGACGCAGAAGTTGTTGTAAGTAGTGTCTCGGATATGATCATAACCACTGGTGTTATGGACTCCTTGGAAGTGTTTCCGCTCATCATGGAGAGTGGGGGCGTATTTGAGGCAAGATATGAAATGATTGTGGATCTGAACGATTGTAGAGCAGAAGATGATCGAGTAAACGTGTTGGGAAACTCCTCGATGAGAATTAGATTTTTCCTGCGATCGAGCTTCTTGACTTCCGGTTTTGGAAGTACTTGTCCATCGGTAGAAAATATATCCAGTTGTCCAAACTTTCCACCTCGTCCCATGAACTCTTCAAATTGTGCAGACATGGAAAGAGATCCATCTGAGGATGCCACCGATCCAACAGGATTGCGCCATTCCAACACATCACAGTCCATGGCTTTCGCCAAGAGCTGGATGGTTGTGGTCTTTGCAGTTCCGGCTGCTCCTTTCAGTATGAGCAGTCTCTGCCTCATTCGACCTCCCATAACGTTCTCGAGCCATTCTCGGACGTCTGAAACCTTCTTCTTGTGAACTGCCAGCTCATCTAGATTCAAAGGAGCAAATCTCTCTGCCCATGGCCTCATTTCATTTTCCTGCTTTATCACGGCAGATGGCTTCGGCACAATGAACTTCTGGCTTGCACTTGGTACGTCTCCATCCCCATTTGGAGTGCCCATGGCTCTAGCCCGTTTCCGAGCTATCTCTCCAACCATACTCGAAGTTGGAGCCCTAGATTCAAATATATCATCGTCGGATATCACATCGTCATCCTCTGTGGCCTTGGAAGTTTTGGAGCTTACCGACAGCTTTGACTTGGTCGTGAATCCAGTGCCATTCTCTGCCTGCTGCCGTTGTGCTTGCTTGTTGAAGAACGTGTATATGTTCCCGCTCTTGATCTTGTCTTCTATCTTCCCTTTGCGCCTCGGCTTCTCTGGACTACTGCTCGCACTTTTCGAGCTCGCTTTGGCTCCGCGGACCTGAGTTGGGAGGTGTATCGGCGCGGCGTTCGGAGGGTGGTTCGCGGTCTTCGCTCGAGGTTGCATCTTCTTTGAAACAGTCGCAGATTTCCCAGAAGCTTTGCCTGACTTCGAGGGTTTCGTTTCAATCGATGAAGGTGGAGAGGAAGAGATAAGGTTGCTCAATGGAGCTTTAGCTTTCGTGACGGGCTCATCGTCGTCGTCCTCTTCCGATGATGAAGGAAGGACGTTCCTCTTTCTACGCTTTGGGGGTGGAGCCATGCCGCCTGGATTTGCGTGAATTGGTGCCTCATCAGTCTGCGGAGCTGCAGGGATCCGACCTCCTCACATATTTGTTGCTTTTTCCGGAGGTCGAGGAGCGGCGTGGCGGCTGCCTTGAGGCTCTTGTTCATGCAGGTGCTGCCGTCTTACAGCAATATCAGTAACTAGTATTAATCGGCATTTTAAGCGAGCCTTATGAAAAGTCGCGTCGGATTTTCCCTTACTATCTCCTATATTTACGCCCTTCTATACTATACCTCTAAAACACCTTTAGAATTAATAGTAAGTAGCTTAAATTAAAAGTTAATAGTTATACTTTCTAATATATATTTTTTTAAGTTATTATAATACTTGCTTATTTAGATATTAATATTATAGCGCGTATTAAAGATACTCTTTATAAACTAGAAGTTATCTTTAATAGGAAATACTTATAATCTATTACTAAGATATATAATATAATAGAATAAATAGTTTACTTTTATAAAGCTAAAGTAGATACTAGCTTATTAGTTCTACTAAGATCTAGTAGTCTTATTAAGATTCTATTAAAGGAAATAAAGTAATCTATAAAGCTATTATTAGATAAGATACTATAGTTATATTAGGATAAGATTATAAAGTTTCTATAAGATATATATAATATTATAGTCTCTTAACTAATAGTCTATAATATACTACGCCGAATTAAGCTTATATAAAAGAAATTAAAAGTTATAGTAGCTTAATAGAATAAGGAATTACGTATAAAATAGGTATATTAACTCTAGGGGTTTATAGTAGATTAAATCGTTTATATAAACGAATCTAGTAGTAATAATAGAACTAAAGATCGATATTATAGCTAGTCTAGCTCTAGAGCTTAAGTAGTAGTTTATAGGTAGTTATAGAATAGAGAGCGAGTCTCTATTCTACTAGTATATATAGTTAATAGATATATTACTTTCTCTATATTTATAGGTACTTATAATAGTGATATATTTAAGGATTTCCTTATAGATAGTGTTTTACTTCTTTATAACGCTTTCTTAGCTCTATAAAGTGTTATAATACTTAATAATATATTAATTTATTATTCTAATATCAACTGAATTCAGGTATAGTTTAATAGATATAAAGTATTACTACGATTCCTCTTTCTATATTCCTTTAATTTTAACCTAATTAAAGAGAGTTTTAGTAATCTAAAAGCTTATATTCGTTATTATTACTATAAGAAAAGGTATAAATATACCTTATACTAAGATTTCTTAGAATAAGTATATATTAAATATAAAATAGGATTAAAAGCTACTTAATAAGTAAGAGGTTATTTCAGGAATATAGGAATTAGGGGAGTATTATAAAGGTAGTGGTAACTACTTCTTTACTATACCCGATTAGGAAGAGTCTAGAGCTCGGCAAAGCTCAGTAAGACTCGGTAGAGCTCGGTTAACTCTGAAGGGGTTTACTAACAGTTACCCACTTAGTTATACGTAAAGGGAAATAGCTCTACGCTACTATGGGAGTTTACGTCAAGTTTTACGTCAAGTGTAATTAGGCCTAATTAGGAATAGCCCGGGGAATTTATCTATATAGGCTTAAGCGCCCTCTATAGAATCAAGGGCTCCTTAGCTTAATATTCGCGCTAATAGAGAGGTTATCACTTAATCTGTAGTTATTTCGCTTACGTGCTAGCTAACGCTAAACTATGCTATTATATTATATCAAGCTCAAATCACACTACCGGTGACAGCGTAATAATATCCCGACGACTTATACTTATCACCCTAAGTGAGCCTTTATTTTTCGACCCTTTGTAACGGTCCGGTATTTACTCGCTGTAAATACAGAAGGCTGCAGTTGATCTCTGATGATCGAGAGGTAGGTGTATCACGTAGACGGGAAGACAGTTACTAAGTATCAGAATACTATTTGAAGTTGAGCACGAAGCTCCTATCTAATGGCAGACGTGCCAGTCTTATATAGAACCTTCGTTCTCCTTGGATCCCACAGGTCCCTTGGGATCCTTCACGACATAGTCGTACTGGATCCCTTGGGATCCCCTGGGATCCGTCACGTGACCCGACCGCGGAAGGCCGCTGCCAGATCACCGTGACCTGCAATACTACTATAATGTAATGCTATGTGATACATGTTCCTTAGACCTTATTGGTTCCTGTGAGCTTTACTCCTAGGAGCCGTCCGACTCCCAGGAGTACGCCTGCTCTGAGGATATTTCCTCCTGGGACCCAGCGGGCTCCCAGGAGCGTCCGTAACACTATCCCCTCCCTAGCCTAGCGTGGTCCCCACGCTTAAGTATGCCAAAGGAAATATCGACGACTGCCCACGGCCGTCTTCTTCTTCCATCATGACCTCTGAGGCGACCCGCAAGAAACTTGAACGTATCGCCCTGGCCCTTCGAATCGATCGTTCCCAAGACGCAGAAGAAATGTCTCCTTGTGATTTTTGTCGGCTTCACAAGCGCCGCTGTGTGGTGGATTCCAAGGAATCCACTCGCTGTTCGGAGTGCGTTCGCAAGAAGCGCTCCTCTTGTAATTACACCTCGAAACTCCCGTCCTTGAGCGACTGGTCCTCGCTGGATCGCCAGCGCCAAAAACTTCGTGACGAGGAGGAAGAGGCGATGGCGAAAATCCTCCGCCTTCGCAAGCAACAGCGCTTCCTGGATGATCGCGAGAAAGAGATGATCCGTCGAGGCGTCGAGACGCTCGACGAACTCGACGCTGCTGAAGCTGCCGAACGCGCGGAGGCCGCTCGTCAGGAAGAAGCCGCTTCTTCCCTGGCGGAAGCCTCCCGCTTCCTCGAGGATCCTACCCTTGATCCCCAAGCCTTTTCCGGGTTGCCCGACTCCTTCTGGTTGGGGCTTTCTTTTCCTTCCCCCTCCGCCGCGGTCCCCCATGCTCCCGATGGTACCGCTGGAGGAGTCCCGAGCAGTGGAGGTTAGACTTGGGTTCCCAGGTGTTTTCCGATTGTGGGTACCCTTTCCACTTGATCAAATATTTTGCCTTGCCGTGGGAATACTGACAGTCGAGAATAGTCTCTACTTCGTACTCGGCGTTCGGGTTGATTGGTTGTATTTCGGTGACAGGAGCCGGTGGTGCTCCTGGTGGTGCTGGTTCGAGGAGGGATATATGGAATACCGGGTGGATGTTCATTGTCCTTGGAAGAGCTAGCTGGAAATTGACTGGTCCCTTGACTTTTGCAATCCTGAATGGTCCTAGCTTCTTGTGATCCAATTTGTGACTTGGTCGCTTGGTTGTGATATTCTTTCTGAGTAAGTAGACTTTATCCCCCTCCTTGAGCGTTGGTCCCATGCTACGCTTTCTGTTGTAGTAGATCGCAGATCTCTGCGCGATGAAGAGAATATCGGCTGACAATTCTTCATGGAGCTGTTTAAGCTCATCTGCCTGTAGTATGGCTTCTTGCGCGGTACCCTGACCGGCTATTGGTGGGTTGTATGCCGTGGGATTGTGCCCATAATTCGCGTAGAACGGCGATACTCCAATGGTCTCTTGGTCCGCGCTGTTATATGCAAACTGAGCGAGTGGAAGTAGTTGCACCCAGTCGTCCTGCTTGTAGTTCACATAACACCGAAGATAAGTTTCCATTATCTGGTTGATTCGTTCTGTCTGTGCATCGGTCTGAGGATGGAATGCGGTTGACATTTTCTGCTTCATTCCTAAGAGCGCGATGAGAGTTTTCCAGAACTTCGAGGTGAAGAGCTTGTCTCTGTCTGAGATGACCTCATCTGGTATTCCGTGGCTTGCGAAGATTGTTCTGAGGAATACCTGCGCCATCATGGGCGCGTCCTGTGTTCCAAGTACTGGTACCATGTACGCGTACTTTGTGAACCTATCCGTTATTACACAGATCGAGTTGTATACGATTCCTGTGACTGGGTCTTTCGAGGGTGGTAGCTCGACCACGAAATCCAAAGCGATTGATTTCCATGGGCGAGGTGGTGTTGTTGGTGACTTCATGAGCCCATACGGAGCATGGTGTGATGCCTTGTTCCGGATGCATGTGTCGCACGACGCTACCACGTCTTTGACTACCTTCCTCATACCTGGGAAGTAGTATTCCCTGGATAGCCTAGACAGTGTCTTAGCTACCCCCTGGTGTCCATGAGCGGGCAGCCCATGCCAGTGCGTGACGAATTTAATCCTGTCCCCAGTGGGTATATAGATTCGTCCTTGGTACAGAAGCGTGCCGTCTGAGGTGAAGGAGAATCCTTCGCCCAGCTGCTTCTTCTGTTCGGCTATGACCGGGTCGTTGGCATAGCCCCTCCAGACTTTCTCGGCGACCTGGCCCGTTGAGGCCAGCTGTCGGTGATTGACTATTAGCGAATCACCATCCTTCCGCAGTACGGTGTGGGATTCGTGAGTTTTGTTTGCGAGATATTCTGGTTTCCTGCTCAGAGCGTCGGCTCTGGCGTTTTCCGTTCCCTTGACATAAGAAATTCGAAGTTTAACGGTAGAGAGTGTTTCATACCATCGAACCTGGCGTCGGTTCAATTCTTTGGTCGTTGTAAAGTAAATGAGATTCTTGTGGTCCGTTAGGATCTGTACTTCGTGGGCGGCGCCCTCGAGGTAGACCTTCCATTCGCGTACTGCGTCCACAATTGCCAGCAACTCTTTGTCGTATATGTCGTAGTTGAGTTCTGCTGGTGATAGTTTCCGCGAATGGTAAGCGACTGGTTGCTATCTTCCGTCCTCGCCCGGCTGGCTGAGCACGGCTCCAATAGCGTAGTCCGAAGAATCTGTCTCTATGCGTATTTCTTTGTCGGGGGTGAAGGAAGTGAGTACTGGTTCCGCGATGAAAGCCGCTTTGAGTGCCTCAAACGCTTTTCGTGCGCTGTCGGACCAGTGGAATTCCTTGTCCTTGTGGGTCAACTCCGTGAGTGGCCCGGCGATTTTCGAGTAGTCCTTGATGAATCGCCTGTAGAAGTTGGCAAACCCGAGGAATGATTGTACTTCCTTGACATTCGTGGGCCCCGTCCA